ACGATGCGGCACCTGATTCGTCCTTGAGGAGGCGCCAAATGTGGGTCAATAGTGACGTCACGTGGCGGGAGATTTGAATCGGACAGTAACTAAAGTTCACAATCAACTCCCTTGATAAAAATACCCAATTCTGACTGACGATATGATATTAAAAACACAGAAAATACCTCCAATGGCCTTTTAAAGAGAAGGTTTGGATATCTCTGGGCGGTTTAAGAGGTGTGGTAATATTTAGGGCAAGTGGGTGGTGGGAGTCACTTCCTCAAATACCATCGTCTGTCGCCTCACAAATGATAATGATGGTGGTAGGACGGTGCTGGTGTTAGGACGGTGATGGTGGTAGGACGGTGATGGTGGTAGGACGGTGATGGTGGTAGGACGGTGATGGTGGTAGGGTCGGGGTGGTTGTAAGGAGGTGATGGTATTAGGGAGGCGATGGTAGTAGGGAGAGGAAGTATAAAAAGGAAATAGTTATCCGGAACACTTTCATTTCTGGGTAAATATTTCCGTTCTCAATACTCTATGATTGTTCTTAGATATATTTACTTTAGAATATAAATATGTTATTGTGATTCTTCCTCATTTAAACCTATATCTCTCTCTCTCTCACTGAAACATCAACACATTCTTTACACTAATGCTCTCTACACTCCCACTAATAACAACAACATGCAAATTGTATTCAATAAATATTTACACCAATTCATAATTCTCTCTCTCTCTCTCTCTTCATGGACATAATAAATTTACACTTGTTATCCTTATAAGACTTTTATATTTTATTCACAAAAAAAATGAAAGATGGCTAGCGTTAACCTTATCTAAATAGGTGAAAATGTATACCCAATTTATCAGTGAAACAGGTGTAGGAGATGGGTGTGTGGGTGTGGGTGGGTGTGTGTGTGGGTGGGTGTGGGTGTGGGTGGGTGTGGGTGGGTGTTTTGAGTGTATTTGAGGGTGTAAGAATGCATAAAATGGCTTCAAATTTACACTGAGACTCTACTCTAACTAGATACCTTCATTAAACACAAATTAGGTGACATTTTGTTTGTGTGTCAGTGTGTGTGGTGACTCAGGTCAGGTCAGGTCAGGTCACTGCTACCCCAAGAGGTTACTGGTCAAACTGATCCTCGTCTTGATGGGCCCCAGATCTACGAGGCCTCAGAACTACTAGGCCCCGGAACTACTAGACCCCTGAGCTACTAGGCCCCAGAGCTACTAGGCCCCAGAACCATTTAGGGGCCCCCAGAGCTACTTAGGGCTCCTTAGGAAATATTTTAGCCCCAGAGCTACTAGGCCCCAGGAACTACCAGGGGCCCTGTGGTTGGCCAGGCCCCAGAACTACTAGGCCCCAGAGCTACTTAGGCCCTCAGATCTACTAGACCTTTGTTACTAGGGCTCCCTAGAAACCACAGGGGCCCAGAGCTACTTAGGCCCTGGTGAACCAGCGAGGCCCCAGAGCTATTAGGCCCTCTGCGAACCACAGGACCCTTGAGCGCCAGGCCCCAGAATCATTAGGCCCCAGAGCTACCAGGCCCCAGATCTACTAGGACTCTGAGCCAGCCAGGCCCTGAACCATGAGTCTCTCAGAGCTTACTAGGCCTCAGATCTACTAGACCCTGGGAGCTACTAGGCCCCAGGAGCTACTAGGCCTCAGATCTACTAGACCTGAACCACTGCACCCCCGAGGTACGAGGCCTCAGAACTACTAGGCCCCGGAACTACTAGACCCCTGAGCTACTAGGCCCCAGAGCTACTAGGCCCCAGAACTACTAGGCCCCAGATCTACTAGACCCCTGAGCTACTAAACACCAATCTTGACCTACACATATAATACATTGACCCAAATTCTATAGTTTAGGTTAGATTAAGACTTACTAGTACTAGGGCCTATTAGAACTAGGCCCCATCAGAACTAGGTCCCATTAGAACTGGGGGCCCATTAGAACTAGGGCCTATTAGAACCACGCCCCATAGAACTGGGGCCTATTAGAACTAGACCCCATAGAACTAGGTCCCATTAGAACTAGGGCCCATTAGAACTAGGGCCTATTAGAACTAGGCCCCATAGAACTGGGGCCTATTAGAACTGGGGCCTATTAGAACTAGGTCCCCATTAGAACTGGGGCCCGGTAGAACTGGACCTGTGGGAGCTGAACCCCCCATAGAACTAGGTCCCCACAGTAGAACTAGGGCCCATTAGAACTAGGGCCTATTAGAACCACGCCCCATAGAACTGGGGCCTATTAGAACTAGGCCCCATCAGAACTAGGTCCCATTAGAACTGGGGGCCCATTAGAACTAGGGCCTATTAGAACCACGCCCCATAGAACTGGGGCCTATTAGAACTAGACCCCATAGAACTAGGTCCCATTAGAACTAGGGCCCATTAGAACTAGGGCCTATTAGAACTAGGCCCCATAGAACTGGGGCCTATTAGAACTGGGGCCTATTAGAACTGGGGCCTATTAGAACAGTACCTATAAAATATTTAGCACTATGAAAAAAATATGTATTTGGCTGAATAAAATTAACACATTGTCGCCTTTAATGACTTGACTGGTGGTGTCGTTCTGGAGATTAGACACCCTAGCTTACCTGAGTACATAATTCGATGTTGTATTTGTTGTTATTGATAAGTTCAGACAAAAATAAGACAATTTTGACGTATTTTACCCATAACTGAGATATAGGGAATTGAAAATCATAAAACCAGATGATAATTAGAGGTCGGTCACCTGGCCATGTTGAGGGTAGAGGGCCATGGAGTGACCTCTGACCTGTGTATGACCCCTCTCTTGTTCTTGATTGTCTTATATATCTAAAATGATAAGAGTAATGGAGACAATCTGAATACTAGGAGGTCAATTCTTTATATATATCGTTAGAGTACAGTGAAAGATGATTAACTTGCATTCCTGACATGAAGTAGCGATTCAAATATATTACTACTTTTATTTTATAACACTAGGATAGAATATAAATTTGTTATAAATATATTATGATATATATATATATTTTGTGTACTTTAAATCATTGTAAGTTTTATAGTTTAATTTATTTATATTTAGAATTTTTATTTACGAATCGTTGTTTACATGAACCAGCTGTTACTCGATATAAAGATACCTTATAAGATAATAATTCTTCAAAACATATTAACTCGATTATAGAGCGTTTCTATTAAATAAAATATCATTAAAAGTAAACATATATTCATGATAAGTAGATATTATAATATTTTAGTATAGTATAATTAAATTTTGTAGAATAATATATCTCTAAATCTAGTAGCTGCTCCATGTGATGAAGGTCTGGTCCAGCCGCTGAGGTCATGTCTCTTGTGTAGTTATTTAAAGGGCCATTGACCGCTGGAGTGACCCTTATTAACGATAACAGTAGGGTATGTAGCCATTATTACTGTGAGTGAGTGAGATAAACCTTGGTTCAGTTGATAGTAAACCTCTTATGACACGGTGTAGTGGTCTGGTAACTACCCCCCCCCTAGTGTTAGGTTAGGTTATGTTAGGTTTGGTTAGGTTATGTTAGGTTTGGTTTGGTTAGGTTAGGTTAGGTTAGGTTAGGTTTGGTTTGGTTAGGCTAGGCTAAATTAGGTTAGGTTAGGTTAGGTTGAATTAGGTTGAATTAGGTTGAAATAATGATTATTCTGAATTTTTTAATGTGTTTTTGAACGTTTTCTAAATAGGTAGATAACCATAATGATAATTTTACCAGATAGAAAATAAATATCTCCTTTCATGTGTCTGTGTAGAACAATTTAAACCAACTACATTAAATCTGCTTTTCAGGTCAGAGTCAATGTCGTCATCTAACCATGAAGTTCATAGTCGAGCACGTCAGTAAACAGGGCGGCCGGATAGGGAAGTTGACGGGCCTACGTAGTCAGCCGGATGTAGTCCACGATACTCCGCTCTCTCTCATCTCAACTGTGGGGGGGAGCGCTCCACATCTTACCCAGGCTAGTTGATGTGGATTGCCTGAACAATCTCCACCCAAGCTTGTTTCACTTAAAGATTAACTTCTCCAGCTTATTTCACTTAAAGATTAACTTCTCCAGCTTATTTCACTTAAAGATTAACTTCTCCAGCTTATTTCACTTAAAGATTAACTTCTTCAGCTTGTTTCACCTAAAGATTAACCACCCTAACGTTATTTTTGAGGGGATGAAGTTAGGGTGATTAAGCTTTAGGTGAAGTAAGCTGGGGTGGAGATTAGTCAGGTAATTTGCTGATAAGTTTAAATGAAGAATAGTTTAAGTTCTCTTGTAACCCCACCCCACCCCACCCCACCCCACCCAACCCAACCCAACCCCACCCCACCCAACCCAACCCCACCCATTCCAACCCAACTTAACCTAATCTTTACTTACACCATATATGAGACGTCTAGCGTAGGAGGGATGAACTCGCCAAATCATAGTTTGAGTAAAAGCACAAAAAAAATTTTAGAACTGTAAAATTCCGGCGCCATACGGAAACAGCGGAGAGTAGAGACGAACTCGCCACTTCCTGGAAAATTCCAAAACCACAGAAAACAGATTTTTGGGGGCCTGGTGAGTTTGTCCCTCCTACGCTAGACGCCTCATATATAATAATTCAATAAACTGAATCTATCATGTATTATAACTATCAGGTGTCACTAAATAATGCCCTCAGCTCTCAATCAGCTCGGCCATATCAATATTGTTGTGAGTGTTATTCTGGTATCTATATTTTTCGGCGTACGATCGTCTGTTTTAATCGATTATTACCATCTTCGTTAAATGATTGGGTTAGGTTAGGATAGGTTAGGTTACATTAAGGATAGGTTAGGTCAGGTCAGGTTAGGTTACATTAAGGATAGGTTAGGTTAGATTACATTAAGGTTAGGTCAGGTTACATTAAGGATAGGTTAGGTTAGATTACATTAAGGCTAGGTTAGGTTAGATTACATTAAGGCTAGGTTAGGTTGGGTTAGGTTAGATTACATTAAGGCTAGGTTGGGTTAGGTTACATTAAGGATAGGTTAGGTCAGGTTACATTAAGGATAGGTTAGTTAGATTACATTGAGGCTAGGTTAGGTTGGGTTAGGTTATATTAAGGATAGGTTAGGTTACATTAAGGATAGGTTAGTTAGATTACATTAAGGCTAGGTTAGGTTGAGTTAGGTTAGGTTACATTAAGGCTAGGTTAGGTTGAGTTAGGTTAGGTTACATTAAGGCTAGGTTAGGCTGAGCAGGTTGTGCTGCTGTCAAGGCCAGGTTAGGGGTTGGGTTAGGTTACATTAAGGCTAGGTTAGGTTGGGTTAGGTTACATTAAGGCTAGGTTAGGTTAGGTTACATTAAGGCTAGGTTAGGTTGGGTTAGGTTACATTAAGGCTAGGTTAGGTTGGGTTAGGTTACATTACGTTAAATCACATAAAACAGATGATCGCCTAAGTGGGATGTATTCATATTTTTCAGGCTAAATAAATCGTATCAATAATCATTTTCAACTCTACAGGATGTCCTCCATCTTGTAGTGGGGAAAGATTCTCCTGTGTGTGTTCCAGCTCAACATTTCTCCGAACACGTTAAGGTCCTGCAGAGTTATAGGAGAGGCGTGGCTCACTTCTCCGCATTACAGGTACGTAGAGTTATAGGAGAGGCGTGGCTCACTTCTCCGCATTACAGGTACGTAGAGTTATAGGAGAGGCGTGGCTCACTTCTCCGCATTACAGGTACGTATTTTAGGTCCTGGCGACACTTGTGTTTGTGGTGTTGGTATGTTTGTACATGTATGTTTGAGTTTGTACTGTGTGTATGTATTGTTTTGAGTGTGTGTGTGTGTGTGTGTGTAATTGAATATGTGTTTGTATAGAGGTGTATGTATGTGTGTATCTGGAAGAGGTGTGTAGGTGTGTGTGTCTGTAAAATTGAGCACACTATATATGTGTGTGTGTGTAGAGATGTATTGTATGTATGTATGTATGTGTACATCTTGAAAAAATATTTGTGTATAGGTATATTTGCTTATTCAGTAGTCAGAAATTTCCTTTATATTCTCAGCATTTCTAATTATTTTCTCTGTATATTAAGGTAGAAGCTTGACCCTTATTACCAACATAGGGAATACCTCAATTAAATACAGCTCGTTAGCCATTTGGGCCGTTGGTCGATCTAGTGTCACGTTTTGTTTAATTTACGTTGGAGTGGTTTTTAATATGACGTTTTCCACATCCAGGGCCATTGTGTGTGCGTGACGGCCCAGGATTCGTCGAAAGTCACCCCGAGCGGTTACAATGATAAGTCTGGAGTGTCGATGTGGACGTACCGAGGCCGACAGAGCGTTTCAATTGACAAGTGAGTCTTTTTCTCCGACCAAAGGGTGTGTGTGTGTGTGTGTGTGTGTGTGGGAATTATGGGTATGTGGTGTGGGAATTATGGGTACGTGGTGTGGGAATTATGGGTACGTGGTGTGGGAATTATGGGTACGTGGTGTGGGAATTATGGGTATGTGGGGTGGGAATTGTGGGTATGTGGGGTGGAAATTATAAATTGCCTATTACAAAATGTATTCTGTATGTTATGATTTGTGTATATGGTATAGAAAAATGTTAGTATTTTATTTAACAATGTTTTATTGGTAGAAGGAGCTATTTACGATGTTAAAGTCGATGTTTTTGACGTTAATGATAATATTTACAAACATTCATCGCTGTATGCTTCACAAGATACATGGAGCTGGTGGAAACTATGCAGCCAGACTGGTACGAGGCTCTCAACGATGCGGATACAGACAGCGCGTCATCCAAGAAGAGAGTCTCCAAGTCCACTGCAATGTCGATGGCATACCTTAAGCAATGTATTGATCACCATAAGGTCGCGAAGGTAATGAGGGCCGCCGTGGGTACGTTTCTTGTGTTGTATTTTGGTTTTATCTTCGTTGTTGTCATTATAATTGTCATTCATTGTTTTGTTTCCTTCTTCATTGTCGTTGTCATTGTCATTCATCATCATTTTAGTTATTATTGTCTTTGTCATTTATCAGAGTTCATTATTATCAGTATTGTCATTCATTATCTTTTTTATCATTGTCATCATTCATCATCATCATCATCACACACACACATATACAGTACAGGTAAAACAAATTACTGTCTCTGGAACGAATGGCTCCCTGTCCCGGCCGCCAACTTTAAAACTACCCACAGACATTCTTGGGTACATCCAGGGTGTCGTCCGCGAATAATCAAGGGCCGCTGTAGCTACATTAATAGTGTTAGGTTTTGTTAATGTTTGTTAGTTTGGTTAGAGTTAGGTTAGGTTAGGTTTTGTTAGTTTAGTGTTAGTATGGTTAGTGTTAGTCTGGTTAGGTTAGTGTTTGGTCAAATTAAGTTCGTGTTAAATTAGGTTATAGAGGTGTTAATTTAGGTTAGGTTAGATTAACTTAGTTTTATGTTAGGTTAAGTTAGGTTAGTGTACAGGTGATTAATCATATAGTAATATAACCTGGGGTGACTAATCATCATGTCTTGTAATTATCTATGTTTAACCACAGGGTCTACAAGGGTCAGCGCTGTTTGCTCCCCTTTTAGGAGGTCATAGCGAAGGAGACCGCTCTCGCTGGTCTAAATCTCTCGCTGAGAAGCTAGAAGACACGTCCATCATCTCGGGCTATGCTCTCCTCGGCCTCCACACCAACGGCCCGCCAACAGAGAAGCTGGAACCAGAGTCTATGCACAATCTCATTAAGGCGTCTATAGTGAGTATCAGAAGAGGGTTGGGTTTATCAAGTGTGGAATTCGGTATCATAAGTAAGAGGATCAACGTAGATTAGATGATGTTCTTATGTCTTTTATCATTGTCGTTATCATCATCTTCACAATCTTCATCACCATCATCACAATTTTCATCATTATTATCACCATTTTACAGCTATTCTATATGCTTGTATGGGTTCTCTACAGCATCATCATCATCATCATCATCATCATACAGCCAGTTATAACACAGCCTCTTGCAGTCTCACTCATTGGGATCTTAACTCTGGTATCATTTCTCACACCTCTCCCCATGTCATTCTTCACCTACCCTTGACTCTCCTCCCTCCACATATAGACACATGCATCTCTTGACCCAACCAGTCACCTCTATTCTCTCCACATGTCTAAACCATCTCACTATATGGACAACTTTATTAATACTCCCTCTATCCAGTTACCATCTTAGTGTTTCCTATCTTTCAGTGTCTACTCATCCACCATTATCATTCTAGTTCTCTCAGGTCTTATATTTCATCCTCTTTAACTGCTCATACTTCACCGCCATACAATATCATACTTCTCATACCAGTTACATACAGAAGGAAGGAAGGAAGGTCTTATTCTCATCAGTTAAGGCAGGAACTCCCTAAACTTACTGTATTAACTTTGGGTCTTATAACTCAGTAGACTTTAGTGCCTCCTTTACTGTAGACCCTGTGTTGTAATGACCATAAACTGTGTTGGTAATAGTCCGATGTTATTTTAGTAAGACTTTTGAATAGTTTTTGCTTCTCTGTTTGTCTCTTGTTTTTTATTTATCGTCCCAGAGTGCCTCATGAGTATTAATCATTACTTTTATTGATAATTTGATATATTTTTAACCCTTTGAGGATGGTTTAACCCTTTGAGAATGTTTTAACCCTTTTGAGGAGGATGATTTAACCCTTTGATGATGATGATGATTTAACCCCTTGAGGACGACGATTTAACCCTTTGAGGATGATGGTTAAACCCTCGAGGACTCAAAGGATTAATAAAAGTTGTTAAGAATTTATTAATGATTGTCACTTGTTTTTTTTTTTACTTTGAGCAGGATCCGTTACCAGCAGATCTTCCACGACAAGCTGCTGGGATGTGGAACCCTCTTACCGTCCTGAAATTGGCGGAGCACGGTGTTGACATCTTTGACTCTGCATTCCCATTCCTTGTGACGGAGAGAAGAGGAGCGCTCACCTTCCCCTGTAGATTAAATAAGTACGTCTTGCGGCCATTCGACGTGTTTATGTTATTTATCTGAATCGCCCTGAGATTAACGCCCCCTAAGGTCATCCAGTACAGGTGCAGTATTAGTTTGAAAATTAAAAAAAAAAAAAAGTTCTCTCCATCTTATTTATTGTACTTGAATCCACATAAATAATTGTGTTACCTTATTAAGAATATTTCCCAGAGTTAATTTGATTTATTTTGTTTATTTTTCGTTTTTTCTTCACATTTTTGTCAGTTTTTTCCTGTTATGATTGAGGGTGGGAGGGGGGGACAGGTAAATTCTCCAATCTTTAGGTGAGAAATATGTTGAAATTCCAATCCTCTTCACTTAATACTTCTCAAGTGTCCGGGGAGTTTTGTCTCGGATACTGCCAAGTGTCCGGTGAGTTTTGTCCGCAACTTTACCTCTCGACTCCCTGTAACATAATTTATTGGACATTGCAGGACGCTAACTGACGGGGAATGCTCGAAAAATGACAAATTAGAACACCGAAACAAAAGGCTTAAGGTGTGCGAAGACAATTCAGGGACAAAGATGTGCGAAGACAATCCAGATACGAAGATGATGTGCGAAGAGAAACCCAAGACAAAGATGTGCGAAGACAAACCCAAGACAAAGATGGAAGAGGAGGAAAATGCCAAGAAAGAGGACAAGGAGAATCAGCCAATCAGGGAGAAGGAAGCCACAAGTCCCTATGAGATTAACTTAAAGGATAAAAGGTATGTTAGGGTATGTTAGAGGTATGTTAGAGTATGTTAGAGTATGTTAGAGTATTAATGGAGCGGTCCGATGAAGTTTATAATGAGCAGCACGACTCCTGATTTTTGTTTTATATTAGTGATTATTTTGTCGTTCTTTAATTATTATGTCACGTGTCACTTTATTTTACCATTTAATTATTCTCCCTCATTGCCACATTATCTCCCTCATTATGTCTCCATTATCTCTCATTCTCCCCCATTATCTCTCTATTATCTCCCTTATTCTCCCTCATTATCTTCTTTATTCTCCCTCATTATCTCCCTCATTCTCCCTCACTATCATCTCTCATTCTTCTCTCCTCAGTAACGTGTCACAGTTGGAGCCGCTGCTGGCCGGGTGTGAGTGTTACACCTGTAAGAACTTCACCCGAGCTTACGTTCACCACCTGGCCAATGTTAACGAGCTCCTAGCACCTGTCTTACTGATGATGTACGTGAGTTTGTCCATCCAGGTGGATTTTTTTTCCTGGGGGGGGTTGGGGGGTTTGTACGCTGTTTTGGGGTTTGTTTGGGTCTCGTGGAGGTTTAACTGCTATGCAAACCTAATCTAATCCAACCTAACCTATCCTATGCTAACCTAACCTAATACAGTATATCCTCAACTATCTTAACCCAAACAAACCTAACCCACCCCCCCCACCCAACCCCACCCCAACCCCACCCCACCCCACCCCACCCCACCCCAAACCCCACCCCAACCCCACCCCACCTCACCCCACCCCACCCCCCCACCCCACCCCACCCCACCCCACCCCACCCCACCCCACCCCAATACTACAGCTTGCATGGAGATCTGATTTACATTCTGAAAACAAACCTAACCTCTCCGAGACACCTGTTATTGTTTGCTTATGTATTTATTTGTCATTGTTTATTTTTTATATTTTCCCAGTGTGTAGACTATATAATGCTATGCCACTGTCTGTATGTATGATTATGTGTGATATTATTTTGGCATCTGTGTGATATAATTTTGACTATTCTATCATAATATTTCGGTCTGCGTAATAACATCGCAATAATCAAGCTGTGTTCACCAGACTTCACTAATCAATTGTTTGGGGGAATGATCTGAAATATATATATTGATTTTAGGGGTCAAGAGGTCAAAAAAGGTAGAGGTCAGAGGTCAATCTAGGTGTATTGTACTGTATAGGGCAATGGTTTCTGTTGGCTCCTTGTCTCACTGTCACTCGTAAATGGAGGGACTTAGTGTCGTTTCGTTTATTAATTTTATGGCCAGAATCACCTTTTAAAATCTATAGACTATTACGTATATTGTTTTTGGATTTTTTGTCTGTACAGTAGTCCCTCGGTTAACGAACACAATTCGTTCCAGAAGGTCATTCGTTAACCTAAAAATTCGTTAACTGAAACCATTGCTTTAATGGGATTTTGGGTAATTGGTTCCAGCTCACCGAAAATTACATACAAACTAAAAATAAATGCAGTAAAGTACACTTACTTTGAGGTGTGCATGTAGAAGGCTCCTGGTTGATGATGATGATGATGATGGGAATTAGAATGGGGGTGGAGGAGAAGGGAGAAGAGAAGGCATTGGGGTGGAAGAGAAGTCACCCCATGGCGCCATTTCACCCACCAAATTTTAGTTCACTTGGTTTAATTCAAGATTATTTTCTTTAACTCAACACTGCACTGCATTATATATTGTCATTATGTAAAATAAACTTCAGAATGACCAATAATTGTACTGTAAAAACGTAAAAATAGTTTATGTTCAATAGAGTCTCAAGCAAGAAGCTTCCTCCACTGAGCAGGGACACACACTGATGCCATATCGGGTGTGTTGAGTGGCTGTTTGGCGCGCTAAAAACTAGTTTCCTGTACTTCAGTTATGTTAAAAAATTGCTAAAATGACTAAAAATTTTAATATAAGACTTGGAAAATTATTGACAAGTACAACCTTCTTGATATTTACTCAAATGGTAACAAATTTAAGCCCTAAAACCAATTACTGTATTGGCGGACTAATACTACAGCTGGTGAGCAGGCGAAAACATGTTGGGAAAAATTCGTAAGGAATTCGTTAACCGAAATTTTTTCGTTAACCGAAGTGAAGAATCTTATGGAAGGTAATTCGTTAACCGAGGCGTTCGTTAACCGAGGGATCACTGTATTTATAATCGTCACTACTGAGCACCTGAAGATTAGACACCCTAGGTTATTTCACATGAATATTAACTACAATAATGCTAATCTGATCTAATTTTACCAAACCTAACCTAATCCTATCCCCTCCCCCTAATAGCATTAGGGTGGTTAATCATCAGGTGAAATAAGCCGGAGTACCAAATCTTCAGGTCATCCAAGTTTTCATCTAACCTAACCTGACCTGACCTGACCTAACCTGACCTAACCTAACCAAACCAAACCTAACACAATGATGACTCCCACAGGCACAATCTCCACCACTGGATGGACTTCTTCACCAGCATACGGGAAGCCATTAAAACAGATCGCTTGGAAGACCTGAGATCACTGATAGAGTCGTCAGTTCTGGAATCTAAAGAGGCGTAAAGTACGGGTCTCATCCATTTACGATCGCTGGAAATGAATCGAAATCAAATAATATCAAATATTTTCGAGTTTTGTCTCCCACCTCTCCTTTCCCTCCTTCCCTCCTCTCAGAAATTTGTTTATGTGATCGGTGAGGTGGTCAGGTGTGTGTGTGTTTCATCTGTCACGTCTGTTTTAATTAATCATTTTCCTTTTGATCTTGAACCTTAACAAGTCGAGTTCATTGCTGTCAGGTGTGTGTTTCATCTGTCAGGTCTGGGGTTGCGGTCATTTTGTGGCGGCCGCTGTTAAGCTGTTTTATAGACTTCTTTAAATCACTGCCAGTAAAAGATAGAATGTAATCTTTCAACATTCAGCTTCAGGACCAAGAATGTTTTTTAAACCGATGTGAATGATTTTAATGAATAGATTGAGATTGTATTTAAACATTTTTGTTTTTTTTATGTAGTTTTCTTAGAAAATAAAGATGTTTTTAGTAAGGTCTTGTGATTTATTAGAGGGATGACCTGTGATAATGTTTAGATATTAAGCTACTTTTTCCTGGGTGAGAAATCCTCTTTGGTGATGTTTCTCAGTGATCAATTGTTCCTTTCTTAACCATAGAATGAATTCTGGTGATGTTTTTCTCAGTGATCAATTACTGTATTTACTTCTTAACCATAAGATGTACTGTACTCTGGTGATGTTTCTCAGTGGTTAATGTGTTTCTCAGTGGTCAATGTGTTTCTCAGTGGTCAATGTGTTTCTCAGTGGTCAATGTGTTTCTCAGTGTTCAATTGTTTCTTTCTTAACCATAAAAAGGGACTTAATTCATTCCTCGACACGTGAAGCCTCGAGATAAATGTAATCCTCCTCACGTCTCACCATCCAATGACTGATTCCTTCTCTAACTGTGAGGCAACTGACCAAACTCCTCCTGGGTCTTACGTAATATTGAGTCAGTAAAGAGGAAACTAAACAAAACATTACCTTGATATTTTTTATTATTTATGACATCAAAACACTAGAGAAATTATATACAGTCAACCCTCGCTTTACGCGGTCCCACATTCCGCGTTTCCACGTTTACGCGGTACCCTGCCGAAACCGGAATGCTCACATTCTGCGGTGCGTGTACCCCTTTACGCGGAGAGCGGCTGGCGAGCCGCGCCATTTTTGGATCCAAACCTCCCGTCATCTCTCCCGCCCTCTCCCGCCATCCGCCATGTTGTGTAAGCGGCGCGAGCAGGGTGCGCACAAGGTCGCCCAGTCATGAAAACATTACCGAGTTCTTCACCCGCCACCCATCACAGCCGGCCCAAGTCAGCGATAGTGATAATTATAGTGAAGATATGGACTTATATGGACTTTGAGGGGTTTGACAAAGAGGCCCTGCAAGCCTCTGTGGTGGATAGTGATACAATTGATACAAGTGATACAGGTGAGGGCCAATAATCTGCCCTCTGCCTCGGAACCAACCCCCCATCCCCGTGTGCCCAGCAATCTTTTCTACTAATGTATGTGTTAAAAAACCTAATATTATTGATATTTCTCTTAATTATTAATTGTGTGTGCATACCATCATAAAATTAAGAAGTTATTTTTACTACAACGTAGGTATTGTGTCTGAAAAAGTGGAGTTTGGGGGTCGGCCCGGTCTCTATTTCAATTAATCCCATACGTTATGTTGTTCACTTTACGCGTTTCTCACTTTCCGCGGTACCCTGTGGGTTGAATTAACCGCGTAAAGTGAGGGTTCACTGTATATATATATCATAACACAACTATACCCTCTTGCGTCTTGGGGCTTTGAGATTTTGTTTTGATCTTTACTATTGAACTTTTATGACCTTATTGAACTATGACTACCAAACAAACTATACAGTAGTCCATTCACACAAGCTTTGGAACAAGAAACTAGATCAGGTTTCATCAAGTCTGTAGGGAATGAGATGCCTTAGGTTAGTTTAGAGCTCTACATTATATTTTCTTTATATTCTGCAATTTTCAAGTAATATTAACAAGTAAGTGTTAATGTAGAATGATAATCAGAGCCAGGAAAGTTAAAATAAATATGTTAAACACGCTAATAACATAGATATCTTGAGAGTGAAAAATAAAAAGTTGACCAATCATGAGGTTCAGTTGATTTGGTCCACTTGTAAGCTTGGAGTGAACACATTATACACACATGTCCTGAATTTATGAAGGTCTCTTGAGATTGTATTAAGCTTGACTATATAATTTGCTTTGGTTATAGACTATGTATTTTTTGTCCCGTATTTGTCAAAACTCGAAGGAAGTGAGAACCTGTCTGCTTGAATGTGAGTGCTACTGTGTGTTACTGTATATGCATCTCAAAGTATCATTGTAACTTTTTATTACAATGAAACCTCCATATAATGAACTTTTCTCTCCAAATAGTTCGTTAGATGGAGGTTTCACATCTAATGGACCCTCGATATAATGGACTTTCATCTCTATATAGTCCATTAAATAAAAGTTTCACTGTATCATATATGGAATAACACTTACATAAACAGTGCAGAAATACAGTATACATTATGTGGTGGGGGGGAGGGAGTGCAGTGGTCAAGTGGGTACAGCATTCGTCTTTCCTCCTAAGTGTCACTCGTTCTTGCCTAGGAGACCCTAAGTCCACCCAGCTGTCAATGGGTACCTGACATTACTGTTGGTGATATTAAAGGGTGAGACATGTATCTCTCACTACTGTGTCTTGGGTTCAAGTCCTGAGCTGAGACACAAGTGAGAAGAGGATTTCCTTATCTTTTTCATATCAGATATTTTTTTTTTGGTGTGTAATTGAAAGTAGAAATCTATTGTCTTTGTCTATTTAATTATCCTACCATATTTAATTCACTTCTGTCATATTTAATTTTCCGCTGTGTTATATTTAATCCTTCTTTGTGTAGTTGTAGGTAGAAAATCTATCATCCTTTTCAATTTGTTCAGAAATAGCCCAGTACGCGAATAAACACGTAATCGTAACATCGCAAAGTAAGACAGAGACGATACCCAGTCTGTTGATGATCTGCGGCGTGTTGAACCTTCGTGTGGGGCGATGTTTGGTGACATCGCTAACCCAGGCGACCTTCACGTTGATGTCCAGCGACGGATCTTTCATCGTAATTGTGTCTGCCGAGTCTGGGGTTTCTTGCCGGCCCGTGAGACTTTTCTGGATGCAGCTGTGAAGAAAGAAGACAAAACTCACCCGCAGGATGCAGTAGAAGAAGAAGAAGTCAACGAGCTTAGGCATAGGACCGCTGGGAAGAGAAGACGACACCTGGGAGAAGAGCGACGCTATGACGATGAGCAACGACAGCGTGACGGTGATCCTGTCGGTGAAGTTGTCGAGCTGGAAGTGCGTCAGAGTGAGATGCGACAGAATACACAGGACGATGCACGGCAGGAATGTCGTCAAGAGATATGCTATGAACTTCCTGGTGAACAGCACGTAAACTATAACCTCGGTGGGCGCATTCTCCTCCGAAACGTCGTAAGTGAAGCGAGGTTGTGAGATGGAGTACGTGGAAATGGTCAAATCTTTGCCCTCGACTTGGATTCCTTCATCGCTCTCACTGTTCCACTTTGGTTGACACCCTGAGGTACATTTGAGGCGAAGGGACATTTGGCATTCCTGAGTGTCAAACGGAAAGGTGAATAATTCGAAGGTGCAAGAAAACGTAAAGAGATACTTGAAGTGTTGGTTGATGAAGACATGTGAACCATTGACCTTCTGAACTGCAATTAAAAAAAATATATATATATTTTATCTGTCACTAATTTATCATACGTTGGGTAAATAAATTAGTTCTATACCGTTACTGTGAAACCTCGATATAATGGACTTTTCTCTCCATATAACCCCTTTCACATCTAACGGACCCTCGATATAACAACCCTCCCTCGCCTTATAGTCCATTAAATAGAAGTTTAACTGTAAAATGAGAAGAAAATTATGAATCTTAAGTAAATATATATAACCAGAGTAAACTGAAGATCCTAGAATAAGAGAGAACTTAACAGAATCAAATGTGGTCCAATAGCAGAGGTGTATGGTGATAATAATGGTGTTATGAAATTAGTATGGTTCTTATAACACCCCACCGTGAGTGAAATTAATATCCTTCGCAGAATCGTGATGACTTATGAGTGACTACCTTCCCAGAGGAGCTCATGTACTGTACTACTGGGGTGAAGTGAGTCAGAGAGACAGACATGACAAGTCCCTGGTTAAACACACTGCCTTAGGTGGACTATGAACGTGGGATCTTGAAATCTGAGGTGAGTTAGTTCGTATATATTACCTGCACTGTCTAGGTACATTGTATACCTGCATTGTCTATATACATGCTGAACTGTATACCTGCATGGTGTATATACATGCTGAACTGTATACCTGCATTGTCTATATACATGCTGAACTGTATACCTGCATGGTGTATATACATGCTGAACTGTATACCTGCATGGTGTATATACATGCTGAACTGTATACCTGCATTGTCTATATACATGCTGAACTGTATACCTGCATGGTGTATATACATGCTGAACTGTATACCTGCATGGTGTATACCTGCATGGTGTATATACATGCATGGTGTATATACATGCTGAACTGTATACCTGCATGGTGTATATACATGCTCAATCAATGTAAAATTTCATTGTATTGTATTGAGTTATACTGAAGTGGACATTGGTTGCCACTTGGTCTTAGAGAAATTTGATATAATGGGAGAGTGTGAGTTGTATAAGAGTTAAAATAGACTTAATTGATATATATGAATGATTTAGAAATGAATGTGAAAAGTGAATGAAGTGTCAAAGGCGAGAGTGAAGGAAATAGAATGATAGAATGAATGTTTTTGAAAGATTCCTTGAAAAATGAATAAAGTGTTGTAAAAGAGAACCATCAGGGAGCAGTGAATGGAAATAGATGAATGCATTGAAAGAATATATTAAAATGAAATAAGCTGGGATGGAAAGTCTTCAAGTGATCCATAAAATTCTATATAGAGTTACTAACCTTCATAGCTGTTATCTATAGTTGTCTCGCTATCTCTTACAGCGCTGACTGTAATGTCTTGTAATACATCAATCTTCTTCAGTATGTTGAGGTTGTCTCTGTACACGGCGTTGTCAAAATACACTACGGGTGACCATATTAAGTCAAACTCCTCTGGCTCTAGGGGGAGCATATTGTTGGCAAGGTTAATGAACTTTAGTCTGTGATCCGTCCATGACAGCGTGATGTATAGCGTCACGCCGAATTCATTTCCCTGGAGAGATACTGTGTTGACGCCCAAAAGTCTGACTTTTAAGTTGATCAGGGGTGATTCCTCGGGGCAGGCAGACTTCCAGTAAGTTGATGAGGGCTGTTCCAAGATGTAGCAGATGTCGCCCTCATCCGAGTGGTCGGGACACTGAACGATGCCATCACAACGGTTTATGAGAGGGATGCAGGAGCTGTCGTTACACGTGAAGCTGTCGTTACTACACAGTGATAGAGTGTAAGTCTTTTTAGCCATCATGTTTGGTGTGAACCAGTCCTTACGTCCGAGGTAAAGTTGGTTGTCGAGAAAGTGTGCGTACATTTCATAATCACATATTGAAGACTTGAGGCATTCATTGTTAGTTGCTGTATCATTGGGGCATTTTGATTTTGATATTATTGCTCCATCTTTGGACTGCAGTATAAGTTGCCCATTGTAAGGCAAAGCTGAAAATTCCATTACATCATCTCCTTTCACATACACTTTTATACCATAAGGAAGGAAGCAGGCTGTGACAATCAGGATTGAGGAACATTTGAACTCCAGCGTGTGATATATTTCATCTGCCCGGGTAACAGACAGTACAATACCGTACTTGTTGGAATTATATACCATGTCTTCTGTCCAGAAAAGTACCTTCAGGTCTACGATGTCCTTGGATGAGCTTATCTCGTGAGCTATTTGTTTATAATCATCAGATCTGTTTATCAAGCGACCGCCCATTCTTTTGCAGAATGCTCTTGCCTCGTAGTGATGGTTGTATGCCCTGAACAGAGCTATGAACTCTGAAGGATGTGGCCGGCAGAACTCCTCCAGGGCTCTCGACTGCCTCTCAACCCCACCAATGTGAGATACATTAAGCACGCGTTGAAAATCAAGAGGGCCGGGCTGACACTGTTGATGTTGTGTGATCTCCGACACATTGAGCTCCCGCGTGTAAAGCAGCACCCTTGCAAGTTTCCCCGAGAACACAAACCCTCCGGGATAACTACCCAGCTGGAGCGTTACTCGGTCAACATCCTTCGTAGACGTAAAACAAATCTTCTTGTCAGCGAATAGGAAATCAAATGTGTGATTGGCGAGGTACAAGACAGAACCCGTGTCATTGACGGCAAGACAGAGCTGATGCCACTTGTGGGACTCCAGCTCAGGTGTATCAAGGATCACTGAGCAGGTGTTGTTGATGGACACACCCAGTCGACCTTCCAGCACTGTGAGGAAAGAACTTTAGTTGAGTCACAGTGATCATGGTTAGTTAGAGAGCTGGACCTACGCCTCTCTAACCTAGCGTAGCGACTCACAAGAAGAGATAAGAGCTGGACCTACGCCTCTCTAACCTAGCGTAGCGACTCACAAGAAGAGATAAGAGCTGGACCTACCCTATCCAACCTTACCTATGATAGTGACTTGTTAAATTATCTGTAAGTGACCAACAGAAAACAGGATCTTGGGGGTATAGGAAGACACACAGCATTTCCAAATTATAAAGAACACAAGTCAAGGCTCCTTTACCTGGGAACCTTGCGGCCACTTATGTTTTAGTTCTCGGCTGCCTCGTTCTACTTATTTTTCGAAAGACTAAGCCGGTATTAACCTATACAAGCTGATATATGTGTTTCATTGCAGTTATTATAATAGTCGTAACTGTAATATATACTGTAGTGGGTTTAGCTCCGTCCCATCACGCGTAACCTTCTCCGTGCCGGCGACGATAACATCCCGGAACTCACATTTGATTTCGAGGGAGTTCTCGTTGTCGTAGATGTGAACGATGAGACCCGTGGCCTGTTGGAGTAGAGGCAGGACCCAACAGCACAGTGTATAGGGTGGCGCCAACACGGTATCATCCTCGTACTCTCCTTCAATCTGTAAACAACTCGATATTTATACCTACTGTGTGTCTCTTTGTGTCATAAGTGTCATGCAGTATTTTATAATGTGGTTTACCTGAAGATTATCCACCCCTGATTATTTTACCTGAAGATTATCCTCCCCAGATTATTTTACCTGAAGATTATCCACCCCAGATTATTTTACCTGAAGATTATCCACCCCCAGATTATTTTACCTGAAGATTATCCTCCCCAGATTATTTTACCTGAAGATTATCCACCCCAAATTATTTTACCTGAAGATTAACCCACCCTAATACTAATCTAACCCTGGGGTGGATATTCTTGAGGTGAAATAAGCTGGGGTGGATATTCTTCAGGTGATCTACAACTTCAACTCATAATCCCTAGACCATATTACCATACACAGGTGATATTATGGTAATTAACACACTAATGACCTCAGAGAATTTAATTACCGGTAGGCAAAAGTTATTAATATATGGATGGTAAATAGAGAATAATCAATATAAGAGTACAGTATTACCCCGCTTAACGCGCTTTCACTTAACGCGTTTTCGCATATACGCGGTGCCTTGCCAAAGCTGAACTTTCACTTAACGCGGATTTTTCCACAGCAACGCGGTGAGTGTCCGGCTCGGATGCTATTTTTAGATTTTGACCACGCGCCACCCGCCCGCCCGCCCTCCTGCCTGCCTGCCTGCCTCTCCCTCCTCCTCCCTCCGCTTGGGCAAGCGGCGCGGTAAGGTTGCGCAGTGTGTGTCTTTGTTGCGTTATCACTGACGTCATATGACGTCTCGGACTGTGATTGGCCATGCAGCCCTACCCCCCTCTGCTGCTAGCTGTAATTGGCTTAAAGTATTATGACGTGACTACCCCGGGGAGGGAGGGAGGGAGGGAGAGACGACGCTTGACCTAGCCGCGGCAGTTTCATCCCTCAAGGCCACGCCGTGTTAACGCGCATCCATTGTTCCGTAAAATGGCTTCCGCCGGACCACCACCCCCAGAGAGAAACCTTTCCTTACCTGGACCCAGCGGCACTAAACCAAAGAAGACACGACGTTCATTAAGCTACGAGCTGAAGTACCAAATTGTTCAAGATTTGGAGAAAGGAAGACGCCAAGTTGATCTCGCGCGCCAGCATGGCGTCAACGAATCTACGATTCGTACGATCAAGAAGGATGCAGCCAAGATAAAGGAGCACATGAAGCTCACAAAGTCTGCAGGTGCTTCAGCTATCAGGTATTGCCAGAACAGGGTGCTGGCAAAAGTGGAAACTTTGCTGGTGAGTTATTTGGTGCGTCAGGCGCGACGCAACATGGCGGTGGACACGCGCTCAGTGCAGGAGTACGCACGTGAGCTATACGCAGCAGTGACACGTAAAATGGGAATTGCAGAGCCCAAACCCTTCAATGCTTCCCATGGTTGGCTGCATAGGTTTAAGAGGAGGAACAAGGTCACCAACATCAGCATTGTTGGTGAGGAAGCGAGTGCTGACCGTGCGGCGGCTAGAGATTTTCCTCCGTTTTTACGTGAGATTATGGAGGAAGGACAGTACACTGACGACCAGGTGTTTAACATGGACGAATCTGGTCTTTTCTGGAAAAAGTTACCTTCCAAGACCTTCGTTGTCCAGTCTGCGAGCAAGGTAAGGGGCCGGAAGATGCAGAAGGAACGCATCACCGTCCTGTTTACCACCAATGCCTCCGGTACCTGTAAACCAAAGTTATCGGTGATTCACAAAGCCCGCAAGCCGCACGCCTACAAGAATATGGACATGAACAAGCTTAATGTCCACTGGCTAACCGCACGTAAGGCGTGGATGTCCTCTTCTCTGTCCCTCTTCTGGTTTGACAACTTTTTTGTTCCTGACGTGCAGAAATTCTGCGAGCAACAGAATGTTCCATTCAACATTTTGTTGCTCCTTGACAACGCACCTGGACACTCGCCCCTACTAATGGATCGTCACCCCAACGTAAAAGTGGTCTTCCTTCCTCCCAACACCACGTCATTAATCCAGCCTATGGACCAGGAGTTAATCTGCAACGTTAAAGCTGCATACTCGGCAAAGAAATTCAAGCTCCTGAACGACTCTACCAACACCAAGGATGAGTTGCGTAAGCTGGGTGACACCGACAGCGAGAGTAAAAGCGACGAGGACAAGGAACAAGAGGCGGCGACTCAAGAAGTTCTCGTCAAACAATTTTGGAAGAAGTTTAACGTCAAACAAGCTGTAGACTTCTTGGTGGAGGCATGGGATCTGCTGTCTACTGCTACGATTCGTCACGCATGGAGACATGTGTTGCATGGCATACCAGGTGAGAGGAGGAGTCAATCTGTTACTGGTCAGGTTCAGACTGTTGCAGTAGCAGTGGACCTTGCCAGAGAAGCTGCGCAGACTGTTACAGCTGAAGGCTTCTCCGAGACCACCAACGAAGACATCATGGAGGTGATCAGAGATCCTGAAGTGACTGCCGACGAGATGTTGGAAGAAGAACCCGCCAGTGAAGAGGAGGAAGAAGGTGCGTCATTCTCCGAAGAACCTAGTTTAAGTCATAGTGATATTAAGTGTGTCATAGAGTTAACAGAAAAAATTAAGTCCATCGTTTCCCGCGACACTGACGATGAACGCCATGACGTCTTCCATAACCGACTGGTGCAGGCTATGGAGCCGTACATCAAGGTGTATCACGACAACATCAAAGCCAGCCGTCAGAAAAGCATAACCGAGTTCTTCGCCCGCAACCCACCACAGCCAGCCCAAGGCAGTGATAGTGATAGTGAAGGTGATTTTGAGGGATTTGTCAGGGAAGCCATGACAACTGTAAGTGACAGTGATATTGATTCACCTAGTAATGGTGATTCACCTAGTAATGGTGATTCACCTGAGGGGCAGTAATCTGCCCTCTGCCTCGGAACCAGCCTCCATCCCCGTATGCCGACCCATCTCTTCTACTACCGTGAGTGTTCCTTAAACCTTTTCGTTTTTTAACCTATTCTTTATTTTTCCTATGTTAACCTTTATCTTTCCTAACCTAACCTCTTCTATATTACTTGTTTTTCATGCCACCATAAAGTTAAGATAGAATTTTTACTACAACATAGTTATTTGTCGTCAAAAAGTGGAGTTTGGGGGTCGGGCTGGGTTCTATTGGAATTAATCCCATATGTTCTGTTATTCACTTAACGCGGTTTTCACTTAACGCGGGACCCTCTGGGTTCAATTGACCGCGTTAAGTGGGGTACAACTGTATTTAAATTACATTGATAATTTTCAAAGGTAATTAAACTAACAATGAAAAGTAATTAAACTAACAATGTAAAGTAATTAAACTAACAATGAAAAGTAATTAAACTAACAATGTAAAGTAATTAAACTAACATTGAAAAGTAATTAAACTAACAATGAAAAATAATTAAACTAACAATGAAAAGTAATTAAACTAACAATGAAAAGTAATTAAACTAACAATGAAAAGTAATTAAACTAACAATGAAAAGTAATTAAACTAACAATGAAAAGTAATTAAACTAACAATGAAAAGTAATTAAACTAACGATAATGAATATAGTAAAGATAATTTGACTAATAATAGATATAATAAAGGTAATTCAACAAATAATGATTAAAATTAACTTACTTTAGCAATTTTATTCTTGTTGTCTTTTAAAGGTGAGAAGTCAAATACTGCCGTCTCCCAGGCATCGTTCTCCGTCACCTCTGTGGGTTAGGAGATATGAGTTACAGGGAATGTGGAGTTACTGGGAATGTGGAGTTACCGGGAATGTGGAGTTACTGGGAATGTGGAGTTACTGGGAATGTGGAGTTACTGGGAATGTGGAGTTACCGGGAATGTGGAGTTACTGGGAATGTGGAGTTACCGGGAATGTGGAGTTACCGGGAATGTGGAATTACTGGGAATGTGAGTTACCTGAACACACACATGCATACATACACACACACACACAGCTCAATAATGTCAACAAGTTCTGAATGAAACATAATGCTTTCAGGTCTTGTGTGGGTGTCGACCAATTACAACACAGCAGCTTATGGGTGATTAATGATTGGTCCAACGTAGTGATGGAGAACGATGTAGTTACATAGTTGATTGGTGCAACTAGAGTATTATTGATTCAACGGCGTATTAATATTGTGTGGCCTTTTAATAGTGGCGTGTTCATGGCTGTTATAGACGTTAGTGGAATAATAATGATAATAGTGGTACCTTACCCTACCTTATCCCACCTTATAATTAACTTATCCTGTACCCTACCCTACCCTATCCTAACTTATCCTGTACCCTACCCTACCCTATCCTAACATCCTGTACCCTACCCTACCCTATCCTATCCTAACATATCCTGTACCCTACCCTACCCTAACTTATCCTGTACCCTACCCTATCCTAACTTATCCTGTACCCTAACCCACCCTATCCTAACTTATCCTCTACCCTACCCTATCCTAACTTATCCTGTACCCTACCCTTCCCTACCCTATCCTAACTTATCCTCTACCCTACCCTAACCTACCCTAACCTACCTTATCCTAACTTATCCTGTATCCTAACCTACCCTACTCCACCCTATCCTAACTTATCCTCTACTCTACCCTAACCTACCCTACCCTATCCTAACTTATCCTCTACCCTATCCTAACCTACCCTACCCTACCCTACCCTCCAGATAGTGTTGGGGTGTTTTATCATCAGGTGAAATAAGCTGGGGTGCCTAATCTTCAGGTAATCCATATAAACAAAAATATCCCCTATAATACCGAAAAATGGATATATAATTCGGTATAATTAATGTAGATGTTTTGTAGCAATAATCATCTAGGTATTCACTGAGCGAGTGTATAATTTGACGTGGAATTTCTTTTATTTTATTAGTATTGATTATATCGTTACAGGTATTAGTTAATTTATTGACTTGCAGTACGTGCCTAAAAGAGTTTGTGAGTTGTTGGAGTGTGGTGGAGCATTATACTGTTATTTAGTTTATTTATGAGGTATAATGTGTAGGGTTTTTTTTTAGGGGTGGTTTTAGTAGGTTTTTGTTTTAGGGTTTTAGGATAGGGTTTTTAAGTGATTTATTGGGTCTTAGTTTTAGTTTTTTTAAAGGTCAGAAGAGGTCTTTAAGCGCCATTCATTAGGTCTTACTGATCGGCTCGTTAACTGCTTGGGTGGTCGGTCACGTCTCTGTCACGCACTGTTGGCAAGTACTGGGCATGTACCGGCTCCTGAATGTACCTGAACCTGCTCCAGTGTTGGTCAAGTCTGGTCTTGAAGGAGCTCACACTCGGTGCCGTCACAACTCTCTCTGGTAGATTGTTCACAACTCTCACTCCGAAAAAGTTTGCCCTCACAGTTTTCTGGACTTGCAGCTTCTTCAACCTTGAGCTGTGACCCCTAGTGGGGCGGCCGTCCACCAGCTCCAGGTATGAACACTCAACTCAGTGTCCATATCTGAGATGTTTAAACACGTCAATTAGGTCGCCCCTTGTCCGCCTATAGTATAAGCTGCAGGCGCTCTAATCTCTCTGGGTGCCTGAGGTGCCATAGTGCAGGCACCAGTCTGGTGGCCCTCCTTTGATCATTTTCAACCAACTGACTGTCCCTAGTATATCTCGGGGACCAGACGGGGTGACAGTACTCCAGATGGGGAAGCACTTCACTCCTGAAGATCGTTACTTTTACTTTTTTTTTTACTTTTATCCTCTTCGCCACTGATCGGCTTGTTAGCCGCTTGGGCGATCGGTCACGTCTCTTTTCATTTATATTTTTCACCAAAAGGTCGGCTCGCTAGCCGCCCGGGCGATCGGTCACGTCTCTGTCACGCACTGTTGGCAAATACTGGGCATGCACCGGCTCCTGAATGTACCTGAACCCGCTCCAGTGTTGGTCAAGTCTTCTCTTGAAAGAGCTCACACTCGGTGCCGTCACAACACTCTCTGGTAGATTGTTCCAAGAGTTTACAACCCTCACTCCGAAAAAGTTTGCCCTCACGGTTTTCTGGACTTGCGGCTTCTTCAATCTTGAGCTGTGACCCCTTGTGGGGCGAGCGTCCGCCAGCTCCAAGTAAGGACACTCAACTGAGTAGTGCCCCCTGAGATGCTTATACACCTCAACTAGGTCCCCCCTTGCCCGTCTGTAGTATAAGCTAGGCAAGTTCAGGCGCTCCAATCTCTCAGGGTAGCTGAGGTGCCGAAGTGCAGGCACCAGTTTGGTGGCCCTCCTTTGAACATTTTCAACCAACTGACAGTCCCTAGCATATCTCGGGGACCAAATGGGGTGACAGTACTCCAGATGGGGAAGCACTTCACTCCTGAAGATCGTCACGAGGGACGGACCGTCTAGATATCTGAACGACCTTCTTATAAGACCCAATAATTTATTTGCCTGATCTACCTTCTTCTCACAATTGCCCGAGAACTTCAGCTCATTGTCAACATACACTCCTAGGTCCTTCTCACACACAGTCTCAACTAGTACAGTTTCTTCATCCCGTTGGGACATATGATACGCCTCCTTACCGTTGGTACGCCCCAGGTGCATCCTCTTACACTTCCTGACATTGAATCTCGGCAGCCATTTCTTCGCCCATTCTTGGAGCCCACAGAGGTCCTTCTGCCGCTCTTCACAGTCCGCTTGGTTCTTAATTTCCCGAAATAACTTAGCGTCATCGGCAAACATTTGTATGGAGTAGTGTACAACGTCAGGCATGTCATTTATTAAACAAACAAACAACAGCGGGCCCAATACACTACCCTGCGGTACCCCACTTGTTACAGGTACAGATGACGATTTCGAGGGACGGACCGTCTAGATATCTGAACGACCTTCTCATGAGACCCAATAATTTATTTGCCTGATTTGCCTTCTTCTCGCAATGGCCTGAGAACTTCAGCTCATTGTCAACATGCACACCTAGGTCCTTTTCACATTCAGTCTCTATTAATGCAGTATAATCACAGCCACAGGTACACATAATCATAGCCACAGGTACACATAATCATAGCCACAGGTACACATAATCATAGTCACAGGAACACATAATCATAGCCACAGGTACACATAATCATAGCCACAGGTACACATAATCATAGTCACAGGTACACATAATCATAGCCACAGGTACACATAATCATAGTCACCGGTACACATAATCATAGCCACAGGTACACATAATCATAGCCACAGGTACACATAATCATAGCCACAGGTACACATAATCATAGCCACAGGTACACATAATCATAGCCACAGGTACACATGATCATAGCCACAGGTACACATGATCATAGCCACAGGTACACATAATCATAGTCACAGGTACACATAATCATAGCCACAGGTACACATAATCATAGTGACAGGTACACATAATCATAGCCACAGGTACACATAATCATAGCCACAGGTACACATAATCATAGCCATAGGTACACATAAGCATAGCCACAGGTACACATAATCATAGCCACAGGTACACATAATCATAGTCACAGGTACACATGATCATAGCCACAGGTACACATAATCATAGCCACAGGTACACATAATCATAGCCACAGGTACACATAATCATAGCCACAGGTACACATAATCATAGTCACAGGTACACATAATCATAGTCACAGGTACACATGATCATAGTCACAGGTACACATAATCATAGCCACAGGTACCAACCTTTGTTCTCTGGTACAGATGACGTCACTAGTACCAGAAGGCTGAAGACGACAAGGCAGGTACCAGCCTCCACCATGACTGTCAACCTGTGTAGATGATAATAGTAAAATAATATTACTTTACAGGTATATAATTCAGTAGGTATTTATACACACAAACATACACAGATATATATATACATACACGTAAATACACAGACACACAAGCCACATATACACACACACACACAAATATACACACGCCACAGCACACAGATACACACACACGCCACAAATACACGCACACAGATACACACACACGCCACAAATACACGCACACAGATACACACACACGCCACAAAGACACGCACACACACACACACACACACCGAGGCAACACCACCTCTGACCAGAACTCAAGACCAAATGGACCGATCAGTCTCTCACCTGTTCTTATATACCTGTGTGTAATTGGCGGGTCATTAATTATTACCTGGAGAATTGATGGTGTTGTGTAAAGATCAAGTTAGATGGATGGTTGGTGCAGGTGGATAGGTGTGTGGATAAGTGGATGGAGGTTGATAATTGGATGTGAATGTGGTTAAGTGGGTGTGCACGTGGATGAGTGGATGTGTACTGTAGGTGGATAAGTGAGATGTGTAGGTGGATAGCTATGGATGGAGGTGGATATGTGGGTGAATGAGTGGAGTTGTATGGAGGTAAGTGGTTGGGTGGATGTGGATAGAGGTGGATGGTGGGTGGGTGAGTGGATGTGGATGAAAGTAGGTGGATGGAGGTAAATAAATGGGTGAGTGGGTGCAGGTGGATGAGTGGAGGGGGGTGGAAATTAACTTATCTAGTGTAAATGGTCTTAGTATAATATTAATGCCATTTTAAACGCTATTTTTAAGGTAAGGGTCAACGTTAAGTGAACTAGTTAATGTTATAGGGTTAGGTCAAGGTCATTAGCGAGTAATAAGTGGTTTAATATCGTTGTTATTTGTTATATAAGTTATTGTTCAGTTATAATGGAATTTGGTATAAGAAAATTTGGCGTGATTAATGTTTTAGAAATAATTATAATTTTATACGATTTTAATTTAAATTTTAGTTTTAGGTCCAGAATCTTGAGAGAGAGAGAGATGAATCTACAACTAACAATAAGACTCAAGTTAAAGATAGATTAATATAAAGATAATTGATAGATGTACATAAAGATAAATAGAGAAATAGAATGACATAGAGAGATAGAGAGATAAATTGAGAGATAGAGAGAGAGAGATGAATTTACAACTAATAATAAGACTCAAGTTAAAGATAGATATAAAGATAATTGATAGATAGATGTACATAAAGATAATAGAGAAATAGAATGACATAAATAGAGAGATAAATTGAGAGATAGAGAGAGATAGAGGAGGGGGGGTTAAGTCCATCAGCTGGTCTAACATCAACACAGAGAGACTGGCGCCACCTCGTCTACCACACCTTCACACAATTCCTTTTACATTTTACCACAATAAACCATCATGGAGTGTAGAAAGAGAGCTAAAAACCGTACCTCATTCATCAATAACCCCTTTAGAAGAGTTGTTAAGGTACCAAAGTGAGTAAAATATGTTAAAATGTTGTTAAAATTGTAAAAATGTTAGAAGTTTTAATCGAGAAATTTCTAAAGTTGAGGGATGTAGTTGTAGCATTCCTGTTAGTTTATTGATCGATATGTGGGAATTATTGTATATTTTTAGGGGTTATTTTGTAGATTAGTGATGATATTGTATCTGTAGTTAAGATATTGTAGTGTAAATTGTGGTATTGTATAGGAGTTATGGTGTTTTGTAGAGCACGTGTTGTAGTTCAGATATTGTATACTAGTTAACTTATTGTACAGTAGTCTATGTATTGTAGTTTAGATATAGTAGATTAGTAAATATAATGTACACTAGTTAAGATACACTTTAGACCCATTGTACAGCAGTTCAGGTGGCTGGTACAATGTGGTTTAATAGCCAAGGGTTGAATACTGGAACTATAATTTAGAACTTAAGTATTGCATTTGTCGAAGATATTGGAGCAAGTATAGTGAGTCTTGTCTGTTTGGTTAAGTTAGGTAGGTTAGGTTATGTGTGGCTAGCTTAGACTAGGTTAGGTAATTTAAGTTAAGTTAGGTTAGATTAGGTTATGTTGGTAAGGTAGTTTAGGTTAGGTTAGACGGATAGGTTGGTTAGGTTAAGTTAGACAGGGTTAGGTAGGTTAGGTGTGGTTAGGTTAGATGGATAGGTTGGTTAGGTTAAGTTAGACAGGGTTAGGTAGGTTAGGTGTGGTTAGGTTAGACGGATAGGTTGGTTAGGTTAAGTTAGACAGGGTTAGGTAGGTTAGGTGTGGTTAGGTTAGACGGATAGGTTATAAACTAATGGTGGTATTTATTACAGGGTGAAGGACAGCTCCATCTTCTGGTGCATGTTGGCCCTGGCACGACTCTACCTGGCCACAGTGCAGACTGGTTATATCCATCCTGACGAGTTCCATCAGTCGGTCCAAGTGATGGCACGTAGGTATCTCTCTCTCTTGACACACACACACACACACAAGCCTATATCTTCACCACAATGTTGCTTCACTCTCTCTTTTACAGGTACTTTAACGGGCAATGTTCGGTGGATTTGGCATCCTGTGTACCGCCGGCAAGGCCGTGGGCTCGTAACACACATCTTGCCCGCGGTGCCCACCGCTTCTCTGTGGATGTCGGTCACACTATAATAACCCGTTATAGTACCTCCTTCTTTCCTCACACAGCCAAACTGTGGAATGCTCTGTCTTCTGTGTTTCCATACTCATACAATGTCTCACTTCAAAAAGCTGGTTTTCTGGCATCTTTGTGCTGTACATTAATACAGTATACTATAGTCTTTTTATCTCTTAATTTTTATTATTTTTTCTTTCTATTCTTATTTTTTCGCCCCCCAGGCCCCTCTGTGGGTCAATGACCTGTGTACCGGTGGGTTGTTCCTCGTAAACACACACACACACACCACTATCCCCATCCTGATAACCCCAAAAATTTTGCACTAGAATATAACATTAGTTTCAATCTGTGTTCCAAGTCATTGAATGTCACCTTGATAAGCCTTTATAAGCCTCTACTACAGCGTGCAGCTCAGTCTTTGGCGAGATGAGGAAGGGGAAGGATGGCGTGTCTCTTGTGAACATGGTCATGTATATATTTGAGGGGGGAATAAATTTTAATCTGTTGGAAAAATTTGGAATTTGTTCAAGGCATTAATGATATTTAGTAGAAATTTATTGGGCAGTATAGAATTTGTAAAGAATGGGACATAATTTAAATATTTTTGGGGAATGTGTATGTACCTGTTTTAGTGTGTGTAAGGTAATTTATATTCGAGATGATTATTACACAAGTCGTTTACATTACCAGTGTAAATAATGTAGTGTAAACATATTTTTTTCAACATATCTCTTGATTTACAAAAGGTTCAGTTCCAGAAAACCAATTGTAAATCAATCCTTTATAAATTAATAGATGTGTATTTTTATGTTTAGGACTTGAGAGTTACCGAACATTTGCCCTTAAAGTACTGTATGCACTCCATATGGCGACTAATTTTGTACAAACGTTTATAATTATGAAGCTGTATACAGTAAACCCTTGCCATTCGCGGGGGTTAGGTGCGTATAGCAACTAAAACTACTTTAGTACACTACTGTATACCTGTACCAATCAACTGTGACCAGCCATGGCAGCACTCATCCCCTCTTTTAACTTATATAATAATACACCTTTCTTTGTCAGGGTCATCACTGATTTCTGCCTTTTACATTTCACGCCACTAGCATCACTAGCACTGAACCTTAGGCAAACTCGCAAATGGCAAGAGTCTACTGTAAATGTATTTGTATTTTCTTTTGGTTATTAACATTTTAGTAATTTATTTTATCATTACTTCTGGAGATAGTAATTAGTCCTTTTATTGTTTCAGATGATAATAATTAGTTCTTCCATTGTTTCACGTGATAATCATTTATTTTTCCATTGTTTCAGGCGATAGTCATTTGTTTTTCCAGTGGTTCCTAGGAGATAGTCATTTGTTTTTCCAGTGGTTCCTAGGAGATAGTCATTTGTTTTCCATTGTTTCATGTGATAGTCATTTGTTTTTCCATTGTTTCAGGTGATAGTCATTTGTTTTTCCATTGTTTCAGGTGATCTGTTGAACATTGACGCCAAGAAGCCCTGGGAGTTCCACCCTGAGAATCCCATCAGGTCGGTCACGTTCTCGGCTGTAGTGTCTTTGCCTTATGTCTTTATAAAATACGTGGCTCCGTTCTTCACCTATTACTTGGGTTATGAACTACAGAGCCCATACAATTTACTCGTTGCCCCGAGGATTCTCATGACGTTTCTGTCGTTTATAGCGGACTACAGTGTCTACAGAATCGCAAGAATGTGTTTCCTCAGACCCTGGTGCTGTGTGGAGGTGTTTGCTAGTTCGTACATAATGCTCGTGTACGCGACGAGAACATTTTCGAACACTATGGAGCTTATTCTCATGGCAGTGTTGTTGTGGCGGGTGTGTGAGTCCATGGTCGAAAGCACAAAGATTATCCGCAAGCAGAACGTTCTTCAGGATCTTTACGAATCGGCCGAAACGCTCCAAGACAAAGTGAAATTAGTTCGTATTAAGAGTAAATTACCTCCTTACAATTATGTAGACAGTGCGATCATATCAGTGGTTGTGACGTACGGTGCTTTTGTGCGGCCAACGTTTGTGATATTTTCCTTCATCCCCGTAGCGTTCTGGCTGCAACGAGGCGTGGTGACCAAAGAGGTGGATTTCTCGTATTTCAACCTGAGGTGCTTGAGTCTCCTGCCGGGTATAGTGGTCACGTTTCTCACCTGCGTGCTGGCCGATTCGTTCTACTACGGCTCGCTGACGTTCACCGAGCTCCTCTTCTGGAACGTGACGGGTAGATCGTTCATCGTGACGCCCGTTAACTTTCTCCTGTACAACGCTAACGAGAATAACCTGGCCACTCACGGCCTTCATCCTTATTATCTCCACCTGGTCGTAAACTTGCCGTTGCTTCACGGCGTCTTGGGGTTGTTGGGTCTGTGGTCGGTCTCCAAGTATATGGCAAGTTTCATCACCAACGACATGACCAAAAAGCCGAAGATCTTCAGTATAGCCACCATGCTCCTGGCTACGTTCATTTTGCCGGTGCTGGTGCTGTCGGCCGTCCCGCACCAAGAGCCGAGGTTCCTCCTGCCCACCTTACTCCCCCTCGTCATCTTACACTCGGACGATGTTCTCCTCATTTCCGGCAAGAGGTTAAAGGCCTTCAAACACCTGTGCTTCCTGGCGTGGCACGTGTGGAACATCTTCTGCGTGATCTTCTTCGGTTTTCTCCACCAGGGAGGAGTGACCAAGACCATGATGAGGGTACACGAGCACATCCTCCTGCAGCCGCCGCACACCAACACCCACATAGTCTTCTCCGACATGTACACCCCACCGACGTTCTTACTCATGAGGAGGATCAATGTCGTCGCCGTGGCGGAAGACGGAAGGAAGTACCGCATGGCGAAGTCCGTGTTTACCTACGACGTCGGGGGTTCTAGGGCGGTGTCCGACTTACACGAGGTGACGTCTCGAATATATAAAGAAGCCCTGCAGAACTCGACCAGAGATGCGGAACTCGTCTTGTGTCTGCCGGCCAGTCTGTCCGAGGAGCTGTATAACAGTAAACCGGAGAACGTCTCTCTGCGTAGACTACAGCGAGTCCGCGGCCACATAACCATGGAGGATCCCCCGGACATGGTCATCGACGCCGCCAGTTTCACGGAGTCGTGCGGCCACGTCTGTCAGTTTCTCCGCCGTCTCGATCAGTTCAGCATCGACATAATCGGGATATACTTTGGTCCCCGCCCAGACAGGTCGGAGAGAGTCGCATCGCTCGAGAAAACTTTTGACATTGACGATGAAACTTTTGAGGTGATCGATGAAGCTTTTGACATGAATGAGGAAATTTTTAGCAGGAAAGAGAAAACTAAAGAAAGTAACCACGAAACTTTTATTATTGACGAGAAAACTTTTGGCACAGTTAAGAAAACTTTTCGTGTAACCGAGGAAACTTTTGAGATGGATGAGGATATTTTTGACACAGATGATGAAACCTTTGACACAAACGACCAAACTTCCGGCACAAACGACCAAACTTCCGGCACAAACGACCAAACTTCTGGCACAGACGACCAAACTTCTGGCACAGATGACCAAGCTACCGACACACAAGACCAAGCTACCGACACACAAGACCAAACTTCCGACACACAAGACCTAACTTCCAGCGCTCGAGACCAAACTTCCAACACAGACGACAAAAGCTACGCAGATATCGACAATTTCGACCTAAAAGATGACTATTTCGACCCGTTTGAGGACGAATTTGAACTGAGTGACGAACCATTAATCCCAAACACCAAGACTTATGCCATCAGATTACCCAAGCCTCCTAAGGTCGCAGCACACACTAGGGAGGAACTGTAGTGCATCTGAAAACCTTTAGCTTCTCACACTTTATAATTAAGTACAAAGAAAGAAATTTGTCCATACTGGGAAAACAAAATAGAATACAGTAACTGGATTGTGTTAAGATTAGGCACCTTAGTTTATTTCACCTGATTATTAAATGCCCTAATCGTAACCTAATCTAACGCTAATTTAACGTATACCTAACGCAATTTGACCTGATACCTGGCCTAAATTGACATAATACTAATTTAATCTAAGCTAACAGCGACCTAATCTTACATTATATCACATGAAGATTAGGCACCTCAGTTTATTTCACCTGATAATTAAACACCCTAATGCTAACCTAACCTGACCTAATCACCCCCTACCCTGAAATAGCATTAGGGTAGTTAGTCCTAGTGTGGTATAAGCTGTGGGTAGATGGAGATTGTTCAGGTGATCCATTGGAACTATTTTACCCCATTATTCATATCTGTTATGGCTGTGATGATGAGTGGAATGGGCCATGGTTAGGTTAGGTAGGGTTAGGTTAGATCAGATCGGGTATTTTAAGTGTACTTTCAGCAACTTTTAATTACTTTTAGCTACTTTTAATTTAATTTCAGCTACTTTCAATTTATTTCTATTTTTTTTAACATAATTTAAAAACCGTAATGACTTAAATTTTTTCTTTGAGTAAACTACAATGACGAGCGAATTACTGTACTGAAAATTAGTTAGAATATTTGTAAATTAGGAATATGATTCACACTACACACTGTTATGTTTACTTGTGGAATATTTGATATGATTTTCTCACTACCACACTACCACCACACCACACTACCACCACACCACACTACCGATGGTCCTCAAAGGGTTAATCATCGTCCTCAGAGGGTTAAATCATAGTCCTCAAAGGGTTAAATCATCATCCTCAAAGGGTTAAATCATCGTCCTCAAAGGGTTAAATCATCGTCCTCAAAGGGTTAAATCATCGTCCTCAAAGGGTTAAATCATAGTCCTCAAAGGGTTAAATCATCATCCTCAAAGGGTTAAATCATCGTCCTCAAAGGGTTAAATCATCGTCCTCAAAGGGTTAAATCATCGTCCTCAAAGGGTTAAATCATCGTCCTTAAAGGGTTAAGTCATAGTCCTCAAAGGGTTAAATCATCGTCCTCAAAGGGTTAAATCATCGTCCTCAAAGGGTTAAATCATCATCCTCAAAGGGTTAAATCAGTCCTCAAAGGGTTAAATCATCGTCCTCAAAGGGTTAAATCATCGTCCTCAAAGGGTTAAATCATCGTCCTCAAAGGGTTAAATAATATTGTGTTAAAGATCAGATCCATATAGGTATTAATCGTGGCCTTTTATGTACGAGTTATGTGAAGTAACGGTGTAAGATATTGCTAAGGTTTTTGTTTTTTTGTTTACACACGAGAATATGAAGTGTAAAAAATAAATCAGTGTTGGTATTGTTAATCGAGAGTTTTTATTTGACTTCTCCGAGTTTAAGTTATTTTTAACGTGTAGAGTAAAGGATCTTTCTCATCTGTTTGGGGGTAACGAGGCATCCGTCTGTTAGTTTGTCTTTCACTGATCTTCTCGGAAAACTCATTAAGGTTGACGTGTTTTTGTAGAATATTTACTTTAGGTCTGTTCTAGTACAGTGTTTCTCAGTGTGATCCCGGGAATTCTCGAAGCGATTGTTACTCCCCATAGCTTCATTCTTTACTGTATTATGGTTTGTTAAATTGGTACGGTTGCACATAGAAAAGTGTGTTTGATGCGTTTGAATTTTTAAAAGATTTCTCATGTATTGGGGTATTTGTGTATTAAAGATCGACTATACTCATTCCATAAATCAATTGTGATATGGTTGGGTTTTTTTTTATTAGTTTTAAGGAATTTTTAAATACTGGCAGTGAGTATTTTGTGTTTCTGGTGAAGATCCGGTGTTTTTCTCGTAGCTATTATTGTGAGAGTTTGGGGGGGTGTGTGTGTGTGTGTGCGTGCGTGCGTGCGTGCGTGCGTGAAGGGTATAATGGAGGAGAGAGAGAGGCGTCAGTCAGTAGACCTTTCATAATACTCAAAATTATTCTAGTCACAAATGCTTATAGGTACAAAGTCAGATTTAAATTTTAAGCGAAAACTCACATTATTCCGGGCATTTGAAGGAATTTTGCGGGAAAGTCACAGAATGAGAAGTCTTTAACCCCCTTGTGTATGGGGTCACCTCTGAGCTGAATAAAATCATCTAGCATTACCCAAATAATATTATAAGTGGCGTCCTCGTAGCTAAGAGGTCAAAATGCATGTACGAGGAGTCGGTCCAGTCCAAATTGATGCCTGTACTGTATGGTGAAGATGGTTACTGTGCATCTATCATTTAATTCATTTATTTCCCGTAATATGTTCTGTATTGTCCTATTTTGAAATGTTTGTACTGTAATATTATTTTTTTAAGTTGTGAAATTATTTTTGTAAGTTGTGAAATTATTTATCGTGAAATCTTTATTTAATGGACTGTATGGAGAGAAAAGTGCATTATATCGAGGGTCCGTTAGATGTGAAACTTCCATCTGACGGATTATATAGTGTTCAAAGTCCGTTATATTGAGGTTTCACTGTACGATTATTTTTAGTTATATATTTTGTATATATGTACTGTACAGTCAGCTACTAAAGTCCTGTTACCTCTCTCCCTGAATCACCAACCCCAGAGATTCAGAGTCATGAACCCGAAGCTGTAGAGTGATATATCATTCAGCCCATAAATGGTTCGGATTCACGAGTCTGAATCGTGGGGTTCGTGGTTCAGGGAGACGAGGCGAACGAATCTAAACAATTGACTGTATTGAAGTTTTTTTTCCCCCAGTCAAGACCACAAAATCATAATATTTTATCGTTGTATATAAAATTTCCTCATTCATCACCACAAAAACAGATTATCGCTTTTGTTCGCGTTATTTACGAATGTTTCTGGAGTCGTAAATAATAAGGTGTTTGTTATAATGTTTTTTTTTGTGTATTTATGAATGATCATCACTTGAAGCTTACTGGCACACTTGTTATCAGCGAGGCGACGTTATTGTGACAACAGACCCACGACCGCTTGCTGTTATTTTATACTATTGAATTTATATTGTAATTTTTATCGTCCTCTATTATGGATCACGTGAAGATTAGTCCTCTAGGTTGTATCGATTGCTAAGCTAACCTGACCTAACCTAACCCAATCTTACTTAACCTGATGTATCCTGGCCCAACATAACCTAACCCAACCTGACCTGACCTAACCCAACCCAATCTTACTTAACCTGAGCTAACCTGATGTACCCTGGCCCAACATAACCTAACCCAACCCAACCTGACCTAACCCAACCCAATCTTACTTAACCTGAGCTAACCTGATGTATCCTGGCCCAACATAACCTAACCTAACCCAACCTGACCTGATCCTGAACATAACCTAACCCAACCTGACCTGACCTAACCCAACCCAATCTTACTTAACCTGAGCTAACCTGATGTACCCTGGCCCAACATAACCTAACCCAACCCAACCTGACCTAACCCAACCCAATCTTACTTAACCTGAGCTAACCTGATGTATCCTGGCCCAACATAACCTAACCTAACCCAACCTGACCTGATCTGACCTAACCTAACCCAACCCCTTCAGGTAAAGTTAAGGTGTTTAATTAATTACATTGATAACCTGAGGGCGGGCTAATGTTCAGGTGATCCTCAATAATTACCTTTAAGAGTTGGCACAAAGAGTATTAAGAGAGTGAATGAGGTCGTTGCTTTATTGGCCAAAAATTATTGTAGTCATTAAGTGGAAGGGAAATTAATATTGCTTACTGATGAGATGATTTGTGAACCACTTTGTCTGCTGTCTAACCTAACCTAACCTTATCTAACTTAACCAAGCCAAACCTTACCTTACCTATTCTAACTAAACCTAACCTATCTTAACTAAGCCAACCCAACCCAACCTAACCCAACCCAACCCAACGGCAGTAGACAGGCTTAGACGTCACCGATGAAACAAGACTTCTCGGAGTTATCGCTTTGCTTTCACGCATTTTCTTTGATTAATCGATATAAGAAAAGGAGGAAGACGGGGATAAGAGAGTGTTATGGGGGGGGGGGGACAGCGCGACCCGAGGACTTTCAGGACCTTATGGTACCTGTATACGCTGACTCGTGTCTCTATATGGAGGTTTAGCGCCTCTAGGGTTGTAGGTTTATATCTAGTGTACAGTGTAATATTAAATATATCTTTTAGATTAAGCGCTGTAATTATAACATCAACAATAGCTAAGATACACAGGATATATCATCAACAATAAGTTACAATATACGCTTAAAGACCTTTGTTCAGTAGTAGTCCTGGGTTCATGTCCTGGCCTGAGACACAAGTGAGAAGGGTGTTATCCTGTGTGACCCTCATTAAACATGGCAGGTTTTCTCCAGGTACTACAATTTCCTCCTTTATTAACACCTGCAATAGAGGTCGTACAGTAATAATGTACTGTAATAAAGAACACTAACTGCCCAATTGGATAGTAAGATAAATGGTGAAATTATATAGAAAAAAATAATAACCTCAGGATTCAGTATTTAACCTGAATATTATCTACCCTAGTTTAAGCTTGCTGCTAACATAACCTAACCAAATAAGATTATAAATGGTGAAATGATAAAAAGAAAAAAGATACCATATTAAATTCATCCTTGGTTCAGTCCCTCCCCCATACCCCAGTACAATATAATATACCGATGTTAACGACACAAATCTCTCTTGTTTGCGTTCCTCCGAGTCACCGTAAATCCAGGCATCGGTGAAAAATCCTCGAGTGGTCTACGTTTCCCATCTTAGGTGTGTGGGAAGTAAACATTACCATATTATTTATAAGTCTTGTGATAAGGACATTTTGTGATGATTTTTAACCCCTCAATAAAATATGTGATTTACTTGTGTGTGTGAGTTTTTGTTCCTTTTGTGAAGTTGTTCAGGAGTTACATTATATTGGTATTGTACAGTACATCTTTGAGGAGTTGATTACATTTTTGAGGAGTAGAGTACATTTTTGCACAGTAGAGTACATTTTTGAGCAGTAGAGTACATCTTTGAGCATTATAGTACATTTTTCCCTTGTATAGTACATCTTTGAATAGTATAGTACATTTTTGCACAGTATAGTACATCTTTGCACATGTTTGCACAGTCGAGACCTTCAAATAATTAACAATACACAATATGTCATCAGGTTATAAAATTATACACCATGTTTGTGTATTTTTATATTTTATTTATTAATCTAACATTTCTCAACAGTCCAGATATATGCGGACTTCAGTATACAAACAGTACCTCACTAGTCAACTTATACATGGAGTTCAGTATACAAACAATACCTCACAGGTCAGGAACCAATCCCGAAACCTCAAATAATACGATTAAAATTACGAAGCCAACTGTAAAATAATTTGAGCCGGGATAATTATACACACACGCACGTACTCAAAAGAAATACCTTTACGGTTTATTTTCGACAACATGACACAATAGACGAAAGATTTTTACAACATTATAGACAAAAATAATCGTGGCGGTTGTTTATAAATTCATCTCATCCTTCCATAAAGATAATTTTTCGAGCGTGTGTGTATAAGCCTCTAAAAGTACGAGCATTTACGAGGTCCCACGATGTCGCGAGTGAGGCGACGGGTAAACAAAGTGGCTAGTGTAGGGAATACCACAGGGTGTTCGGCGAGTCCCCTTGTACCTGTAGTAAATAATACAGTTCCTCTACGTTGTATGTACGTTGTTATTTACTGCACCTTATTCTAATGGAGTAAATATCAGAGAAATACTGTAAACATTCCTAGTATTTAAGCTGAACTAGGTACAGGTACAGTGAAACCTCTATATAATGGACTTCTCTATATAAAATTCATTAGATAGGGGTTTCAGAACAGACTCAATATAATGGACGTTCATGTCTATATAGTTCGTTAAATGGAGGTTTCATAACTAACGAACCCTCGATACAACGAACTTCCCTCTCCATATAGTCCATTAAATAGAGGTTTTACTGTATATAACAACGCTACAACTATAATCATAATCACTCGAGGTACACCGAAATTTTTTATCTACCTGTATAGCAACTCAATTATTACCTGTAGAATTTGAGTAAATGAGAGACTAATTAAATTAAGATTATATTCACTTGATAATGACCCTATTACCCACCCCAGATTATTTCACACTCTAAGGGGATTGGCTTAGGTTAGCATAGGGTGTTTCATCATCAGGTGTAATAATCTAAGGTGTATAATCTTTGTGTAATCCTCCATAATATTATCGGCTAAAGGTTTAAAAAGTTTCTAAAAAAGTAATTAAAAGTTGTAAATTATGGAAAGTTGCGTAGGTCAAAGTAATAATTATTGTACGATGGAATTTGGGCATCTGACATATCTCCACAATAAATACACGTTCGCCGGAAAATAATGCCCGGGTGTTAGTATAAAACCATACGATATTTGAGGCATTCTTTCCCGATGCCTTTCTGTATTACCGGGCTGACAACGTGGCATAATAGTTCGTCTGTATTAAAAGGTTCGGTGTTTGTTTTTGTTTGGCTAAATCTAATACTGTGAATAATGTTCTTGGCAGGATTCTCCACAAGATTTCAGGACAGGATGGTGTATGGAGGGGGGGAGAGAGAAGATGGGAAAAGGAAGGAAAGAGGATAGCGTAGTGTGTCATCCTCTTGATAGGTGAAGCCATTAGCCCTTTACACACACCCACACACACTAGCTTGTATATCACATTAATCACCTCCTAAAAATAACACATCTTTTATTAATTTTCTGTAAGTGAAACCCTAACTTATAAAATTTAACCCCTATCACTACAGGGACGCCACTTTTAATATTTAGTTAACGTCAGATGATTTTATTCGGCACAGAGTCGATGCCATACACGAGGGTCTAATGTTGAAGAACTACCATACACCTATGTTGGTAGATAACCCTGCCTTAGTGATCCTGACTATAAACTAAACATGCACTCTCTGAGCTTCAGGGAGTGTTACAAGGGGTAGGGTCAGCATTCCTTCCCAGAAAATATAAGAATCAAAACTAAAATCATTTGTATACATAGTAAAGCAGTTACTCCCTGATCAGCTCCACACTTGGTATTATTGTTACTGGCTGGTAGGGACTAAAATATAGGTGCCCAGGTTCACAGACCAAGCAGAAATCATTATTAAACTAATGCTTCAAATATTAAGTTAACCGCCTTCACTATAGGGACGCCACTTTTAATATTTTATTTAGCTAACACCAGACAATTTTATTAACCACAGAGGGGGTCCCCATACACAAGGAGTTAACAAACTTTGTATAATAACAACAACTAAGAAATGCATAAAACATGAAGAAATTATAATACAATACATCCTTAAGGTCTTTTTTTTATTAATTTTGGCTCTTGGACGACAACATACACATCAGGATTGTATATTATATTCCTGAGAAACTTAACAAAACAAAATATACACCGTCATATTCTCTCTATGTTTGGAGAAGACATGGTGAAGTCTCTTAATAATGGATCAATGTCACAACTGTAGAATAAAGGGTTGGGCCAAGAGTCAGGCAGATCTTGGGGTACTGAACTGGCTCTTCGGTGGGTGGGGGAACAGGGGCTTAACCATCCTCATATTAAATCTATCATATCATCGAGGGGGTCAATTTAGTAACACGTTTTAGATCGAACAATTATCCTTAACCATCCAACCGCCTCGACCTGCCCAATGGTAAAGATTAAGAGCAATTGTCTCCTCCCTGAGAATGAATAATTTACTATCTCTAACTGGTACTACCAAGTCCCTTCCTCAAACAGAGAATATTCAGTGACGAGGAACCGACTAAATGTTGTTCTTAATGTCCCCCAAAATATAAAATACTTGTTTATCTCGATTTACAGATCACTTTAAGCCTCACATTTACTTAAAGTTTATTGTCAAACCAAACACTTTCGCTACAGGGACGTCACTTTTGATATTTTATTTGGTTAACGCATTGAACGCAAGACGATTTTATTCAGCAGAGGTGTACCCCATACATAAGTGATTCATAAACGGAGTCTGGATTGGATATATGAGGTGGGAGGGAGGGGCTAGGTTAGGTCAAGGCTGTTCACTCCAGCATAATATTCATCCAGGCTCGGGAGATGCAGATTAAAATATACCAAACTTATTAGAATGATTACCATAAGACATATGTTGGTCTGATTCGCACGATAACACACAAAACTGCCCTTGACTGTACTATCTCTGAGGAGTTGAAATACAAAGGGACTCGGACATTTGAGTTTGTAAGGAGAGAGAGAGATGCACTGAAGCTCTGCTCTCTCTCTCTCGATGGCAGTCAATGAGGAACTAAATGTAAATAATGGAATGGTCTTGACTCCTAGGATAGCAAACAGACCTTTACCACGATCACCACACAGGCCTGGCAGCTCTCTCGTGCCAACCATTGCACCAAAACCTCTCCATTTTGGCCCAGATAGGATAAAATAGGGAGGATAATTGTCGTATTTAAAAATAGGATACTAAATCAATCCCTTACTCATTGGAAACTAGAAAGCCCCCTATGTTACAACCAGCAGTACTAAGACCCGCAGACTTTTAGGAATATATGCTAGGAAATATGAATTGTACTTGGAATGCTTCATTATAAACCTTAACTTTACAAAATAGTTTATTCTTTTTTGTCAGGTTTCACAAGTACTGAGCATAAGTGTCATATCTGGTGGTTTATTGTAGGGTAGGATACTGCTTTATGGAATCTGGATAAGTTTATAAAGTATTCAATAGTGTGTTTGTGTGTCTTAAATACCTCTTGTTAAATTCGATTCCATTTTTTTTTTTAATCTTGATGTGTTTATAAAGATTTCAATAGTGTGTTTATGAGGTTTGAATATGTCACATCAATTTCGATTCCATTGGGTTTTGGAATCTTGATGCATTTATAAAGACCTAGATAATGCGTTTATGGGTCTTATATACAGGTACTCCACGACTTACGACGGGGTTAGGGACCGACATCCAGGTCGTAAGTCGAAATGGTCGTAAGTCGGAAATGATTAAATAACACATAGAAAATCGAAAATTTGGGTCTCTTTTTCTTCTCAGCACCACAAAACTCTCACTTTTAAGCTTGCCAGCCATTTTAAAGTGAATTACAGATGAAAATTTTGTCTGTGTACTGACTTTGGGACTCAAAAATACATAACTTGACCACATTTTGGTATGACTGAGGCGGTCGTAAGTGCGGGAGGACGTAAGTCGGGGAGTACCTGTACGTAATTTAAACTTCAATTCCATTAATTTAAACAACTACAAAATTTCTGGGATCGAAGTTGGAATGATGTTGATTTTAAGACTCATACACTATACATGTCATTTATACTGTACACATATAGTACTTATAAAGGTTCCAAAATCAGTATCTATATAATGTTTAAACCTTCATATGGCTAAAGTAATCCCTCACCAACCAAGAGTTCATCCACCATAATTCTGAGTGTCTACGTTCAGCGTTTTCTGTTCATCGTTTTAGTCCACCAATCACGGTACAGTATCCAGTTCCGAGTATCTACGTTCAGTATTTTCTGTGCATCGTTTTACTCCATCAATCACGGTACAGTATCCAGTTCTGAGTATCTACGTTCAGTATTTCTGTACGACGTTTTACCCCACCAATCACAGTACAGTATCCAGTTCTGAGTATCTACAGGTTTCCGTGGCAACTAAAGGAGATTTTTAGCCTAGTGGGAATGTTCGTTGGATTGCGTCTATTGTTATTCGTATTGTTTATTAAATGACGTAATGGTTCCTCAAACGGCAATTTATAAGCACCTACCGCGGTCTGTTCTCTATCACTTGAATTAATTAGTTTTTTCTTATTTTATGACGTGTTTAAATAGCAATGGTTTATTACCGACCATCTTAATTTCCTATTTTCTGTCACCCCATATAATGATGTCAGGGAATGTGGATAACATACAGTACAGCCTTGAATATCGAGGCTCGAGACATATGCCCTTGTTCTCTAGACCTCATACTGTACTACATAGCTCATGGTCAGAGGATGACACACCCCTCGTCGTCCACCTCACTGACACACCCCTCGTCGTCCACCTCACTCATTACCATCAAGTGTTCAGACTATTAATAAAATACTTTGTAAATAATAATAACAAAGCACCATTTTAGTCCTCTACCTTTTTTTTTAATTTGGATTTACCGTATATAGAAAATCGTGTATGAAAACCATTTAATGTCGAAAAAGTTTATGTGGATATTTTCGTTGATAAGGGAGAGCATTGGGGTCAGGAGAAATGGCTTCATTACACTGGACTTTATTTATTTTTTATACATTACCTCCATTTTGTACTGTATAATTTCTTTTAAGTATATCAAGCACCTGTACATTATAGAATCTTAAGTAGGTTTCTCAGGGGGTTATTTACTTAATAGACCCAACTACACTATCACCAACAGCGGGAGAAATCAACATAGTAAACCCCGGCAGTTGGCGAGGGATTACCGTCCTTAACTTTTATACACGAACAAGTAATGATCTTATAATCAAGTTCTGCAGAAAATATTCCTCACTCAGAAAAAAAGAAGAATTATTTTCACCAACAAGATAAACACAAAACTCAGTCACATTAAAACAATTTATTCATCATCAACTCAGACCCACACAAAACTCAGTCACATTAAAACAATTTATTCATCATCAACTCAGACCCACACAAAACTCAGTCACATTAAAACAATTTATTCACCATCAACTCAGACCCACACAAAACTCAGTCACATTAAAACAATTTATTCATCATCAACTCAGACCCACACAAAACTCACTCCTTCTTACTCTTCACCGGCACGTTCCAATAATAGAGCAACTGCGCCATGACGACACCGTTGGCGAACGTGGCCACGCAGAAGGTGAGGATTATGATCTGGTCTCCCGTCTCCTGGATAGAGGTGAATATACGAGCCGCCGACCCCAGGAAGAGGAGAGTGACCGTGATGGCTGACAGCTGGCCGGTGCTGCCGTTGTTGTAGTTTGCCAGCGCTTGAATCATCTGCGGAGAGAGGGAGAATAAACTAATGGTGGGTAGAGTCCAGCCATCCACGTGACTCAAATTTACATCAATTGATCAATTCTTTAGTTATTGAATTAAGTCATATGTGATGGATGGCTAGATGAACATAGATGGATGGGTGGATGGACATGGATGATAGAGACAAACCGTACAGTATCTCATCCATGTATCGTAAGTGGTGGGGCCGGTGCGACTATAGTGTGTGATCTGTAAACATATCTTTAGTCTAACTTAACACTAACAAACCTAACCTAACTTAACACTAACAAACCTAACCTAACTTCCCTAACTCTAACAAGCCTAACTTACCTAACCTAACCTAAAAAATTTGATAGTACACATTCTTAAATACGTACTGGACAAAAAAATATAAACCTCAGTGTAAATATCTTCATAGACCGGACACTACACCAACACTCAGGGATCCATACTGACCTTCCCGGCAAAGACCACTGGGATGTTACAAGCTTGTAGAGTCCACAGGATATTCAACGAAACGACCCCAGAGCAGAGAAAGAGGACGAGAGACGCCACCACGCCAAGGAACGCCACGGCCTTCTCTGTCGCTCCGCCGAAATGATAAATCAACGTGCCGATAATGGTCGTCTGTATGAGGAGGAACATGCCATCTCCGTACGAACTGGAAAATACGATCGGAGGTTAATGAAATATAACCGGATAAAGTTAAAGTGTTACCAACCGAATCTCCAATCACTTAACCTAACCTCGATATAACGGACTTTCATCCATTATATGTAAAACCCCATCTAATGGATTATATGGAGAGACGTCCGTTATATCGAGGTTTCACTGTACATAAATAATGGTCTCAGGTGAAGGGATATCCATTAGCCAATCACATGACCATCTCACCTGAAGGGATATCCATTGACAAAATTGTACGCCACGTTAATAAGAATCGCAGACAGTTCGAGGATAAGGCCGGTGACGCTGATCCCTTCGCCGCTCTTGGCTGCTAAGATCTTGACAATCTGGGGGACCTTGACCAGTATGGCCCCCCCCACTATGGCCAACCCCAGGGCCTTGCTGATGGCCGCCTTCAAGCATGGTCCTGGAGGAGAGTGTTAAGACAATCACATGAAGTTTAGCCCTTCACTTTATTTTAACATGAATTGTGGTTAAATATGTTAATGCTGATCTATTTTAACCTAACCTAACCCTAAATTACCAATAATGACTAATTATTCAGAAATAACTATAACCGGTCTAATGATATAGTTCGTTATATGGAGGTTTTACATCTAACTGAACCTCGATCTAATGGACTTCCTTCTCTATTGTCTGTTATATGGAGGTTTTATATCCAATTAAACCTCGATTTAACGGACCTTTCCCCTATATATATAAACTCAACTACAGTGTACAAACTAACGGGGTACAATCCAGGAGTCACTAACCACTCATATATCAGCGACTATATCACCTAATTATATTATAGGAAACGAAGAATACACATTAACCGGTAGTTTCTCACCGTGTAGGAAGTTAAACTCAACGAAGAACTCCTCGTAACAAGCTTCAGTGAGGAGGAGGAGAGAGAGTTGCCTCAACACAGCGGCCATCATGGTTGTTTGTTTACCTCGGCATCAGCTGGCCCCCACCACCACACTGCCAGGCGCACGATCACCATCCCTTATCTTATGTCCTTACACCATACTCTAATTAATTTATATATTATTTTTATACTAAATATTGTAAATTATACTATAAATTATATTATTTTTTTGATTTATGAGTTGTATTATGTATCTAGTGACTATTAATGTTATTTAATGCTGTTGCTGCCATGTCTTGCCTAGGTTATCGTACACCACATTGTAATCAAATTATTTTATATTTACACTTACTATTATAAAATGCCCTTTAAATAACACCTTTGTCACTATTAATAAGTTCTACTATTTATCTATATTTCATTTCACTATGAATGCTACGATGCTGGGTGCCACGTCTTAGACTTATTGCCATGCACTACAATATTTTGTTCATCTTTACATTATAATTACCATATATTTTCACTTATAATTTTCTAGGATAATTATATTTTGTTCATTATAAATACCATATATTTTCACTTATAATTTTCTAGGATAATTATATTTTGTTTGTTTATAGTTTATCAGCATCTTTAGCAATATAGTTGAAAAATTTTAATTCAAAGCCGTCTCTTCACCACTGATCGGCTCGTTATCCGCTTGGGTGATCGGTCAGGTCTCTGTTACTAACTGTTGGCAATGGTCTCCTGAATGTACCTGAACCCGCTCCCAGTGTTGGTTCAAATAGGAAATATTTCCAGTAATATATATCCAAGATGCAAAAATATACACCATTTATACTCGGACCATGGCAGTATATTGAAAGATGGTATAAGGGGCGGTCAGATTATAGGCTACAATGGGACCTCATGTGTGTTGCTTTTGTCTACGGTATAAATAAGCTTTTGTTATCTATATTAGGATGGTGTTGTGTGAATCGACTCTCTGTCTACGTATAGTGTTTGTATACCTGTACTGTCTACGTATATTGTTTGTATACCTGCACTATATATATTGTTAGTATACCTGTACTGTCTGTGGGATTTTTCCTTTCAGATTTTAAGATTTTGTAATATTTTTTGCATCACGAGAGAAAATTTTGTTTGAAACTATATTAAAAGTTGATGTAATATTTGTATTTCAGAATAACATATCGTAGCTTTGACGTTATTTATTGTGTCTGTTTGTTAGTTTTAGGTAAAGTTAAGTAGTTCAGTGTGTAAGGAAAGATATTGTCAACAGTGTGTAACAGAGAGCCAGTACTTGTCAACAGTGTGTAACAGAGAGCCAGTACTTGTCAACAGTGTGTAACAGAGAGCCAGTACTTGTCAACAGTGTGTAACAGAGAGCCAGTACTTGTCAACAGTGTATGTAAGAGAGCCAGTACTTGTCAACAGTGTGTAACAGAGAGCCAGTACTTGTCAACAGTGTGTAACAGAGAGCCAGTACTTGTCAACAGTGTGTAACAGAGAGCCAGTACTTGTCAACAGTGTGTAACAGAGAGCCAGTACTTGTCAACAGTGTGTAACAGAGAGCCAGTACTTGTCAACAGTGTGTAACAGAGAGCCAGTACTTGTCAACAGTGTGTAACAGAGAGCCAGTACTTGTCAACAGTGTGTAACAGAGAGCCAGTACTTGTCAACAGTGTGTAACAGAGAACCAGTACTTGTCAACAGTGTGTAACAGAGAGCCAGTACTTGTCAACAGTGTGTAACAGAACCAGTACTTGTCAACAGTGTGTAACAGAGAACCAGTACTTGTCAACAGTGTGTAACAGAGAACCAGTACTTGCCAACAGTGTGTAACAGAACCAGTACTTGTCAACAGTGTGTAACAGAGAGCCAGTACTTGCCAACAGTGTGTAACAGAGAGCCAGTACTTGCCAACAGTGTGTAACAGACATAATCGATCGCCCTAGTAACTAACAAATCGATCAGTGGCAAAGAGTATAGTCATTTACCAGCTTAGAATCACAACCCACTAGACGTTCACACACTCTCACTCCCACAGCAAGAATTGGTAATCACTGTCAACAAGAGAGAGAGAGAGAGAGTGAGGCCAGTGAAATCTCCATCTGTTTGAAGGAGGTGGAGGTGCGTGTCTCTCTGTGGTCCGCGGTGTTTGTTTAGGTGAGTCAGCCATCAAAGGCCTTCGTTTTCTCTGGTACAATTCTCAAGGTTCGCTTTAGATTGATTTAATTTGCCGTTTTAATGAGGGATAGAACACATATGATTGATTGAATTAACCTAAAATACAGTATTAAATTTAGAATAGCCTTAATACTTCATTGGAACTACCATAATTAAATAACTTGTGGCAAATTTTCGAATATCTGTGAATCTGTCTAATTATCTATCTAGATAACCATGGGATTCATTTATTTATACTTCTTATCTACAATTTCCTTATCTTTCACGATCAATTTTCCCCAAGATTGAGTATAAATGAGATGATAATGCACTCGCTTTTGTTATTTTATACATACAGGATTAGATACTATTTATAACCATTGGTAACTAACTTCCCCTATTCCCCTTCTGACTCGAACCTATAAAATGGAGAATTGAACTATTTTTTAGGCTCTTAGATCTTGTAGTGAACCCTCTTTGGACTCTGAACCTGTAAATATGGGATTCGATGGATGTTAACTTAATTAGGATGAGGTGAAGTTAGCGTTATGTTATGTTAGAGTTAGGTTAGGTTAGCGTTAGGTTATGTTAGAGTTAGGTTAGGTTAGCGTTAGGTTATTAAGTTGATTAAGAGGATGATTGTATTGTAGTGGCTGGGGGGGGATGAGGGTAGGGGAGGGACGGAGAGGGGTGTGGGGAGATGGAAGTGAGGATAGAAGAAGAGGATGAAAGGGAGGATGGAAGAGCTGGGGAAGAGGTGAGGGAGGGAGGGTGTAAGTGTGGTGACAGGGGTGGCAGGGGTGGTGACCAAGAGAGGGGGGGCCATGGGAGATGGCCGACTCCTGGTGAGAGTACCAGGCTGGTTTCAAGAGGTGTAGTGGGGGGGGGAGGGACTGTCTCTCTCTCTCTCTCTCTCTCTCTCTCCTCTCCTCTCTCTCTCTCTCTCTCTCTCTCTCTCTGTCTGAATATCCGAGACATGCGATAACAAAGGCCTCCGCCCCTCACCTCACCCACTCATCTCCCCCCTCCCCTCCACCTCACGCCCCCTGCCCCCTCCCTCCCCCTCCCTCCCCCCCTCACCCCTGGTTGATGAATGCAGGTCTCTCCTTCCACACATTTGTCTGTCTGTCTGTCTGTCTCTCCATCTCAGTCTGTGTGTCTGTCTCTATCTGTTTCTCTATCTCAGTCTGTCTGTTTGTCTGTCTGTCTGTCTGTCTCTATATCAGTCTGTCTGTCTGTATGTCTCTATCTCAGTCTGTCGGTCTCTATCTGTTTCTCTATCTCAGTCTTTCTGTCATTCTGTCTGTCTGTCTGTCTGTCTCTCTATCTCAGTCTGTCTGTCTGTGTGTCTGTCGCTATCTGTTTCTCTATCTCATTCTGTCTCTCTATCACCGTCTGTGTGTCTGCTTGTCTATCTGTCTCTCTATATCAGCCTGTCTGTCTGTCTCTCTATCTCAGTCTGTCCTCTGTGTACCAGCAACTGCTCTGTTTCTCTCATCTAGTCTTTCTGTCATTCTGTCTGTCTGTCTGTCTGTCTGTCCTCCCTCTGTAATAAAGCCCTGTCCTCTGCTCAGTGCCTTCCTCTTTAACCAGCATCCTGTCCTTCTTATCTGTTTCTCCCCACTCTCAGTCTGTCTGTCATTCTGTCTCTCTATCACCGTCTGCCTCTATCTCTCACCTGATCGCTGGCCCAAGGTGGAACTAACCTACCTGAGGGCCTCACCTGGTTACCTGTTGAGTGACCAGGTGTGTGTGTGTAGGAACTCTTTCATATCATTAGTCTACTACTACTACTACTACTACTACTACTACTACTACTACTACTACTACTACTACTACTACTACTACATAAAAATGCTCCTGTGACGTCATTTCCGGCTGTAGAGGAAATTCTTACCTATAAAAAAAAAACCAAATTCTATTGTTAACTGAGAGAGAGAGAGAGAGAGAGAGAGAGAGAGAGAGAGAGCATCGCCACACACAACACAAACTCAATATTGCAGGGCAGACGAGCGCCACCTACCCACACCACCCACCCACCCACACCACCCACACCACCCACACTACCATGAAAGATGATATTCTTTACTGTTTTATATCATTTAATACCGTTTCATTATTCTTCATACACAAGGCGAGAGATTTTGGTTGGGTAGTTGAACTGATTTGTTTACTTAGTTGAGTTGGTTGGTCGGGTAGTTGAGCTTTTATTTATTTCCACGTAATAATAATAATAATAATAATAATAATAATAATAATAATAATAATAATAATAAATGACAATAATAATAATAATGATAATAATAATAATAATAATAATAATAATAATAATAAATGATAGTTAGGATGATATTACAAGCAATAAAAAAGTATGGCTGCAAAAACCCGTAATTAATGCTGCTTCTGTGACTAATTCTTTCCCGGGAACGGTTAGTATGGTAAAAAATCTGAAGCAACGTGATGAAGCAGTTTTTGAAGGTAGAGAAACATATATGGAAGCAAGAGTGAAGAAAAAACAATATATATAGATTATAAAATGTTTTTCTATCTATATAAAATCCTCGTATGTGTGTGTGTGTGTGTGTGTGTGTGTGTGTGTGTGTGTGTGTGTGTGTGTGCGTGTGGCCTTGTGTGTATCCTGTGGCGTGGGAGGCTGACATTTGGTTAACTCATGAGCACACTGGGAACCCCTTTCTCATTTTTTTCTTATATTTACGTCATTTAGTCTTGGATTTTCAAATATATAATTAATATTTCCTCTTAACTGTTGCTGTAAGAATATTAAACAAAGCTATAAACCCAATATGACTCCTAAACTCTTACGTCATGACAAAAATAACATTAATATCTTTTGTCAATGTGGATCCTGTTATCTAGCGGGGAAAAAATGATAAGAAAACTCGTGCGTGGTCTATGAATAACATAACTCGGATTTTGTTCGTGGTACTTTTCCAAACATAGGAGGGATTTTCGTGGTACTTTCTAAACATAATTTTTTTCGTGGTACTTTTCCAAACATAGCAGGGGATTTTGTTCGTGGTACTTCCCAAACATAGCAGGGGATTTTTGTTCGTCGTACTTTCCCAAACATTTTATACGTTATTGTTTTCTAAGTGTTTGTGTGTGTGTGTGTGTTTGTGTCCTTGAACTCCGTGAGGAATATGATAGTAGTGGCACTGGCAGGTTAGGATGTCTGAGTCAGTCTGTCTGTGGTGTGTGTCGGGGCAAGACCAACATTACGCCAGGCTCCCAATTTACATCTGGGATCTCTTGTGTCTTTTTGCTTCACTTGTCTCTGGGTAAGAATTCATTCATGTATACTCATTAATATTCATAAATTAGGTACAAATTCATACATGTATATTCACCAATTCGTGTATGCATATAAACAATCTCTCTCTCTCTCTCTCTCTCTCTCTCTCTCTCTCTCTCTCTCTCGGGACTATAACACAAACATCAAGGGACTTTATAAACACAAACATCAAGGGACTTTTATAACACAAACATCAAGGGACTTTATAAACACAAACATCAAGGGACTTTATAAACACAAACATCAAGGGACTTTATAAACACAAACATCAAGGGACTTTATAAACACAAACATCAAGGGACTTTATAAACAAAATCAAACCTTTATCAACAAAACTAAATTCCCCGATCGTCAATTAGGGCATTAGGAACCTTGAGTACAGAGACAGGTTAAAGTATCTTAATTTACACTCCCTTGAGAGACGTAGAGTGAGGGGCGACATGATAGAGGTGTATAAATGGAAGGCAGGGCTAAACAAAGGGGACATTACAAAGGTACTCAAACTATCCAACCAGGAGCGAACTGGTAACAATGGTTTTAAATTAGACAAATTTAGATTTAGGCGTGAAATAGGTCAACACTGGTTTGGTAACAGAGTAGTGGATGAATGGAACAAGTTACCAAATATCATCATTAACTCGAATACGCTGAATAGCTTCAAACACAGGTTGGATGCTTATATGAGCAATAGGGGTTGGGTGTAAACGGGACTGCCCAGTATGGGTCAATAGACCCGCTGCAGTTTCCACCATTCTTATGTTCTTATGTTCAATTGAATAAAAAAAAATAATTTCTCCATAACCAGATATTAAAGGAAATGAAAGAGTATTTTTTTGTCGTCAAATATTTATACGAGGTAAAACAGACACTAGTGGGAGGGTGAGAGGGAAGGGAGGGAGAGGGTGAGAGGAAGAGGGAGGAATTGAGAGGGTGAGGAGGGTGAGGAGGGAAGGGAGAGGGGTGAGAGGGAAGAGGGAGGGAGGAGGGGTGGGGAGGGAAGAAGGAGGAGAGGGAGGAGGAGAGGGAGGGAGGGGGTGGGAGAGGAGGTGAGAGGGGAAGAGGAGAGAGGGGTGAGAGGAAGAAGGAGGGAGGGTGAGAGGGAGGAGGAGGAGAGGAAGAGGGAGAGGGGGTGAGAGGGAAGAGGGAGGAGGTGAGAGGGAAGAAAGGAGGAGAGGGTGAGAGGGAGGGAGAGGGTGAGAGGAAGGGAGGGAGAGGGGTGAGAGGGAAGAAGGAGGAGAGGGTGAGAGGAGGAGGGAGGGAAGAGGAAGGGTGAGAGGAGAGAATTGAGGAGAGGGAAGGGGGAGGTAAAGCACGCGTCCTACCTGTTAAATTGATGGCCACTCACTATTTGGTTTCCCTGTGCCCGCCTAAAGCTGAGAGAGTCCCAACCATCACACTTCCTACTGGGGGGAAAAGGGAAGCGTTTTTTTCCTCTCTTACGGTCAGAAAATATAAACTAAAAAAATATTATGAACGGGATTGAGAGTTTGTTTGTGTGTTGTAAATAGATGATATGAAATAACCTCATCTAATCTAACCTAAATTAATTAAATCTTTCTGTTGGCGGGGGCGGGGGGGGGGGGTACTTTTTCTCGTGTGATTGGATAAAATTTGACAAAAAATTATCGTGAATTAGATTGATGAGTTGTATATTGTATTTTTTTTTTGTAAGCAGATGACACGAATCAACTAAATCTAACCTAACCTAACTTAACACTACTCAAGAGGTCTATCGTTTTCACATCTTTATTCATAAAAAAACCAAAAAGTTACAGACACACATACATAGTCTTAACTTATCCAACAGCAACCTCTTAAAACACTCTATTCACCGTGATATAATTAATAAAACAGATACCATGATATAAAACATTAAATTATTTCCTAGATACTTTTTAGCCCTTTACTTTAATTATAAAAAAAGAATAATTTACGTAAAAGACAGAACCACACATTTTCTCCAGTACATAAAACGCGACGTAGAATAATTAAATAATGAGAAATTTACACTAAAAGGAGATACCAAGAATACAAAAAAGTTCTAGGAAGATATAGATATTAAATAAAAACACCTACATAAAATATAGAAATTAGATACCATTTCTATACCCACAACATGGCATCTACAGTAGTGTATAAGCAGACTTACCTATTAAAAAGCAATTTACACCACTTCCTTTAAATTAAGGTCTACAAAACAATACTACTACTACTACTACAATCATTACTACTTTTAATACTTTTACTAACACTAAATCTACTATTACGACTACGACTATTAATACGACTACAACAACTACAAAAACTACAGTACAATACCAGTGCGACATAAAACCATATAAATTAACTCTAGAGAAGTACCCCATCAAATCTCCAAACATTATAACAATACTACAACTATTCCTACACCTACTACTACTATTCCTACAACAAGAACAACAATAACAACTAATAAACCTACCAATACGACATAAACCACCATTTAGAAATAGTAATCCATTAAAACATAAGATTATATCAGTTTTCTATGGTGTAGGTGAGAGGCGTCCAGGTGTTGTCAAACTGGCTAGGGAGGTGGAGGGACGCTAGGGGTGTTCTGCCTCTAATTTTTCCCTTAATATCATCACTACGGTCCCCCTTAAACACCAATTATCATCTACAACTACAGTTTAATACCGTAATTATCTTTGTGTATATAAATTAAAGCGAAATATAATTAGGTTTTCTATATAATTGAGTTATTAGTTACGTGTTGATAGGGTGTTAATGATGGGAGACCTGAGTAAAATGTTGTTATTTGTTATTTGAGAGAACTCACTAGTAGCTGACAGAACACACTCGTAGCTGACAGAACACACTCATAGCTGACAGAACGCACTTATAGCTGACAGAACACACTTATAGCTGACTGAACACACTTATAGCTGACAGAACTCACTCATATCTAACAGAACTCACTCGTAGCTGACAGAACACACTCATATCTAACAGAACACACTCATAGCTGACAGAACACACTTATAGCTGACAGAACACACTCATAGCTGACAGAACACACTTATAGCTGACAGAACACACTCATATCTAACAGAACACACTTATAGCTGACAGAACACACTCATATCTAACAGAACACACTTATAGCTGACAGAACACACTCATATCTAACAGAACACACTCATATCTAACAGAACACACTTATAGCTGACAGAACACACTCATATCTAACAGAACACACTTATAGCTGACAGAACACACTCCTATCTGTCAGTCATGGTATACACACTCATATTTTGATTTATATTGTCATTGTTATTTGGGGAATGAGGTTAAATTAGGATAGGTTAGGATAGGATAGGTTAGATTACGTTAGGGTATGATAGGATAGACTAGGATAGGTTAGGTTTCTATTTTTTTGGTGGGTTCATATGTAAAATCATGAGAATTTCACCTTATGATTGAACACCTTAATGCTAACCTTCACATGAGCCGTAAAGTAAAATAGTAATTTGTCGCGTTAGAATCCGTCCCTCTGAAATGCCGCAGAAATGAGCACAGTAACTTACCCTTTGGCATTGTCTGTAAATTATGGCACACTAGTTCATTGATCGGGCCGGGTCACGTTAAATTAATTATTGTTGTGGTTAGGTTAGGTTTTTGTTAATGGTTAGGTTAGGTTTTTGTTAATGGTTAGGTTAGGTTTTGTAATGTGTAGTCTGCTCTGTGTATTTATGTCAGTGGTCAGGTTAGGTTTTTTGTAATTAAGTTGGGTTTTTGTATTTGTCAATGGTTAGGTTAAATCTGCCTTGTGTATTTATGTTAATGGTTTTGTAGTTTTGATGATGAGAAGAGTGTGGGTGTAAGAGTTAAGAGTCAAGTGTATATTATTTAGTAAAAGTTTACAACACTGGTGGACAAAACACTATTGACTTTATTATTATTATTGTTGTTATTATTATTATTGTTGTTGTTATTATTACAGTATTATTATTATTATTATTATTATTATTATTATTATTATTATTATTATAATAATAATTAATATTATTGTTATTACTTTTACTTTACTTTTATCCTCTTCACAAAAAGATCGGCTCATTAGCCGCCCGGGCGATTGGTCACGTCTCTGTCACGCACTGTTGGCATGTACCAGCTCTTGAATGTACCTGAACCTGCTCCAGTGTTGGTCAAGTCTTCTCTTGAAAGAGCTCACACTCGGTGCCGTCACAACACTCTCTGGTAGATTGTTCCAAGAGTTTACAACCCTCACTCCGAAAAAGTTTGCCCTCACAGTTTTCTGGATTTGCGGCTTCTTCAATCTTGAGCTGTGACCCCTTGTGGGGCGAGCGTCCGCCAGCTCCAAGTAAGGACACTCAACTGAGTAGTGCCCCCTGAGATGCTTATAAACCTCAACTAGGTCCCCCCTTGCCCGTCTGTAGTATAAGCTCGGCAAGTTCAGGCGCTCCAATCTCTCAGGGTAGCTGAGGTGCCGAAGTGCAGGCACCAGTCTGGTGGCCCTCCTTTGAACATTTTCACCCAACTGTATTATTATTATTATTATTTGGGTGGATATTCTTCAGGTAATTTCATATTTCTTTGTACCTGTTGGACAAATTTCTGAAAATGACTTGGTACCTTAGGGTGTCTCATAGGTCACACACCGTAGGAAAAATAATTATATTTTTTTTTTGCGAGGAAATCATAAACAAATTGACAAAGATCCCATATAAATTCACACTTAAGGAAAGATTTGATATTAATGTAGAGAAAACCAGATGGTATTTTATCAGTCGGTTATGAAAGAATTTAATCGTCGACGTCCAGGATGCTGTGGGTAAATATTGTCTTGTGTAATGTCTGGCTTCCTATACATGATTATTAAACTGAATTTTTCTTTCGGTGCAAATTTCTCCGCCGTCTCTGTTGATTTCTTTTGATTCTCGTACCTAAAAAAGGAAAAAAAAAAGTGTTATTTTTCTGGGGTCACTTGAAGAATCTCCACCCTAGGTTATTTCACCTAAATATTAACCACGAACACTATATGGGGAGGTTAGGTTAGGATATGTTAGTGTTATGTTAGGATATGTTAGTGTTATGTTAGCATAAGTTAGTGTTAGGATATTGGACAGATTAATGCACTTGTCTTAAGAGTCAAACCCCCAAATAACGAACTACATTGATAATAAAGTCCATTATATCGAGGGTCCGATAGATGTGAAACCCCAAAATAACGAACTACATAGATAATAAAGTCCATTATATCGAGGGTCCGATAGATGTGAAACCCCCAAATAACGAACTACACAGAGAGAGAAGTCCACTATATCGAGGTAACACTGTACCCCAGGCAGCTTTTATTTACAAAATACATCTACACCGACAGAATATAAAAGTCAGATATATATTTTTCCCGACACTTTTCGACTTTTGTTATTTTTTGTCTTTTATTTCCTGTGTTAACGTCAAGTATTATCTCGTGGTTTATCTAACGGGATGAGATATGGCAGTGTGTCGCAGGATGTGTCGGATATGAGCGCATCTCTAGCTGGTGAAGGGGTTTTGTGTGTGTGTGTGTGGGGAGGGTTGTGTGGGGGGTGTGTGGAGGTGTGTGTAAAGGTAGGGCATGGGTACAGGGTATATGTAATAGTATGTGGGTTGTAGGGTATGTGTGGGCTAGGTGTGGGTTGTAGGTGGCTGTAGGTTATGTGGGGATTGGGATTTTTGATAACAGATTTCTCGTTGATTTTTTTCAGCTATATAACATAAAGTACCATCCATGTTTCTGTTCTACGGCACTGATAAAGATAATCATCGTTCCCAGCTCTCAACTAAGCCCTTATTTTGACCCCCCTACAAGTGATGATGATTGTCAAGAAGATAATGATAATATTAATAATCTGTAATGATGATGACACACACACACACACACACACACACACACATTTTATTTATTTATTTATTTATTTTTTCCGCAGACACAATATCATAGATTATATTTACGCTTTCTTAAATTTATATACGACCGATAATCCGCCATTAATGCTGTTTATTTACCTTAATCTAACCTAACCTAACCTGTCCAATGTGTGAGTTAAATTATCCTGTACTTTCCATCCTGTTGGCTTAAGCACAGATGCCTTCTCTGGGTCACCTGAAGATTAGACACCCTAGTTTATTTCACCTGTTATCTTTGTTTGTGTTACTTTCGATGATAATGTTACTTTTGTTTGTGTTACTTTCGATGATAATGTTACTTTTGTTTGTGTTACTTTCGATGATAATGTTACTTTTGTTTGTGTTACTTTCGATAATGTTAATTTTGTTTGTGTTACTTTCGATAATAATGTTACTTTTGTTTGTGTTACTTTCGATAATAATGTTAATTTTGTTTGTGTTACTTTCGATGATAATGTTACTTTTGTTCCTTTTTCAGGGTAACAGGAGCAGATGACCGTACCAGAACATGCCCAAAAGGACAACACAATGGCCGTCGAGATCAAGGTTTTGACCCTAAATGTTTGGTAAGTCGCGTAGGTTGGGAGTCGTGTACGTTCAGTTTCCCGAGGATCATAACTTAACCAAATGTATCCTAGTTCAGGGTAGGATATGCTAGCTAGGGTCAGGATAGGTCACAGGTTAGGTAAGGGTTATTTTGTAAACTGTATGGTATATTATTTTTTTTTAAGGTTAGGTAAGGTCATCTCAGGTCAGAATTATTTTGTAAAGTGTATTATTTTTCTAAGGTAGTTCAGGCTAGGTAAAGTTAGGTCAGGGTAGGATAGGTTAGGTCAGAATAGGCTAGTTCAGGTATTAGGTTAGGTTCGGTTGTTTCAGGTTAGGTTAGATCGGGTATCAGGTCAGGATAGGTTAGTTCAGGTCTCAGGTTAGGTTGTTTCTGGTTAGGTTAGGCCAAATATCACGTCAGGATTATTTGTAAAGTTTGTGTTATTATTCCAGGGGCATACCTGGTGTATCGAAGGACAGAGAGGTTCGCATAGAAGCCATTGCGAACCAGCTCGTGACGGGACCAGATGAATTCGATTTTGTTTTTCTTCAAGAAGTTTGGTGTGAGGCGGACTACTTTTTACTGGCCTCGAAGGTGAGAGGGCTTGGCTTGGTTTATTATTGATGGGTTGTGTTGTGTCTTGTGATTAATTTATTGCGTTTTTCTCTATCCGTCTGTGTCTTTTCTTTCTCTTTTCTTCGCTCTTTCTGTTTTGTTATTGTTATTACAGGTTCACAATCTGTTATCCGAAACCCTCGGTGCCAGATGTGTTTCGGAATTCTTATTTTTTGGGATTTGAGACCGGTAGTACGGCAGCACCCAGTAAACAAACACATTGATATTTCTACAACCAACCTTATTAATGTGCACACTGAGTGGGATAAATAAAGACTATAAATTATATTACAGGTTATTTGTACTGTGCGGTAAAGCTTCTAATGGTAAAGAAAAAAGCGAGATGGAATAGGAACGCCAAAGTTTACCTGTGCACTCAAGGACACCGCGTCGTTTATCTTATTAAGGATATGTACAAAAGATTCATTATTGTCTATTACCGAATATGTATTTGATTGAATTAATCTTTATATATGTGAAATGAACAATAAAATTCATTAATAATACTGAGAATATTAAAACACACAAGAGGATAAGAGACGGCATTGTTTTCCTCAGTGTTTACACCCATAAAGTCAGTTATCATCTCAGACTGAAGAAAATAAGAACCCTGTTTGTAGCTGTAGTAAAATTAATGTAAAAAATTAATATATATGTTTGAAGTAATGTATTTAATGTTAATATATGGAACAATAGAAGTAGCTAACAACTAAATGGTAAAGAAAAAAGCGAGACAGATTGTGAACGCCCACGTATGTACAGTAATTGTGTACATGTGAAAATGTCGTCATTTCTCTACATAAGAATATGAAAGCAACTCTTATTACTGTTCATATATGTTTTAAATAATACTTATGAATGTAAAACAAAAATTCTACTGACCAATGGTGGTAAAGTCTAAAACATAAGGACAGCCAATGAATATTGTGAGTTTTTGCTCAGGTGACCAAGTCATCGGGTTCAACTCTGGCTGAAGCTGTATCAATGTTTTCCTATTTTGCATTAGTTTATGATCATCACTGTAAAGCTTCACCAACTTGTCTTTCTGTTTCTTTAAGTCATATGTGTATGGTGGTACTGTGCTGTAGTTCTCACACCATATTCTTCAGTTAGACGTCACACCACGATCAAGCTTCTGTAATAACTCCACTTTCTGTGCTATGAGAGATGCTCACTGTTACCCATAGGGGTATCTGAAGCTCTTTTGGGGTTTTTCACAGAGAAATTAAGCAAAATTACACAAAATATCAGAGAGCAGCAAACGCAGGTGTGACTACTAGCAGCACCTAGACACGAGTGACCCCTCACACCCGCCGCCTGGCGTGGGTCAAGCACCAGTAGCGTTAGGTCATGTTCGTCGTCGCTCGGGGTGTGTAGTGCACACGAGTGATGCTCCGTGAAAAAACTTTTGGTTTTCGGAACTGCGGATAAGAGGTTGTGAACTTGTATTATAATTATTGTTTTTGTTATTATTTAGGTTTTATTATTACTATACTGTGTTACTATTGTTAAGTAATATCTCCATTAGCAAGAATCCCTCAAACCTACAACTCTCTGATAGACGGAGTTGAAATTTTCCGAGGCGCACATTTTCCGGAAAATTAGGAGAAAATTTTCCCGACATCCGGAAATTTCCGGGGATGGTGAAGTTTTTTCCAAATTTGAGAGATTATGTAATGGGCAATTTCTGGAGCTTCTGATATCAGTTATCCATTACCCAGAAAATTCCGGCTTTGAGAGATTCGTCCCGTTACCCGGAAATCTCTCATTCCCGGAAGTGCTCTGCGCCGACCGTTCCGGCTAACTGAGACGTCACTGTATTATTATTGTTGTTACTATACAATTATTTATTTCCAGGTCAACAAAGTACTGCCCTTCAGACACTACTTCGCCAGCGGTGTCATAGGGTCGGGGATGTGCATCTTCTCCCGCTCGCCACTCACCGAGGTCTATTTCCACAAGTTCACGCTCAACGGCTTCCCCCACAAGATCACCCACGCTGACTGGTGGGGCGGCAAAGGAATGGCTGTGTGCAAGAGTACCCGGCATGGCATACCCTTCGTCCTGGCCACCACCCATGTAAGTGAATGGGTGTATAGGCTCCAGCCCCACCATGAATGAGTGTATAGGCTCCTGCCCCACCATGAATGGGTGTATAGGCTCCTGCTCCACCATGAATGAGTGTATAGGCTCCAGCCCCACCATGAATGAGTGTATAGGCTCCTGCTCCACCATGAATGAGTGTATAGGCTCCTGCTCCACCATGAATGAGTGTATAGGCTCCTGCTCCACCACATGAATGGAGTGTATAGGGCCCAGGCCCACCATGAATGAGTGTATAGGCTCCTGCTCCACCATGAATGAGTGTATAGGCTCCTGCTCCACCATGAATGAGTGTATAGGCTCCTCCTCCACCATGAATGGGTCTATAGGCTCCAGCTCAACCATGAATGAGTGTATAGGCTCCTGCTCCACCATGAATGAGTGTATAGGCTCCTGCTCCACCATGAATGGGTCTATAGGTTCCTGCTCCACCCCCTCCTCCTCCACCTGTTAGTCTCTTATTATTTTGTATATATTCAATCTTTAAGTCCTGTTCCCCCTTCCTTTTCCCTTTCTTTTCCTGCCCCTTCCTCCTCCCCCTTCTTCCTCCTTCCCTCCTCTTCCTCCATCCTTCCATTCCCTACCCTTCCCTCTTCATCTCTCCTCCTGTCTCCCTTCCCCTTTCCCCCTCTCTCTTTAATCCCTTCCTACCCTTTCTTCCTTTCCCTTCCCTTCCTGCCCTTCCTCTCCTATATCTTCCTCTTCCTTCCCTTCTCTCCCCTTCCTCAAGATGCCTATTACCCCATCTCTCTGTCCCCCTCTCTCTCCCTTCCTCCCTCTCCCCAAGAAGTCAAAACAGCTTAAATTTTCTCATAATCTTCAGTCCTTCACAATAACTAATTGACCCACTAGATGTAAACCAGAAACTCATTTATACCGTTTCTGGCCAGTTTCCGTCTCCCATCGCAAGTGTACGGCCGACCCCACACTAAGCACCATGGATGTTGTTCGAGTAGATGAGGCTTATTCTCCCCCCCCCCCCTTTATGTGTTCTTTAAGCAGCCTTTACTAACCACAAACTTACTTTTTAATGCATTTTTTTTTAGAAGGTTTTGTCTCTTTTTTTTTTCTAGCTCTCAGTACAACCCCGGGGGAATAAAGTGTTGCGGGGTTTCATTGGTGTGTGGATTGATATGATTTTTATGGGAGTTATTTTGAGTTTATGCCAAATTTTGAGTGTTGGGATAATTGTTTCAATGATATGTACAGTGAAACCTCATATTTTATTAATTTATTCGTTTATTTTTATTTTTTTTACCGGGATTAACCCGACCGCTCGCACAAGTCACTGACCCACATCGGGGCCTGGAGGTGAATAAATAACTAAATTGAACAGAAAATAAATATAGAAATGGTAAAAAATTAAATCAATAATGAGAAGCAATATATGTATGTTGTGTTGTAAGAGAAACAATTGAGACCCTACAATTGTGTGTAAATGAGGCAGAAAGTCAGATCATCAACCTGGGACTTGGTGACATGGCAGCAGGGTCCACCATTAGACAACACATTATGCTTCCAATATCTTCCTAATACCTCCCTGTTTGATAGCTGCCTACTACTTACTTATCTTTGCCTTTTGATAAGATGGCTACTCCAATTTGATATTGTTTCTAAGTCAAGGATATAGGTAACTCTCCTTTTGTAATATCTCGTGATTGATTGATTGATTGTGGTAATAACATCTCTGGTGGTGCAATAACCTAGGTTCAAAATAGACTATACTGCCACCTCAATATAAAAACTTAATGGTAGGATTTGACTGTGTTTATGATGTTCTTATATAGGCAGAGTACTGTACTGAGGCGCCTTTTACCGAGCATGTATAGTTTAATTTACCACCGGCTGCAACACGACACTTAGCGTGTGCGTAATTCATGCCATCAGACCGAATCATTCCTTGTGGTAATGATCGGTGTTTTTTATTTAATTTTTTTTTACTTTATGTAAGAGCAAAGGAGAGCTAGTTTGTATGGTGAAGTCTCTTTGTAACGAACCCTCGATATAATGGACTTTCCTCTCCGTATAGTCCATTAAATAGAGGTCTCACATCTAACGGACCCTCGATATAATGGACTTTCCTCTCCACATAGTCCATTAAATAGAGGTTTCACATCTAACGGACCCTCGATATAATGGACTTTCCTCTCCACATAGTCCGCTAAATAGAGGTTTCGCTGTACTCAGGATTGGGTGTTAGTCATGGGGGCGGGAGGAGGAGGTAATTTTTGTAATTATCAGACATCCAGGGTTGTACTGTACTGTACTGTCTTCTGTATTTTCATCAAGACCATTTTGTATTAGAGAAGCTCTGGACCATTACCCGCTAAGAGTCATATATCGCTGAAACCTGCTATGTGTGGCATTGTATTCCCCCCCTCCCCCCCCCCAACCTCTCATCTTTCCCCTGGGTAAGTCAGAGAGCCAATTGGGAACCTATACATGAGGGTGAAAGTCCTCTGAAAAGACTATTGTATATCATTCCTACCTGAGCATTTTCCTCCAATTTTTCTCCATTTTGGCACTTATTGGATTATGGTTCGGAGCATCTCATACGTGCACACACACTATTTGTAATGCTGCATCTATCAAATCTCTCTCTGTCTCTCTCTCTCTCTCTCAAAAAAAAGAGAGAGAGAGACATTTCTGCATTTTGTTCACACTAGCGCAGGTGATGAATGTATTGTAGTTTTTAGTTCCGCATCACATTTTTTCTGTTGGTCTTTCTCCGCAGCTTCTAGGAGTGTACCACAATACCTGTAAAGGTCTCACAGCGCATCTATGTAAATGTTCAAGAGGAATGCAGAATGATGAGGAGCGCCCCATAGTAAACAAAGTACAATTATATCCTCCGCCTGTAGCTTAAATTGATTTATTTTTTTGTGTGGTTCATTACTGCTATTGGATGCATGATGTAAATTATTTTATTTTTATATTTTTTTTTTACTAACCCTGTAATTATTGTTTTGGTATTTTGTACTTTTATTATTATTATTTTTTTGCTTTTCTCTGCACTTGATTATCTCGAGCTATGGTATTGTTAAGAAATGTGCCACTTCCCTCCCTCCCCCCCTGTGTATGAGGGCTGTGGACGTTTTGCTGGTTGGGTGTGTAACGTGACTGACATTGGGTGGGGGGTTAAATCATTTGGACATTTTGGGACATTGCTATGTAAAGGGAGACATGTATGGTGTGGTGATGGGGATAAGCATTCGGACATCTTAGGACATTGTTGTGTAAGGGGACATTATTGGCGCTGTTACAGGGATAAGCAATTGGACATCTCGGGAAATTATTGTTTAAGGGGACCTGGATGGTGTGAGAGGACGCAAATGACAATAAACGAAGAGTATTGACTTTATTCTTGTCTCTCTTGTTTCTGGCCATTTTGTACGATAGAGAAAGACTGACAGTACAGTACTGTGGACTGAGAATAAAGACCTCGGGTGATCTGACCAAAACAAGGGGGTGGGTGAGTTGCCTTCTTGTACACTTTGCCGGGAGACTTATTGAGTCGCTCGGATGAAACGGTGACGAATAGGCCAAAATCGTTTGTTTACATAATCGTAGTTAAAGATTCATGGACGTATCCTTAAGCTAGACTAAATTGACTATCTTTTGACGGCTGTTTCGTCAAAATCGTGCAGTGGGTTACGGACATAAGCAAAAGATAAATTCCACCGAACTTTAACTGCGATCTTGGAAAATTATTCTGGCTTGTTGGTCACCGTTTCCCCCGAGGGCCTCATGCGGTTATACTATCGGGTGAGCTTACGGACAGTAGAGCTAACTAACCTCCACTGAACTAGGAACCTGCTATAGGGGGTGGTATTAACTAGCCGCTGTATGCTAAAAAAACTAAAAAAAAAAACAATAGCTCGACAGCACTTACATGTACGCTCTGCATCTTGCTAGGAGAAGGCTTGTCTGCTTCAGTAAAATATACATGTCATTGTGTGGTTACCAAAACTTAAAATACATTCTAGTTCATTATTATTTTCCCTTCAACATCTGTTCATGATTTTATGCTTCTGTGAGATTCTTGCATCACTTTTTTTTTTTTTTGACAATTTCTAGGAACAATTTTCATGGTGTCTATTGTGTTATAATTATTTTATCTCTGTAGTGAACTGTAACATAGAGCTTAACTGTTTGTGATTCAATATTTTAATTACCGTAAAAAAAAAATTGCCATGTGATTGATAATGGTTTAACTCTTTGATGGCGATGGTTTAACTCTGAGGATAGTGATTTAACTCTATTGGGATTATGGTTTAACTTTCTGAGGACAGTGGTTTAACTTTGAGGATGATATTTTAACTTTAAATATGATGGTTTAACTCTCGAGGACAGTATAGTAGTTTAACTTTTTGATGATGATGATAGTTTAACTTACTGATGATGATGATGATGAGGATGATGATTTAACCCTTTGAATATGATGAATTTTAACCCTTTTAGTGCAATTCTTTAGTTCTCTTGTCCTCAAAAACTTCAACACAAATATACAAGCACAGCACCTTACCACCACCAGAGTAAAAGTTATCATTGAGCCTCGAGAAGTAACCCAATGTGGAGACAGACGGCCAGACGTTAGCATCTATTACGTTCTCGACCCAACATGATAGAATTTGTGTTCTGTAGGAAGACGTCTTGGGTTTTGGAATAGAAATTAGGGGTAGGGTATTCTGAAACTGACTCTGGCATTAAGGTGTAGGGTATTCTGAAACTGACTCTGGTGTTAAGGGGTAGGGTATTATGAAACTGACTCTGGTGTTAAGGGGTAGGGTATTCTGAAACTGACTCTGGTGTTAAGGGGTAGGGTATTCTGAAACTGACTCTGGCATTAAGGGGTAGGGTATTCTGCAACTGACTCTGGTGTTAAGGGGTAGGGTATTCTGAAACTGACTCTGGTGTTAAGGGGTAGGGTATTCTGAAACTGACTCTGGCATTAAGGGGTAGGGTATTCTGAAACTGACTCTGGCATTAGAGGTTAGGGTATTCACAAACTGGCTCTGGTGTTAAGGGGTGGGTATTCTATGAAACTGACTCTGGTGTTAAGAGGTAGGAGTATTCTGAAACTGACTCTGGCATTTAGGGGTAGGGTATTCTGAAACTGACTCTGGCATTAAGGGGTAGGGTATTCTGAAACTGACTCTGGTGTTAAGGGGTAGGGTATTCTGAAACTGACTCTGGTGTTAAGGGGTAGGGTATTCTGAAACTGACTCTGGTGTTAAGGGGTAGGGTATTCTGAAACTGAATCTGGTGTTAAGGGGTAGGGTATTCTGAAACTGACTCTGGTGTTAAGGGGTAGGGTATTCTGAAACTGACTCTGGTGTTAAGGGGTACTGTATTCTGAAACTGACTCTGGTGTTAAGGGGTAGGGTATTCTGAAACTGACTCTGGTGTTAAGGGGTAGGGTATTCTGAAACTGACTCTGGTGTTAAGGGGTAGGGTATTCTGAAACTGACTCTGGCATTAAGGGGTAGGGTATTCTGAAACTGACTCTGGCATTAAGGGGTAGGGTATTCTGAAACTGACTCTGGTGTTAAGGGGTAGGGTATTCTGAAACTGACTCTGGTGTTAAGGGGTAGGGTATTCTGAAACTGACTCTGGTGTTAAGGGGTAGAAACGACCTGGTGTTGAGGGTATTTGAACTGACCTGGTTAAGAAACGACTTGGTGTTAGGAGGATCGAACGACCTGGTGTTAAGTAGGGTATTCAACACGAGGGGTAGGGTATTATGAAACTGACTCTGGTGTTAAGGTAGGATTCCGAAACCGACTCTGGTGTTGGGGTAGGGTATTCTAAACTGACCTGTGTTAAGGGTACTGTATTCTGAAACTGACTCTGGTGTTAAGGGTAGGGTATTCTGAAACTGACTCTGGTGTTAAGGGGTAGGGTATTCTGAAACCGACTCTGGTGTTAAGGGTAGGGTATTCTGAAACTGGCTCTGGTGTTAAGGTGTAGGGTATTCTGGAAACTGACTCTGGTGTTAAGGGTAGGGTATTCTGAAACTGACTCTGGTGTTAGGTAGGTATTCTGAAACTGACTCTGGTGTTAAGGGTAGGGTATTCTGGAAACTGACTCTGGTGTTAAGGGTAGGTATTATGAAACTGACTCTGTGTTAGGGGTAGGATTCTGAAACGACTCTGGTGTTAGGGGTACTGTATTCTGAAACTGACTTGTGTTAAGGGGTAGGGTATTATGAAACTGACTCTGGTGTTAAGGGGTAGGGTATTCTGAAACTGACTCTGGTGTTAAGGGGTAGGGTATTATGAAACTGACTCTGGTGTTAAGGGGTAGGTATTCTGAAACTGACCTGTGTTAAGGGGTAGGGTATTCTGAAACTGACTCTGGTGTTATGTAGGTATTACAAACTGACTCTGGTGTTAAGGGTAGGGTATTCTGAAACTGACTCTGGTGTTAAGGGGTAGGGTATTATGAAACTGACCTGGTGTTAAGGGTAGGGTATTCTGAAACTGACTCTGTGTTAAGGGGTAGGGTATTCTGAAACCGACTCTGGTGTTAAGGGTAGTATTATGAACCGACCCTGGTGTTAAGGGTAGGGTATTCGAAACTGACTCTTGTGTTAAGGGTAGGGTATTCTGAAACCGACTCTGGCAATAGTAGGTATTCTGAAACTGACTCTGGTGTTAAGGGGTAGGGTATTCTGAAACTGACTCTGGTGTTAAGGGGTAGGTATTCTGAAACTGACTCTGTGTTAAGGGGTAGGGTATTCTGAAACTGACCTGGTGTTAAGGGGTAGGGGTATTATGAAACTGACTCTGGTGTTAAGGGTAGGGTATTCTGAAACTGACTCTGGTGTTAAGGGTAGGGTATTCTGAAACTGACTCTGGTGTTAAGGGTAGGGTATTATGAAACCGACTCTGGTGTTAAGGGTAGGGTATTCTGAAACTGACTCTGGTGTTAAGGGGTAGGGTATTATGAAACTGACTCTGGTGTTAAGGGGTAGGGTATTCTGAACCGACTCTGGTGTTAAGGGTAGGGTATTCCTGAAACTGACTCTGGTGTTAAGGGTAGGGTATTATGAAACTGACTCTGGTGTTAAGGGTAGGGTATTCTGAAACTGACTCTGGTGTTAAGGGTATATTCTGAAACTGACTCTGCATTAAGGGGTAGGGTATTCTGAAACTGACTCTGGTGTTAAGGGTAGGTATTCTGAAACTGACTCTGGCACATTTTGGAATGGGAAAAAATCAGTGATCCTACTTTTCATCCTTTTCACACAAACTTTTTTCAGATGACCTGTTTCTCCTTGTGCCGCCATTACTGAGATATATAATAGAAAATAAAACACTTGGGTGCCAAATCGGAAGTTCAATTTAATTGCCACTATTTTGGCGTATAATCAACTAAAATAAACATACTTTCGACTAACTTTCATTTCGAGAAGTTGCATTTAATGATCGTTTAAAGATTCAGAACACCGAAATTACATCAACTTACAACTATCAAGCGGTTTAATTGACTTGTCTATTGCCAAACCTTAAGCTCCAATTTTTCCGTCATTTCTCGTGATAAACGATTACTGGACTTATTTCCTCTGAGAAGATTAGAGTCGAGTTGTTTGTGTCTTCGTTGTAATCTGATTAGGAATACAACCTTATATTTAGACATTACTCTCATTTATAAATTATACAGATTATTATTATTATTATTATTATTATTATTTGTTTATTTTTCCATTCAAGAAATAATATGGGTTAATATTTTTGTTTATTTCCGCGGCGATGAATTAATTACGTCCGTTATTTTGTTATTGGTTGAGACAGTGATTAATTGAGAGACAGTGATTGATTGAGTGAATGAGAGAGAGGGAGAGAGAGAGAGAGAGACTAATCTCTACCCCTCTGACACATTATATCTTAGGACAATATTAAAAACAAAACCAATTCTCATTCTATATTGTTTTAGTATTGATTTATATTGTGTGGTTTATATTTAAAGGGAAAATAATATGAACAAAAGATGCACTGATTTGTGTGTGTGTGTGTGTGTGAGAGTTGATGACCAGTTGACCCCCCCTTCCACTCAGCTTGTGACTTCCTCTCTCCCCAGCCTTTGACTTCCCTCCACCAGCTCTTGACTTCCCTTCAGCTTTTGACCCCCTCCCAGCTTTGACTTCCCTCCTCCCGCATGCTTTTGACTTCCTCCCCAACTCTGCATTCAAGTCCTCAGCTCTCATCTCTCTCTCCCACAACTTTTGACTTCCACCCTTAAATGTCTTGACTTCTCCCCAGCACTTGACTTCCTCCCAACCCCAAGAGAAAGGTTTGACCATAATACCTTAAGTACAAAATCTATATTTAACAGGTTCTTATGTTAATGTTTAGTTAAATTATTTCTTTAATCAGTTAATATTAACCAAAGTAAGAGTAGCAGATTGTGGCCATGTTGAAGTAGGTTGTTGTGGCCATGTTGAAGCAGGTTGTGGCCATGTTGAAGTAGCAGGTTGTGGCCATGCGTTGAAGTAGCAGTGTAGGCCATGTTGAAGTAGGTTGTTGTGGCCATGTTGAAGTAGGTTGTTGTGGCCATGTTGAAGTAGGTTGTGGCCATGTTGAAGTAGCAGGTTGTGGTCATGTTGAAGTTGGTTGTTGTGGCCATGTTGAAGTAGGTTGGCCTTGGAATAACAGGTTGTGGCCATTTTGATTACGACTTTGTGGCCATGTTGATATAATTTGTCATAACATTGTTGGTGTCGTTTAGTAATTTATTCCCCATTGTAGTTTGTTTGCTCGTTAGTTAAAATCCTCTTCTAATTGACCAGTTAAGTCCTCTCCTAATGGGCTACAAACCTAACCTAACCTAACCTAACCCAACCATTGACATCCATTAGAATTGTCTCAGACATAATGGGTTGTTTTAGGTGTAAGATCTGTCACACCAAATGCCAATTGAAGGTTAAAGCTTATCCTAGTCTGGACACAGTAACCTTATCCTAGTCTGGACACACTAAGCTTATCCTAGTCTGGACACACTAAGCTTATCCTAATCTGGACACTATCGGTTAAATCTTATCCCCTAGACACTTACCAATGAAAAAAATAATACATTATTGGTTAAAGCTTTCCTGTGGTTGAGGTTAAAGTACTAGAGTCGATTACTTGAGTTTCTCCTTGTTGGCATTAACCCTCCTCACTACACACACACCAGTGAAAACAATCGCTCTATTGGTTAAGGCTTCTCAGTGACGGAATAACCCCATTGGTGATCGAGAATCTTACCAAGGGGCGAGAATTAACCTACTTTGTGGTTAATGCTAAGAATCGAGTCATTATTCCTATGACTCCTAGACATGGGGGAATGACCCTATGGTAATATCCAAATTAGTCTACTTTCCATAGGTTTGGTTAGGTCAGGTGAGGTCAGGTCAGGTCAGGTCAGATCATCATTAACTGACAGTAGACATTTTGGTATTTAATATGTGACATCTTAAGAGTACCGACACATGATGGGAATAAGCTGACCCCATGACCCTCATAATCTGACCCCTGCTGTTGCTTAATGGCGTCGTAATGAAGGTCGTTAATGTCGAGACAAGAATTTGTATAGTGAAACCTCCTTATTACGAACTTCTCTGTAGTATATAGATTTGGTTAGATTTTTTAATATCTAACGGACCCTCGATATAATGAACTTTCAGCGCTGTTAGTTCGTTAGATGGGGATTTCACCTCTAACGGACCCTCGATATAATGGACTTTCAGCGCTGTTAGTTCATTAGATGGGGATTTCACCTCTAACGGATCCTTGATATAATGGACTTTCAGCGCTGTTAGTTCGTTAGATGGGGATTTCACCTCTAACGGACCCTCGATATAATGAACTTTAAGCGCTGTTAGTTCGTTAGATGGGGGTTTCACCTCTAATGGACCCTCGATAAAATGGACTTTCAGCGCTGTTAGTTTGTTAGATGGGGATTTCACCTCTAACGGATCCTTGATATAATGGACTTTCAGCGCTGTTAGTTCGTTAGATGGGGGTTTCACCTCTAACGGACCCTCGATATAATGAACTTTCAGCGCTGTTAGTTTGTTAGATGGGGATTTCACCTCTAACGGATCCTTGATATAATGGACTTTCAGCGCTGTTAGTTCGTTAGATGGGGGTTTCACCTCTAACGGACCCTCGATATAATGAACTTTCAGCGCTGTTAGTTCGTTAGATGGGGATTTCACCTCTAACGGACCATTAATATAACAGACTTAACCTCTCCATATAGTTAATTAAATAAAGGTTTCACCGTATTAACCATTGAAGATAAAAAAAAAAATCCAGAATTAATAACAAAAAATAAATAAAAAAACTCTCAATGAAATGTAATAATCAATTGGTCTAACGTAATTCCACGATGTTTCTCAGTTTCACGCAGAGTACAACAGGAAGAATGACGAATACGTGCATCACCGCGTCGTGCAGGCTTTCGAGACGTCGCAGCTCATTCGTTTCTGTCAGAAGGCCGGAAGTGTCCTCATATTTGCCGGGGACTTCAACTGCACGCCCACGGACTTTGCCTACAGGATAGTCAAGTTTTACGGCAACCTGGTCGACACTTATACCGAGAGCCCTGTTAAGGTGAGTCATTATAGTCATTGTACTGTCTGGTGAGTCATTGTTACTGTCAGGTGAGTCATTATAGTTATTGTACTGTCAGGTGAGTCATTGTTACTGTCAGGTGAGTCATTATAGTCATTGTACTGTCAGGTGAGTCATTGTACTGTCAGGTGAGTCATTGTACTGTCAGGTGAGTCATTGTACTGTCAGGTGAGTTTTGCCCTCTCCTACTGTCCAGAGACTTGTATACTGTCTGTCACTGTCTGTCACTGTCTGTCACTGTCTGTCACACTATGAAAACTAAACACCTGTAGAGTGAAACCTCCATATAATGAACTTCTGTCTTATATTCTAACAGACCCTCGATATAATGGACTTTTCATCTCTATGGTTCATTAAATGGGGGTTTCAGATCTAATGGACCCTCAATATAATGGACTTTTCACCTCTGTATGGTTCATTAAATGGGGGTTTCAGATCTAATGGACCCTCAATATAATGGACTTTTCACCTCTATATGGTTCATTAAATGGGGGTTTCAGATCTAATGGACCCTTGATATAATGGACTCTCTCCATATGGTCCATTAAATAAAGGTTTCACTACTGTATTTCTATGACTACAGGTTAAGCAATAAAGTAACTTAGATTGTGGATCTGGTAAAGAAATTCTCTGATGTGTGGTGTAGTTGTGATGGTGTGGTGTAGTGGTGATGGTGTGGTGTAGTGGTGATGGTGTGGTGGTGATGGTGTGGTGTAGTGGTGATGGTGTGGTGGTGATGGTGTGGTTTAGTGGTGATGGTGTGGTGTTTATATAAGATAAATTAGTTTTATTACCTGGGATATGTATAGAATTAATATAAACTACTTGTATTACCTGGGATATACATAAGAATAGCTTCAAACTGTTTATATATATTCAATAACATCCTTTAACGAAAACTAAATCACCTTCTATAGACGCCAGGATCCAACGGGGAAACCAACGAGACGCCGTCAAATAGCTACACTAACGTTAAGGCGCTTATAGATAACCCCAGCGGCAACAGGATCGACTACGTGTTCTACCAAGCGTCTGCAAGTCACAAGGTAAGCGAGGCCGCAGGGAGAAGCGTCGTCTTGTCGTGGCTTTTTATTACGTGATGACTCGAGGGTAGGAATGTCTCTCTCTCTCTCTCTCATATTAGCTAACTATCGCAGGGTTTGTTAGGTTAAGATATGTTAAGTTGGGTTAGGATATATTAAATTAGGTTAGGATATGTCACATTGGGTTTGATTAGATTAGGTCTGTTAAGTTAGTTTAGATTAGGTTATGGTATGTTAGGTTAGGTTATGTTAAGTTAGTTTAGATTAGGTTATGGTAGACAGTCCATTTTATTAACCCCCTTGTGTACTGAGTCCCCTTCTGAGCTGAGTAAAATAGTCTGACGTTACCCATACAATATAGTGGCGTCCCCATAATGAAGTGGTTAACTGATGTAACTAACAATAAGACTATTTCTGTTCACAATGACAAATATCACCACCCAACCCATCCAAACTCAGTATAGATGATCGTTTGCTCTGTCTCTCAGGTTAAAACCAAAGTGTGTGACCAGCCTTGGCCTCAAAAGGTTCCACAAAAGGACTTCAGTTTCTCTGACCACGAGGCTGTCCGCACGATTCTCACAGTCACCCCGGCCAAAGGTGAGTTACTTGAGGAGCGCCTGTCTGTCTGTCTGTCTATGTGCAGGTGTGGTAAACTTTCTAAAATGCGCTACAGGTGTTTTTAGTTAAGTTATGTATATGTTAATGTGTATGAATGTATGTCTGTGTATGAATCATTAATGTGAATGAATGTACAGTGCGTCCCCTACTGATGAACGCCTGCAGATACCAACGAGGTTAAACTTGAAATTTACAGCATTTTATTTACCTGATGACTTATTTTTTACTTTCATTTATACTGTATTTTGTCATTCTATTATTTTGTCTTAAAGTAAGTGATTTTAGATGTATATAATAACTTAGGCTCTGATATAGTGGGATTTTAAACACTGTTCTCTAAGTACTGTATTCACATAGCTGGTGTTCACACTTACGTACGAATCCGACTTAACGTCCTCAGGAATATAACCCGGGGACCCCCTGTATTGTGTGTATGAATGATTGAATGTGAATTGATTTATGAATGTAGTATTTTAGTGTATGAATGTAGTTAGGTATTTAAATGCTATTACTGTAGTTCATTTGTACTCCTATTCGAAACTATATGACTCACAAACGAGACATCATAGCGCCATCTATGAGTAAACAAGTAGATCAGAGTCTCATTCTAGCAGTTCAGAGTCTCAGGCATGTATGGTAACTTTAGCTCATGACTGTACACATCTATACATACATCACAATATGCTCAGACTCGACTCAATATATAACCTACTTCAATATATAACCTAACCGAACCTTTTCATTATTATGTTGAGTTATGTTAAGTTGGGCTTCATTATGACAGGAATGTTGGGTTAAATAGTACAGATTAACCTCCATATAACGGACTTTTCGTGCTGTATCGTTCGTTAGATGGAGGTTTCATATCTAATGGACCCTTGATATAATGGACGTTCATCTCAATATTATCCGTTAGATGGACAGTTCAGGTATGCAAACAATGTACCTAGACAGTTCAGGTATACAAACAACGTACCTAGACAGTTCTGGTATACAAACAATGTACCTAGACAGTACAGGTACACAGTGATAAACATTAAGGTGATGTGACATAAACGTGCATGATATTCTGACGAGTTTCTCTCACTTACAGACGACGAAAACACAGAGACAATCACCGAAGTCCAGGCGCAGACCGACGCCCTCCTGGAAAGTTCGGCGGTGTGCGAACAGGGGATGAAGAAGGTGGCTGTCAGTCGCAGGTTTTATCTCATGCTGTCGGTCCTCCTGACGGTGTTACAGCTGGGATACCTGGTCGTGCTGTCGCTGGATATCTCCCCTTGGTTACGTGTCGGCCTGGGTATACTGTCATTAGTATCGATGTCATTCCTGTTGTATTTCCTCTTCATGGGGACGGTGTTTTACCACGTAGAGTTCAACGGCGTGAAAGCAACTAAACTAGCGATTAAACGTCACCTGGAAATGTTAACGGAGAAAAACGCCCAGATTTTCGAAGAGGAGCGGAAAAGGTCGTTATCCTTAATTAAGTGACTAAAAGTTTCAGTGTTGGGAGGCGTGATGACCCCCCCACAGTGATATAATACTGAGCTCAAAAAAATAGTTGGTTAGTCGTAGTGAATCATAGTTAATAAATAAAACAATAAATCTTCCCCGCAGATAGCACGCGTGACAATAATATCGTGATAAGAGTTTGTTTACTCTCTTTCTTTATCTCGAATTATTTTTTGGTCTACGGAACACGGCTGCCCAAGAGTCGCACCCAATTGGGATTTTAATTAATATGAGGAAAAATCATAACGTCAAATGTGATACAAATATGAAATATAATGTAATAAGGAAAAATTATATTAAATGTACGATTTTTCGATCCTCAGCTCCATAACAACTCTCTATTGATCACAAGCTTTAGTATCACCACGCTACTGACCGATAATTCTGACATTTATTAGAATTTTCCGTATATAAATTTTGTCGATTTTATTTTTGTAATACGTTTGTCGTGGATTATTAATTAAAATACCTCGGTGATATACAGGGTAGTTACTAACGCCACAAACGAGGCTATTTGTTATTTAGGCCTCCAAGGATCACCTGAAGACCCCCCCCCTCCCCCGAGCTTAACCAACCTTAAGTTTAACCCCTAAATGCTCACCTGAAGATTAGTTCCCTAAATGCTCACCTGAAGATTAGTTCCCTAAATGCTCACCTGAAGATTAGTTCCCTAAATGCTCACCTGAAGATTAGTTCCCCAAATGCTCACCTGAAGATTAGTTCCCTAAATGCTCACCTGAAGATTAGTTCCCTAAATGCTCACCTGAAGATTAGTTCCCCAAATGCTCACCTGAAGATTAGTTCCCCAAATGCTCACCTGAAGATGAGTTCCCCAAATGCTCACCTGAAGATTAGTTCTCCAAATGCTCACATGAAGATTAGTTCCCCAAATGCTCACCTGAATTCCACGCCCCCCCCAAAAGTATCAAAGGGTGAGGAACTAATCATCAGGTGATCACTAGGACTAAAAATCCCCAATGGCCTCGTTCGTGGGCCTTAACTACCCCAACGAGGGTCGACTACAGTACGGGCCAGCCTGTATTATGGTGATTTTTATATGTATGCATCACTAGCTTCGTTAGATCTCAGACTACAGTATATTTTGTACCTCCGCCGAGCTTTCCTTCCTTCCATCCCGACATTGGTAAAACTGTGATGGCTATTCTAGTTCATTATAATGTAAATACTGTATTGTATTGTACTCTATTTTTCTAGTGTCTAGTATTAAGATTCTCTCTCTCTCTCTCTCTCTCTTTTGACTTTTGGGTAAACGTCTCACCCTGGTGGTTTACTTACGTTGGTATAAAGAGAAAAAAGACAACCGACAATAATCCTATTTTGTCCAGTTATTATACAAACATAAGGTAGAGCAGATTGTTCTATGTTGGAGAATTACCACGAATGCCGAGCTATTTATTCTTATTTGTCTATTATTATTTTTTAAAAGATAACCATGATGATTTGAAACGGCCAAACATAACCTAATAAATTCTAACCTAGGAACGTTTGGTTAGGTTAGGTAATGTGTGGTTGGTTCGTTTTGTCCGAGAGTTAAATTGTATTAGCGGTGCTGTTCGTGTTACTCCTCCAGCATTTTTTTTATGTGTCCTGTCCGTGTTACTTATCCAACATGGTTTATATGTCCTGTCCGTGTTACTTATCCAACATGGTTTATATGTCCTGTCCGTGTTATTCCTCCAACATGGTTTATATGTCTTGTGGAATTATACATAGTCGAGCAACAACATAAGGTATTAATGCGTACAATCTGATGAAAGGAATAATTTTTTTTTCTTCCCCGCTCGTAATTTCTGTCACGCGACATCCCAGGGCAAAAGGAATCGAAAACAATAGATACTAGACCCCCCATTCACGATCTTATGACAAACGAAGGTGAAGTTTACGTCGTTTATTGTTCCGACTTCCAGTGCCATCGTGAGAAAATACGCGACGAGCGAAAAAGCGAGAGACATTACCACCAATCAGAAAGAAGAATTGTAGACATTTCCACCAATCAAAAAGAAGAACTGTAGACATTTCCACCAATCAGAAAGAAGAATTGTAGACATTTCCACCAATCAAAAAGAAGAACTGTAGACATTTCCACCAATCAGAAAGAAGAACTGTAGACATTTCCACCAATCAAAAAGAAGAATTGTAGACATTTCCACCAATCAAAAAGAAGAACTGTATTGTATTCAGAATTGATTTATTGCTCTGTTGTGTGTGTGTGATCGCGGGTCTTTATTAAGTATTACTGTTAATGGGTTGTTGGGGTGTAATGGGGAGTAATGGGGTGTTGTAGGTCGTGTGTGGTGCAGATTTAGGCGTTTGTTAGAGCCTTTCAAGTACAGTTTATGGATCACCTGAAGAATCACCATCCCAGCTTATTTCACCTGATGATTAACCACCCTAACCTAATCTAGCATAACACTAACCTCATCCAACCCAACCCATACTAACCTAACCTCATCCAACCCAACCCATACTAACCTAACCTCATCCCCTACAAATGGCATTATGGTCGTTAATCTTCAGGTGTAATGAGCTGGGGCGATGATTCTTCAGGTGATATATATGGATATTTTTTAGGGCAATTATGTGTAAGACCTTCATGAAAATTAATACAGTTAATTTTATTGAAGAGTTACATGGAAATTAATGACACTTAATTTTATGGATGGATTATATAGAATTAAATTGGACATATTTCCGGGTGATTTAATATGAGTTTTAAACGGTGAGGGTTTTTAATCAAGGAATTTTTTTCTGTGTGTGTGTGTGTGTGGGGGGGGGGGGAACATATGACACACACACAGAGATAGACATATGTACATACACACACACACACATGCACTGAGAAACACACATACTGACACTCACAGAAACATGCACACACAGACACATGCACACACAGACACATGCACTCTCTCACACATGCACTCTCTCTCACACACACTCACACACAGACACATGCACACTCTCTCACACACACTCACACACAGACCCATGCACACACAGACACACGCACTCTCTCACACACACACTCACACACGACTCGGATAGTTATCATTTGTTTCCTGGCTTGAATAACCAAAATAACCCACAATAAAGTCAAATAAACCAAAAATAGACCAGATTAAACCAACATAAACTAAATTAAAGGAGAATAAACCCAATTAAACCTAAATTAAACCAAGATAAACTACAATAAATCGACGTAAACCAAACAATCACATCTGAATTAGTTACTATAGCCCACATTAAGAGGTGGTACTTTGAGCATTTAACCTGCATCTGTATTTTGAAGATTAGCTTCTGTCATCATCCTGGAATCATTGTAGAATCATTGTCATCATCCTGGGATCATTGTCATCATCCTGGAATCATTGTAGAATCATTGTCATCATCCTGGAATCATTGTAGAATCATTATCATCATCCTGGAATCATTGTAGAATCATTATCATCATCCTGGAATCATTGTAGAATCATTATCATCATCCTGGAATCATTGTAGAATCATTGTCATCATCCCAATAGTTTGTTTATTAGTTCGGACTTCATCAGACAAGACCCTATTTAATGTGGGTTCAGATACAGATTTAAATCTTCGTTTTATCGTCAGTATTCCCAACGATCGTTTCAGGAGTTTTGGGACGTTATTAATCATCGTCCGGGGGTAATTGTTATGGACCGATCTCGTCTCATCACATTATATCACGTATGGGTTAGATACGTCAGATTACTTCACCTGATGATTAAACTCCCTAATGCTAACTTAACCTAACCAAAAACCTAATGTAATCTAACTTAACCTAACCAAAAATCTAACGTAATTTAACCTAACCTAATCAAAAACTTAACGTAATTTAACCTAACTTAACCAAAAACCTAACATAATCTAACTTAACCTAACCAAAAACCTAACATAATTTAACCTAACCTAACCAAAAATCTAACAATCCAACCTAACCTTCAGTGTAAGACAATGCTACAAGCGCAGGTGTTTGGTCATCGTTAGAGTCAGTATTACGAGCACAATTTTTCAATCGTCGCAAAAAAACGTGATGAGGTTTGACCATACGATTAGCCTCGGTCTTAATATTTTCTCCACGGAGTAAACATTATTAAACCATATGGCTTATTTTGTGCTACATGTTTTAATTCATGGCTAAAGTAGTTGTTTAAGCCATATGTCTTTTGGTTTCCTATGTGGTTTAGTGTGAGGACCAGACAGCTTAATTCACCTGATTAAAAGACCCTAATGTTAATCTAATCTTACATCACTTAGTCTAACCTGAACCTAAATTAATCTATCTAAACTTAAACCAACTAAACTTAATCTATTACTGAAACATTAAACTTCCTTGTACGGGACTTTACTCTGCATATAGTTCGTTAGATGGAGGTTTCACATCTAACGGACCCTCGATATAATGAATTTCCCCTCCATATTGTTCGTTAAATGGAGGTTTCATCCTAACGGACCCTCGATATAATGAATTTCCCTCCATATAGTTCGTTAGATGGAGGTTTCACATCTAACGGACCCTCGATATAATGAATTTCCCCTCCATATTGTTCGTTAAATGGAGGTTTTGCCGTATAAATAACAAGTAGATTGATGTGGAATTTCTGAATCATAAGTCGAGTTCTTTGTACAGGACAGATTGGCTAGTCCACCTACTAGCTCAATAGAAATCTTGAATCATGCACCGAGCCCTTCAAATATGACAGATTTTATTTCAAGTTCACCTGCCAGTTAAATCATGGTTGGTAAGATCTCTGCACAGGACACAGCTTTGGTCATTAGTTCAGCCTCTTAAACACACAAATATACAGATGTTTTAGAATGATCACAGTTGACAATGTAATTACTTTAGTTGGATTTTGTGCACTGCTATTTTATAATCATTCAGCATGTTTGTGTGTATGTCTGTGTATGAATGTATGAGTGAATGTGCGTGTGTGTGTGGGTGTATTGTAATTCTGTGTGTATCGGTGTATATATGTATGTGTGTATTGCTAATCTATATCAAGTCGCCTTTCCCTTATGTGCCATTAATATAAATCGTAGTTGATAAATATGAAGTGTTAAAAATTCCTCTTATCTATTATGAATTATCTTTGAGATTTTTAGCGATTAAGTGTGATTTCATGTTAGCGTAGGTCATACCGCCCTGAAAAATAACCTGGCTGTTATTAGCAAGTGAAGATTAGACACCCCTATCTTATATCACCTGAAGATTAACCACCCTAACTTTGATCTAGGTTAATATTAGGTTAAGGTAGGGTTAGGTTAGTGTAGGTCAAGTTAGTGTTAGATTAGGTTAGCGTAGTGGAATTTCACCTCTATCTGTATTTTTCTGGCTAAATATAGTTCATTAGATGGAGACTTCACATCCAAAAGACCCTTGATGTAATGGACTCTCCTCTCCATATAGTCCGCTAAATAGAGGTTCCAATGTAGTCCAATTAAGAAGAATTAGTCGCTGAACGCTTTAAAAAAAACATCGTTCTCTGTTGATGTCGTGTCGTCAAGCGATTCCCAAGTCACGTCTCCGGTGCGTTAGGACAATAAAAATGAAGAATTACTCGCCTTGTGATATATTGAAGTATTGTACGCACTTTTTGATGGTATTTTGGGGGTGAGAAACTGTGCGGGTTACCTGAAGATTAGACACCCCAGTTTATTTCATTTTAAGATTAGTTACCTTAATACTACGCTAACTAGACCTAATCCACTCTAATATAATCAAATATCATCTGACTTAACTTGACCTCACCCCACACCCCCACCTGACGTGACCTGACCTGACCTGACCTGACCTCACCTCACCTCATCCCACTAGGCAGCATTAGGGCATTTGATCATCAGGTAAAATAAACTGCGGGCGAGCTAATGTTCATGCGATCTGAAATTGTGATATTTACCGTTTGTTGTGTACGACTTTTAATGTTCTGTAATGTGTATATAGTGTAGTTACAATTGATATGGCCCAAAATCCCACTAGACTCCCCCAACTTAACCTAACCAAACCAGACTAGTAGAATTTGGGGCCCACTAGGACTGCCTTAGGCCTCCGCTACTTATGGTTTGGTTTCACTGGGGCCTATTTGGACTGGGGCCTATTTGGACTGGGGCCTATTTGGACTGGGGCCTGTTCAGTAAGGTCCCCCCCCCCCCATGTACTCTTGAAATTAAGAGATTATTTTTGGACGATTGTCTGTCTGTGAATTATTATTATTTTTTTTTTTCTTAGAATTGGTTTGTCTCATTATCCAATTCTCTCATCTGGTTCATCCGTCATCCAGACTTGTTCAGTTTTCTCAGTTCATTTCCTATCATCCAGATTTGTGTGGTTTAGTTTTCTCATCCGGTCTTATGGCTCATTTCCGTCATCCAGATATCATAATAAATCCCATCGTGATCGTATTTATCGTCAAATCACTACAAGACACGACTCCACCTTGTTCTGTTGTTCTGGTCATTTTAGTAATAGCCCCCATAGCTCTTCGTTGCGTCGTTTAAGGTCGATTGATTATTGTTCCCTTGTGTTCCCTTTGTACGACTTCTCTTGTACTGTTGTCTACATTACGTACGGTCGGATTCTAAAGTCCGTCGTCTCGTCTCCCTGAACCACGAACCCCAATACTGAGACTCGTTCATCTCGGAAGTTAGTTGGATTTACTATATATGTACACAGCTCGTCTCTGCTCTTGGCACGACGTCTGCAGAGCGTGATACTACCTTAGTACCTCCCCGGAACGTATCTCTCGTGGGGGGGGGGGGCCTGTGTGAAAGTGTAGAACCTATAACGTATTTTGTTCGTAGACGCTGTTGTAGAGTATATCCATTTATCCGTCACCACACAGCTCACCACTAGAGTGTTCCTATAATATCACTTCACCGTACCCTTAGATATCTTACCGTACCCCACCTGACAGAGCAGAAATAATATATAGTATAGATAAGAACACTAACGATCCGTACGCCATTATAATCACGCTTGTAACGTGGTAAAATGCCATATACTGCTGCCTCCTTTATCATCATTTATTTATTCGTTCCTTGTAGTGGGTATCATAAGGCATCGTATTGTGATGCCCTGGATTTGAGGACCAGTGCGCCGATAGGTGGAAGACGCGAGTTATTATTGAATGTACAGTTTATATATTGATGTCATGGCATTTGTTTTGATGCAGTGTTGTGGACTTACTGGCCAAGAGAGGTTCAGTCTGTCGATAGGTGAAACATAGGAGTTATTATCCACTAGTGTATATAGAGATGAAGACAGTGCTATCGCTTACCTTGAGCGATAGCCGTCGCCCTACAAAAGCTAGGACAAAGTTGATGATAGAATGATAACTATAGTTTTTTTTTAAGACAAGAATTTATAACTTAATTTTATATATATAGGTAAAGATGAAGTACTTTTTCTATATATATAGTTCAATAGTGTATTTATGAGCTGTTTATAACTTTTATCTTGTACGTGTTATTAAAAGAGCATATATTATGTGCGAGAGAATATGACACAACGGGCGAAGGATTTTGACGACCCTACCGAGAGGACAGGAGTCGCGGCGATCACTCCTAGACTCATCGATCCCTTCCTTAAAGATACATTATTACCCGTGTATACATATGAATCGACACAAACCCCGTATACATATGAATTAATACAAACCCATATTATTATTACCATAGATGAAACTATTGTGTGTTATGTATTGTATATGGCAGTTTATCAGCAAAGTTCACGCCATATGTATCACCACAGAGTCACCATCTTAGGCACTTTCAACCCTCAATGAAAAAAATAAAAAATAAACCCACTTAACTTTTAAATGTTTGGTAAAATCTTCATCACTATGTATCTGTTGTATTAAAAAATAATGAAATAAATTATTGCATATTGTAACAGTGACGATTGTTTCCTGTAATTTTTGTTAATCCTACAGTGAAAATACAGAATATATTTAGTAAGTGTTGGTTGATTTATGATGTATTTTTAGGTTTGTTTTCTGGTGGGTTTTAAAAGACTTTACTAGTTTCATTGGTGTTTAGGTCCCAGGGTCAATGATGGCTTGACGGGTCTTATGAAGTTTAAACACCCTAGTTTATTTCACCTTAATATTAAATACCCTATTGCTCACCTAACCTAACCTGATGCTAACCTAACTTAACCTAACTTAATGCTAACCTAACTTAACCTAACATAACTTAATGCAAACCTAACTTAACACTAACCTAACCCTAATCTAAAACTGTACTAATCCCAACCTAATCCCTAGGAGAATTACATCAAAAGGATTAATTAGATAAAATAAACTGGGAGATAATCTTTGTGTAATGTGATTTGTGTTGGGAAAATTACCACATAACTGAGAATATACACAAATATACAGTACCTACCATGTTAGATTAGGGTAGGTTAGATTAGGGTAGGTTAGATTAGGGTAGGTTAGAGTAGGTTAGATTAGGGTAGGTTAGGTTAGATTAGGGTAGGTTAGATTAGATTGAAGTAGAAAAATACCCTCAAAATAGTTTCCCCTAACAGTTTTCTGGACTTGTGGCTTCATCAACCATAAGCTGTGACCTCTAGTGGGGCGGATGTCAACCAGCTCCAGGTATGAACTGAGTAATGACCTCTGAGGTGTTTATAAACTTGTAGTAAGTCGCCCCTTGTCCGCTTGTAGTATAAGATGGTCAACTGCAGGCGTTTTAATCTCTGGTAAGGTGGAGTCTGTTAATTTTGTCTCCTAGTTGGTGTTAAGTGAAGGTGTCTAGTTAAGGTAGAGTCTCAGTGTTAAGTGAAGGTGTCTAGTTAAGGTAGAGTCTCAGTGTTAAGTGAAGGTATCTAGTTAAGGTAGAGTCTCAGTGTTAAGTGAAGGTATCTAGTTAAGGTAGAGTCTCAGTGTTAAGTGAAGGTATCTAGTTAAGGTAGAGTCTCACCACAATCCGCCCATCATCACCCTCAGAGACAGCAGATGGCCATGGCCACTAAGATTACTCGGGGAAATACAGTGAAAAATAGCATTACTCTTTTGCTATCAATGTCAGCTGTGTGAGGAACGACCACCTGAGTTTAATTCGCCATAATGTGGACGGTAAATTTTATTCTTTGTCTCAGGCATAAAAATATGAATTGGTGTAAACTTTGTATGATGATTTTAATGATGGAATATTTATATTTATTTGTGTCTGATGTGAATTAATTTGATTGGGTAAAGCTACAGACAGAGAATAATGAAGAAATCAATAGGTCGACATTATAAAACTCAGTATGTGGAGAAAATGTGGGTTTCATCTCGTGTAATAATAATAGAAGTAATTATCATTGTTTTGAGAAATGTTGAATGGGCGAGGTGAAAGCTTAGGTCTGGTGCCCTGATGACTGATGTACCTACAGATACAACAGGTATTGATTGGCTAAACGATGGTATATGGCATTTAAATAAGATTTAAGTAGACATTTCTTCTTTTGGGTTAATGTAAAGACTAATTAACTGTTCATAAAATTTTTATAACTGCAAAAATTCCTGATTCTATTCCATATATCTTGAAGTGGAAATGAAACGCCTCAACACATATTTTCTGTTAATATCAAATCAAACTTTTATATCCTTAATTATATACAAATAATATATATAATAAACAAGTAATTACGTTGTACTGATTTAATATATTTCGCGAATTAAACTAAAAATCCACCAATCCTAATCCATACCTATTGGCCGATACCATCCCTCCCCCATACATCACAACAGGGTACCAGACATCACCTCTTAGGCTCCCGCAAGTCATCGAGAAAATAACACGTAAATAAACTCTCTTGACGGGTGTGAGAAAAGCGCCATTAGCATAAGAGAAAACGTGATAAAACAATGATGTATTTGTTAGGGTAGACTTGTGTGTTTGTATAGGTTTAAGTTATCATGATACTGAGTTATGAGGCCATGAACGCTCCATAAACACATACGGGTTACATAAACAATATCATACCGTTCTGTAACCTCTGATATAAGCCTATTAAACTCTAATCCTCGTTATTATCGGTGTAATTAAGGTTTCAGTTTCAAGGGCATATATTATGACAGGTAATGATAGGTAATAAGCATTTAACTTTGTCATTACCACTGGAAATTCCAACCAATCACGAATGGTTAAAATTTCTCCCCTGTGGCGGGAATTGGTGAGATGCCAGATGACCAATGTTGAAGAAAAAAACACGTAAAACCTGGGGAAACTATGCATATTTAAATTTATATTAAATAGTTATATATAATCTAATTAAGTCTAATATAATCTAGTAGAATATATTTTATAATTATTATATTAGATTATATTACAAATTATATGCTTCAGAAACTAGAAAGTAATGATTAAGACATGAAGAAGGGGTTGTTCGTAGAATTTACATCAACATTGGCCATCTTGCTGAGTGAGGTTAGACTATGAGGCGCACCTGAATGTTCTTCAGTTGACCGTCAGACGCGGAGTAGGGCGGTTGTGTAGTCTGAAACATCTTAGTTCTTCCTGACTCGTTGAAATCTCCTGACGTGTTGGCTGGTGTACACGATGAAGGCGTCGCTGTTGGTGTCGTTGGCGCTGGTCGCTGTGGCTCACGCTGGTACCTGCCCCAAGTACCCAATCATCCGGGACTTTGATTTTCACAGAGTAAGTTTGACATTAGTTTTAAGTGCCATTAACAGTTGAGATAATTACACATCGTTTTAGAAATAATTATGACTTCGCTTCCATCATTAAGCTCGTAATAAGGTCAATAATTATACTAGTGCATCATTAATTACAAGTTATGAGGCTGGAACTATTGATAATAATAATAATAACGATAATAATAATTGATAATAATAATTGATAATTAAGGAGCAGTTTTAACACACACTAAGCTGAGACAAAACAGCTTAAACGATGCTTATTATGTGACGAAAAAGCTTAATATATCTTGAAACACCACTGAGTGTATCTTGTAGAGGCACTGAGTACATCTTGAGTACATGAGGCTCTTGTTACATATTTCAACTTTAACTTGTTACTAGGATTAAAGAAGCCATTTTTATTTATTATTACTGTAGTGTTGTAGGTTTAGTGTAAAATACATCAAATTCGTTATAAAATATTCCGTTGTTATAATGTACAGAATAGTTCAGTCACCCCTTCAGTATGTTGTGTGTGTATGTCTGTGTCTGTGTTTGTGTGTCTGTGTGTGAGTATGTCTGTGTGTGAGTATGTCTGTGTGTGTGTGTCTATGTCTGTGTGTGTGTGTGTGTATCTGTGTGTGTGAGTATGTCTGTGTCTGTGTGTTTGTGTGTGTGTCTGTGTGTGTGTGTGTGTGTCTGTGTGTGTGTATCTGTGTCTGTGTGACTGTCTGTGTGTGTGTGTGTCTGTCTGTCTGTCTGTGTGTGTGTATCTGTGTGTGTGTGTCTGTGTGTGTGTTATACTGGGTAATGTTCAGTTCATGGTATCAGCGTCGATTATTATATGATTCAGTAATTTTATAAACATATATCGCGTGTGTGTGCAGGCATCATAACAACAGGTGGTGATAGCCATTATATATAGAAAATAAATTATACACCCACATCACCTGAGCCGTTTGAGCACCAATTAATTAAAGAGAGTTTTCTGCTCTTATGGTGGACTTTAGTTATGGGGAGAAAGTTTAGAAATCTCTGTATATTGTTGACAAGAGAGTGTAGGAATCCCTGATGTAACTGAACTTATTGCTGTCATCGTTACGGACATAATTTTACCGCTATAGTTACGGTAGTTAAGTTTGTGGTTTGGTATACTCAGTTCACCGTCAAGTATACAACAGCTGATCTTGAAAACAAACGGTATACACAGACAGACAGTCACACTTACCCACGCTATCATCATTCATAATTAGTACTGTAATAATAATAATAATAACAATAATAATAATAATGATAATAATAATGATAATAATAATAATAATAATAATAACAATAATAATAATAATAATAATAATAACAATAATAATCCAATTAACACTACGCTTCATTAACCTTAAATAAACCTCAATATTTAACCCCATAATTTTTAAACCACAATTATGAAACTTAATTATTTAATCATTATTTTTAAACGAGTTAAATTTGTTTCTAAAATTTATATTATTATCGAAAAATTTAATGAGAAATGTGACCTTGGAATTACGAGTGAGTGACGTAACGATTGGATGAGTGACGTGGTGAGGTTGGGAGTGACGTAACGATTGGATGAGTGACGTGGTGAGGTTGGGAGTGACGTAACGATTGGATGAGTGACGTGGTGAGGTTGGGAGTGACGTAACGATTGGATGAGTGACGTGATGTAGTGTTTTGTCTTTCTTTTCTATAATTAAAAGCAAAAATTTAATAAAAACTCGATATAGAAACTAAAAACTTGGGAAATATAAACAAGAAAAACAAAATCGAATCGCACTGTAATTTTGGCGCGAAAAATCATAAACAAAAAACAAAATCGAATCGCACTGTAATTTTGGCGCGAAAAATCATAAACAAAAAACAAAAGAAAGTCTATTGAACTACGTAGGAACTTTCTCTACTCCCTGAGGTATTGGCGCTCGTCCAGTGTCCAGTGTCTTGTCCATTGATATGAGTCGACCTATAACTGACGGCTGATTGATGATGGCTTTTTCTAATTTCAATCCTTAGTTTACTACAGGATGGTTTATATATATATTTATTTTAAATGGTATCCTGATCTGCCCAGTGTTTGTCCAGTCTTTTCTCGGAGGGCAAGAGGGTAGAAAGCAGCATCCTAGTTTGCCTTGTGATTGTCCAGTCTTTTCTCGGAGGGTAAGAGGGTAGAAAGCAGCATCCTGGTCTGTCTAATGTTTGTCCAGTCTTTTCTCGGAGGCAAGAGGGTAGAAAGCAGCATCCTAGTTTGCCCTTGTGATTGTCCAGTCTTTCTCGGAGGGTAAGAGGGTAGAAAGCAGCATCCTGGTCTGTCTAATGTTTGTCCAGTCTTTTTCTCGGAGGGTAAGAGGGTAGAAAGCAGCATCCTGGTCTGTCTAATGTTTGTCCAGTCTTTTCTCGGAGGGCAAGAGGGTAGAAAGCAGCATCCTAGTTTGCCTTGTGATTGTCCAGTCTTTTCTCGGAGGGTAAGAGGGTAGAAAGCAGCATCCTGGTCTGTCTAATGTTTGTCCAGTCTTTTCTTGAGGGGTATGAGGGTAGAGAACAGCATCCTGGTCTGCCTAATGTTAGTCTAGTCTTTTCTCGGAGGGCAAGAGGGTAGAAAGCAGCATCCTAGTTTGCCTTGTGATTGTCCAGTCTTTTCTCGGAGGGCAAGAGGGTAGAAAGCAGCATCCTGTTTGCCTTGTGATTGTCCAGTCTTTTCTCGGAGGGTAAGAGGGTAGAAAGCAGCATCCTGGTCTGTCTAATGTTTGTCCAGTCTTCTTGGAGGGTATGAGGGTAGAGAACAGCATCCTGGTCTGCCTAATGTTTGTCCAGTCTTTTCTTGGAGGGTATGAGGGTAGAAAGCAGCATCCTGGTCTGTCTAATGTTAGTCTAGTTTCTTGGAGAGTAAGAGGTTAACGCCATCTTGATCTGCCCAACTCTTGTCCAGTCTGTTCTCACGTTACCAAATCATTCATAAAGTGATTCTGGCATTACCCATTATAACTGTTGCCAACTTTAATCATGAAGGTTAATTAAAAGAACTGTTGTTGTAAAATTCCCTCCCGGTTGCGTCGTCCCGAGGAGTGTCAGCTGACCGCGACATTATAACCAGATGTTAATACAGAAAGGAATGTGAAGTGCTGCCATCTGTCGGTGTGACGGCCAACTGTATCAAGTGCCATCTATGGGTACAATCCCCAACCTCGACCAAAACGCCATCTGTTGACACGTAAATAAAACTAAAAGGAACTGGATTAGCGCCATCTGTTGTCGTAGCGGGTAATTACAAAGTAGCGTCATTAAATGAATAATTATCTAGGGGTAATTACGGGGTGACATACATACGATAGTTCCGGTTTGCATAGTTTCCTTTCTCCAATACTCTATTAACCCAGTATTTGGATCACCTGAAGAATCACCACCCCAGCTTATATCACCTGAAGAATCACCACCCCAGCTTATATCACCTGAAGATTAACCACCCTAACCTAACCTAACATTACGTAAACGAAAAAAATAAATATTCAGTAAAATTTTCAATAAGTTAATATTTATTTAGCGAGTAATGTTAAGTAAAATAACTGGGATTTGGTCACTTTGTTTTCAGTTTATTACCGCAGGCAAGAGTCCGTTAGGGTGAATGTGCCTGGAAGCAGTGTGTGTGTGTGTGTGTGTGTGTGTGGTGAATGAATGGTGTGTGTATGTGTGTGTGTGGTGATTGAATGGTGTGTGTATGTGTGTGTGTGGTGAATGAATGGTGTGTGTATGTGTGTGTAGAATGAATGGTGTGTGTATGTGTGTGTGTGGTGATTGAATGGTGTGTGTATGTGTTTCAGATCAGAAAATGAATGACGTGTATGTATGTATGTATGTGAAAATACCAAGTTACATCAAAATTAGATTTATATTTATACACACGACCGAGAAAAATTACAAGGAGCGAAAACACTGACCTTAAAGTGCCTAGTTAATTGTACCGTGATGTATGCCTTGGATGCATATTTATCTCTCCTCGGTCTAGTTAATGAGAACAGAGCTTTTAAAGAACGTCGATACATTTTATTCATGGCGTGTGTTCATGTGTGTCGTGCGGCGGGAAACTGTCACGTACTGATCAACAAGAGAGAGATTTAACTCATTGGATGTTGAAATAGTGATCTTGGTGATGAAGGGAAAGTTAGATGAGGTGTTTGTCTTGTGGAAAGTGATATATCTGTGTGTGTATAAGGTAAAATTAATCTACGGTGAAACTATATTGCCCTTACAGTATCGTTAGAAAGTTTAAGCGAGAGTTAGCGTAGTATTAAGAGAAGTGAAGTGAAGAGGGAAAAAACTGATTATTACTCTTCCAGCTAAGCCAGTTTATATTTTGCATTGTTAGGAGAAAATTCCCCTGAGGTAAATTCTCTTTAATTACTTATACTATTTCTAGATAAAGTATTTAATTCTTTTTTTATATATATTTTGAATACTAAAGTTACTTATTAGTGTTTATATAAAGCTTCTTGTGTGAATTTCCTGGTCTTTTGTTTTCATTTAGGCACGTATGAATTTTTAGTCAAGGTATCATGTGTATAAATATTTATTTGGGGAATTTAAACTGAAAATATTATGTTCTTGTGGATAAATTAAGCTTAAATATATAGTCGATAAGTGTGTGTGTGTTGTACGGATGGGCAGGCAGCAAAACCCCTGAGGCATGATGATGGCTGATGGTGGTGGAGACGGGTTAGTGGGTTACTGCCCGCCACCACCACCACCACTGCCACCCCCGACATACTTCTTCCACCACACGCCGCTCTTTTTCCCTGTTGCTGTGTTGATGATGTGTTTCAACTAATATATCTTGTTATTACGAGCTACTACAATTATTAATATTATTGCTTTTACTACTGCTATTATTACTATGAGCTATCTATTAAATCAGAGCACAGGAATTAAATAGGCCTGTATTGAATAAGTTAATACACCATAAACAAACTCAATTAAAATAAAATAAAAACGAAATGTATTCAGTAAATTAAACTTTTCTTTTATTAATTCGTTATATTTACATTAGTTTTGATAATTATAAAGGTAGTAGGTACAGCTTTCCCTTTGTCCTGAGGGGTCACTGGTTCGAGCCATTTGACCCAGTAACGTGGCCGGACACTGCACTGGACCACCTTCACTTCCCCAACGGCAAAATCCAATACGAACCCATCCACAACTTATATAGAATTGTATACATATATATTTTGAAGCCAACAGTGCATAACAGAGAGCCAGTATAATATCAAATAACTCGTCTCTTTAAAAGTATGATAAATTATGTTCCGTGGCTTACAACTACAGGAGTCGCGTACAATAATCGACTCCACGGTGGTAAATTTTATTCATATATTTCTTCAAAAGATGTTTGTTTTTCATTAATAATTATGTTGACTTATTATTGTTTTGCAGCAGTCAATACAAATGGCAAGGTATTCTGTCAACACAAACGTCAAGCAACCTTCAAATTTGCCGTCAAGACAATGTGGAAAAAATTGACAAAGTTGATGATAAATACCTCGTCACTTTCAATATCTGGCGGGCTAAAATAATATATACTTTTATTATATGGCTTTCACCTGTCTGGTCTGTTGATAAGCAATGGGCATGTACTGGGTCTTGATTGTTAGTTAAGTATGGATAGTTAACAAGTACTGGACATGTACTATATCTGAGACTAAATTAATGAACTGACGGGGAAAATCAGACTTACGACTAAAACCCAGACACCTAACCCAGACACCTGTAAACCCAGACACCTGTAAACCCAGACACCTGTAAATCCACACACACCTGTAGGAAAATCTCAAACCTAGAAAACCCGCACGAGAAGTCATCATTGTTTATACTAACCCAACCTAACCCAACAATAATGATACCCGAATTAATAACCCGCAAAATAAGAAAGTGTTTAAAATAAAGAAAGTAATCACGAGGTATAAATGGGAGTGAAAGTGGATGATATTGTGGTAATGTGGACTCAGTAATTCTCAGGATTTGATATTTACGTGACTTTGCCGTCGAAGGTGGCTGGCTTCTGAGAGGGTTGTAAGATGGTGTAAGGAAACGCAACTTGTTTTTACGGTAAAGATTTAAACACCATTATTTGAAGGTAATTTCGTCAACCATCATAGTAACGGAACGAAGATTGGCCAATTGAGGTGAATTTGGTGGAGTCTTCTAGCGGACAGTTTTTTGTGAATAATATTAGTATTGGTACCAGATGGTTGCTCAGTGATGCTACTTATATCCTCTTTGTTACTTATCGGTCTGTTAGTTACTTGGGCAGTCGGTTACGTCTCTGTTACACACTGTGGGCTAACTAACCTAACCGCTGTAGCTTTAGTGAGTCAGATACGCTTTATCATGTGAGTGTCTAAATAGTACATCTAGTATACACCTACACAGACGCGTACGCATTGGTCCTTGAGGTGAACGTACGCTGAGACACCCACACCCCGACAGTGTGGCCTAGCAGATTAACGGACCACCTCTAATGTTACCCACTTCTAGTATCTCGGCTCCCACCTGTCCTCCACCGCGGATATCGATGAAGAGACACTATATTGACTTAAAAGACTCCGTTACCCGTGTCGGTGTGTAACAGAGAGCCAGTACTTTCCAACGGTGTGTAACAGAGAGCCAGTACTTTCCAACGGTGTGTAACAGAGAGCCAGTACTTTCCAACGGTGTAAAACAGAGCCAGTACTTTCCAACGGTGTGTAACAGAGAGCCAGTACTTTCCAACGGTGTAATAGAGAGCCAGTACTTTCCAACTAGTAACAGAGAGCCAGTACTTTCCAACGGTGTGTAACAGAGAGCCAGTACTTCCAACGGTGTGTAACAGAGAGCCAGTACTTTCCAAATGTGTAACAGAGAGCCATTACTCCAACTGTGTGTAACAGATAGCCAGTATTTCCAACGGTGTGTAACAGAGAGCCAGTACTTTCAACGGTGTGTAACAGAGAGCCAGTACTTTCCAACGGTGTGTAACAGAGAGCCAGTACTTTCCAACGGTGTGTGTGCAGAGAGCCAGTACTTTCCAACGGTGTGTAACAGAGAGCCAGTACTTTCCAACGAGTAACAGAGAGCCAGTACTTTCCAACGGTGTGTAACAGAGAGCCAGTACTTTCCAACGGTGTGTAACAGAGAGCCAGTACTTTCCAACGGTAATAGAAGAGCCAGTACTTCCAACGGTGTAACAGATAGCCAGTACTTTCCAACGGTGTGTAACAGAGAGCCAGTACTTTCCAACGGTGTGTAACAGAGAGCCAGTACTTTCCAACGGTGTGTAACAGAGAGCCAGTACTTTCCAACGGTGTGTAACAGAGAGCCAGTACTTTCCAACGGTGTGTAACAGAGATATGACCGACCACCCAAACGGCTAACAGACCGATGAGTGGTGAAGAGGATAAAATAAATGCCAGAAACAACTGACGCCGTAGAACCTAATGAACATGGTGTCAACAACAACAACAGCTGGCTTGGCGTAATGGCGTTCTTTTATAAGTATGCCGCCTGTGACTTCTCCACTCACCCATCATCACCAACACTTCTACAGAACCTCCCTAAAACCCCTGACGGTGGTAATAACGGAGACTTTAGTAATGCTCGGTCATTTACGCTCGCGCAACATCGACTGTGAGATCACGTGTATAAAACATTCACATCATATGGCCAACGTTCTAAAAAATATACTTATTATTGTTATTATTTATTTATTAACTTATTAACTTATTTATATGTTTATTTTCCAGTATATGGGGTTATGGTACCAACAAGACAAGCTTCAGGCATCGTGGGAAGCTCCTGGCAGATGTTGGAAGACGCTGTATTCAAGAGACCGTAAGAATGGACAGTTTAAAATGAAGATGATCTTTAAGTCAACAATGTGAGTGGTGGGTGTGGGTGTGTAGTGTGGGTGGTGTGTGTGGGGTGTGGGTGTGGGGTGGTGTGTGTGGGGTGGTGTGTGTGTGTGTGGGTAGTGTGTGTGGGTGTTGGGTGGTGTGTAGTGTGGGTATAGGGTGGTGTGTAGTGTTGGTGTGTGTGTGTGGGGTGGTGTGTAGTGTGGGTGTGGGGTGGTGTGTGTGTGTGTGTACTCTACGTCACTCTCAATACGGGCTCTTGATACATTTGAATTATATAGATCAGCTGATGTGTGTTAGCAGGACACACACACACACACACACACACACACACACACACACATAAACATATACAGCTAACCCATTAGGTGTTTGTTATTGTAAATAAATTAAACAAATATGACCTCTCTTGACCTGACCTCTCTTAACCTGACCTCTCTTGAACTGACACCACTTAACCTGACCTCTCTTAACCTGACCTCTCTTGAACTGACACCACTTAACCTGACCTCTCTTAACCTGACCTCTCTTGAACTGATATCACTTAACCTGACCTCTCTTAACCTGACCTCTCTTGAACTGACATCACTTGACCTGACCTCTCTTAACCTGACCTCTCTTGAACTGACCTCTCTTAACCTGACCTCTCTTGAACTGACCTCTCTTAACCTGACCTCTCTGAACTGACACCACTTAACCTGACCTCTCTTAACCTGAGCTCTCTTGATCTGATATCACTTAACCTGACCTCTCTTGACCTGACCTCTCTTAACCTGACCTCTCTTGACCTGACCTCTCTTTGACCTCTTTCAGAACGGGACGAGTGGAAGAATACGACTCTCAGCTGACCTTACAGGGACCCGCCAAACCATCCATCATTAAGTACACTATCCCACTCACCTGTAAGTATACCATCCCACTCACCTGTAAGTATACCATCCCACTCACCTGTAAGTACACCATCCCACTCACCTGTAAGTACACCATCCCACTCACCTGTAAGTACACCATCCCACTCACCTGTAAGTATACCATCCCACTCACCTTGTAAGCATACATCCCACTCACCTGTCAGTACACCACCATCCCACTCACCATGTCAGTACACCATCCCACTCACCTGTAAGTACACCATCCCACTCACCTGTAAGTACACCACATCCCACTCACCTGTAAATTACACCATCCCACTCAATTATGCTGTAAGTCATCCCTCCCTCCCTCCCTCCCCCCCACTCCTCCCTCTCACCCTCCCTCCTCCTCCCTCCTCCCTCTCCCTCCTTCCCTCCCTCACTAACACCCACCTTCTCTCCACACAGTTATGGAGGACGAGTATCAAGTATTAGCCACAGACTACGAGAGCTTCTCCCTCGAGTACAAGTGTGACCCCAACGGCTTACTGGAGAAGAGCGGTGAGTGGTCTGATGAGCCCCAGTCCTCATAGGCCCCTTAGGTCTACCAGGCCCTAGTTTAAATCTAACCTATTGTAAGTTAATCTAATTTGTCCTGATGTAACGTAACGTAATCTAACGTAACCTAACATAACCTAACGTAACCTAACCTAATCTAACCTAACCCCAACCTAACCAAACACTTTCTCTTTGATAGAATCCATTTGGCTTTTAACACGAGAGAAGAATCCATCTCCTCTAGTACTTCAGAGAGCCTACGCCATTATGCATCACCTTGGCGTCGACATCCGGAAGCTGGAGCGAGTCGATCAAACGTGTGGAGGAATCGACATAGGAGGGTCTCTCAGCTCGGTCGACTATGACTATTACTCGACCGGTCCACAAGTGCTCACAGACAATAGAAGATTTCAACCACATCAGGCACAGGTTTGGTTGGGTTGGGTTTGGTTGGGTAAGGTTTGGTTTGGTTAATTTTTTCGGGAGAGGGGAGGGGAGGTATTGTTGGTGTTAGTTTTAATTTTGAAGGGGTTAAATTAGTTCTCAAAGGGTTAAACCATAGTACTCAAAGTGTTAAACCATCGTCCTGAAAATATTAAAACCATCATCCACAAAGATTTAACAAAAATAACTAATATATTAACCCCATTCCTCTCTCCCACACACAAACACACAAACACACATACAGGAATTTTACCAATATGATGATTATTACGAACCAGCTGGGGGGTTCCAATCAGCTAGTGCCGTCCCAGTTCCCCAGCCCTCTGAGTCCCCCTCCAACCAGTTCGCTGTGTCATTCCCGGTCCAGGACACAGATAGCAATATTCGCCGTAGACCACGTCCTCCTCAAAGGTCTGTGTCTGTTATCTGAGGTTTATTTAGTGTATATCTGTGTGTATGTCTTTTATTTTGGCTATTTTAATCTATTTATCTTGTAATTGGTTAGTATGTTAATTTATTTATCTATATTTCATTGTTTTGGTATTTCAGAAATTAGTATAGGGATCGTTTATGTAAAATTATTATTTGTAGATAGAGAGAGAGAGAGAGAGAGAGAGAGAGAGAGATAGAGAGAGAGAGAGATAATGGCTCACTATTGAGTACTGTCTTGTGTTACAGATACGGCTCTTCTCTCTATAGTTCTTCATTTGACTATGACTATTTCCCATCTAGCTTTGACACTGACCACCAAGATTACTACGAGTCTGAGTACAGGTAATATGCCTTCCATCTGTCTGTCTATTCATCTGTCTGTGGCTGTCCATTTGTCTGTATCGTCTGTCTTTTTTATGTTTTGTCTGTCTGTCTATTTGTATGTCTGTCTATATGTGTCTGTCCATCTGTCTGTCTGTCTTTCTAGATTATATATACAGCATTTATATATATATATTTGATCACATGAAGATTAGACACCCCAGCTTATATTACCTTAAGATTAACCAACCTAACCTAAACCTAAACCTAACCTAAACCCAACCTAACCCCCCCAGGTTAAATAAACCATGGGTGTCTAATCTTCAGGTGATACCATAGCGTCTCTTATATTAATTCATATCTATGGAAACTTTCAATTACAATGTTTCAATTTATATATTTATTGTTTTTCTCTCGGGATATTTAATAATCTAAAATAAATTACAATTAGAAATGGAAAAAATTTATGATTATTTTTGTTAATTTTCAGGAAACCAAACTTGAAACGGCAATCGATTCCAACTGATGAACGAATTAGTTTAGGTCAATCTCTGGCTACTAGACTATGGCACGTTCTTCACAGTCCCGTGAGAAAGTAGAGAGATCCTTCACACTCCTACAGGATATATATATATGTGTGTGTGTGAAAAGTCCTATCTTGATCTACACCCAGCACACATCCTCCTCCATTGTATCCTTTAGAAGATCCTATCATGCCTTACCGCTGCATCATGTATTTTAGAATAGAAATTTACCGTGAATTATTTTTTTTTGTAAACTATTTGAAAACCTATTTGCATATTTTCATGGTAACAGACATTCAGTTATATATTTGTTCTACTCCTTCTATTATAAATATTTGAGAAGAAAATATAACTAATAATAAAAATAAAAATATATGGATGTGTATAAAGTTAATAAAATGAAATAATTGCCCCAAAATGACATAGAAATTCCTTATAATATGGTCGGTGAGATTCTCCATGCATAAAGTACAAATATGTTGTTGAAATGTTATATTACTGTAATTTAATGACAATTCCTGTTCAGTTTGATGTTTAGTTGCTTATGTACAGTGTTATTTGATCTGTTGGGGGTAAAATTGATGTTAATTTACATTTTTATTGTTATTTAAGGGACCATGTAAGATGGGCTTTGTAAATATATCGAAGGATTCATTTGATTTTTTGAAACTAAAGTCTTGAAAATTAATAAAATATATTGTTTATCATCTGAATTACAATCTACACATTACAAACTACCTTTATGTTGTCATTAACTACAGGTAGGCCTATTTGTCTGAGAATATTTGAGAATTTACTAAACCCATCTTAAGCCTATCCTAATTCCCTGCAGTGGCTGGACCTACATGTATTTATCTATAATCTTTATTTATTATATATTGGTCTGTATTATTTGTCTTATATAAAATAAATTTGCCTTTTTTGGATGATCTGAGATGGATTTTTTTATTGTGTTATCTAAAAAAAAAAATATGACGTCCATTAAATAAACGAGGGAGACCTTATATAAAATTACCAAGACATTATTTGTAAACAAGACACAATGACAAAATTTACACAGCTTAAGATAATTAATAATAGTAAAGATTAATTTTATCATTGTTAGAGCGTTTAAAAATATATATATAAGGTAAAATTATTGGCTGGTGTAGACTGTGACAGGGAGCGTAAGAGACACCCCGCCATGCTGTAAGGTGTGTGAGGTAAAGTGTCTGTTATATTGTATTGTTTGGATTGATGTGTGTGTAAATATGTAGGAGATGTGTGCATGGATTATACAGAGAGTCTTATAAGTGTTGTGATGACATTTTAGACACAGTAAGAGTGAAGTGACTTGGGGCCCAGTTACTGTTGTGATCAGGATGGGCCCATGTCAACAATGGTATTAACTGCCAGGCATTTTGAGGCTTTCTTTATTATAACTATTTTAAGCACATGGATTTAAAAGTATACACATATACAGTTTACTCTTTTGGGCCATACAGTCTGGATATTACAGGGCGCTTCACCCACCATACAGAGTCCCTTGCCTGTAGATGTTTGTAGGTTGAGCCTTGGTACTGCTGCAGTTATCCCTCAGACACGAGATGAATCTGAGTAGTTACCACAGTTGTTTCATCATGTAGGAGGTGAATCATCATGTTAAAGGACAGCTGTGTCTTCCCTTTGGTCTTCAGAACATAAGAATGGAGGAAACTGCAGCGGGCCTATTGACCCATACTGGGCAGTCCCGTTTATACCCAACCCCTATTGCTCATATGACCATCCAACCTGTGTTTGAAGCTATTCAGCGTATTCGAGTTAATGATGATATTTGGTAACTTGTTCCACTCGTCCACTACTATTTCCAAACCAGTGTTGACCTATTTTGCGCCTAAATCTAAATTTGTCTAATTTAAAACCATTGTTACGAGTTCGCTCCTGGTTGGATAGTTTGAGTACCTTTGTAATGTCCCCTTTGTTTAGCCCTGACTTCCATTTATACACCTCTATCATGTCGCCCCTCACTCTACGTCTCTCGAGGGAGTGCAAATTAAGATGCTTTAACCTGTCTCTGTACTCAAGGTTCCTAATGCCCGGGATTAGTCTTGTCATTCTCCTCAGGATTCTTTCCAAGGATTCTATATCCATTCTGTAATACGGTGACCAGAACTGAACTGCGTAATCCAGGTAAGGTCTCACAAGCGCAAGATATAATTTTAAGATGACCTCGCTAGACTTGTAACTGACACCCCTTTGTATGAACCCAAGTACTTTATTAGCCTTGTTACGAGCAAAATCACATTGTTTACTTGGCTTATATACGCTCCAGAACTTAGGTGGCCAGACACAACTGTTAATACAGGTTTCCTTGATGTGCTCCACAAATTCTAGAACTGGTCCTGAGGTCACAGATGCCATTAATCCATCGAATATTCCCACATTATGTTGTTCCCGAATAAAAAAAAGCGTCACGAACTTCGGAAGCAGCTTGTGAGTTCCTCATCTGATGAGTAGGAAGTTTGCAATCCAAGTTCTTGTATTTTTCGGAAGAATGCTCGAGTAAAATGGAATGCTCACCCTTTTATTTCAACAGTTGGAAGAACAGAACTTGTAGCAGGCCACAGAGCTTTGTCAAAGTTCATCACAATTGTCTTCACTGGGAAGCATAACAATGATGACTTTAATCACAGAGATATAACACACTGTATGACTGGGAGCTTCTTCACAAACACTTGGAGACTGAAGAACTGTTACAAGGTTTATAACTACCTGGCATCACCATACCAGGTCCTTGTACTGGAGAACAGCTGAAGTTGTCATCTGTTGGGAAAATTAAGTCATCAACCAGAATGTCACCGTGTAAGAAATTCTCGGCACTGTGTTGTGACTCCACTTCAGAGTCCAGACTGTTAGGGTGTTTTGGACGGTGCTTACGGCGGTAATAGTTTGTGTCGTGAGTAACTGACTTGGCTGCACTACAGGTTCCTGAGGGAAGACATTCTTGTAAAATTACAGTGGCAATGTCTGCAGCTGAAGTGAATGGCTGTTGATTTGCAGTTAGTTTTGCTTGCATTGCAATGGAGGCAGCAACATCTGATCCCAAGCTTGCCTGATGAGTGTGGGGTCCATAATCAAACTTGCTTCAACCAGAAGCCTTTCTAAGACATGATTATTTATACACTTCTAAATTGTTTTCCCAATCAATGGGATGATTATTGTTCCTTATATGAACGGACAGTGCACTGCTTTCAGATGCTCCTCTAATATTGTGCTTGTGTTGTTTTATTCTGAGTTGCAATGCTTCCCCAGTCTGACCTTCATAATTACCATTACAGTATTTACGTGGAATGCAGTAAACACTTCCATTTACATTCAAGGTTGTCATACTTAAAAACAACAATGTTTAATAATTTAAGGGATTGAACTAATGAGACAAAATCATTGCAAAAAGGTAGAGTCCAAATATTCTTAAATGTAGGAATTTTTCCAGTTTGAGTACAATAAGGGTTTATTTAGTCCTTTTAAAACAGAAAACAATGGAGGGTAGCCAAGTTATTGTGCAGTGGACTGAATGTGTTGCAGTTCTTTTTCAATAAATTCAGGGTCACAGGTACACAAACATCTCAAAAACAGAGCAGAAAAAAACTGGCAATCATGTTTGCTAAAAAATCCTTTTATTGTACTCAAACTAGACAAGTAATTGACTTTTTAAATATTCTAGCTATCTTTAATTATTTCAAAGGTCATTAAATAACACTAATTACTTTAAATTTTAAACTGCGAATCCAGGTCCTTAATCACCATGTAAAGTAGTACTGTACCTTTGTGTAGTTTTATATTATATTTTCTTTATTTATAAGCCACATCATTTATTTACAGTTTAATAAGTGTTATAAACAGCTTTTTTCTGAGACTTGAATTTGCTAGGTCAGCCTGCAGCACTGTCTAAAGTACTGTATTAATGTACCACTAATTTAGCTGGGGATATTAAGGCAAAAATGGCAGAGTTTGTCAAGTATACAAGGTTTACAGTCCCAAGAAAGTTCACATAAAACAAACAACTTCTGTACTGAATGACTATTAATTTATGGACATATTTTTATCATAAACTGTTGTATATATTAAATGTTTTTTGTTTGTTTGTTACAGAGGAGTTAAAGACCTTTGGAAAATTGAGCAGCACCATCACAACTGAAAATGATACCTGCTGGCTAAGACAGAACTGCCATTGTAGAACTTAATTCCAATGAACACTATAACACCACTACTACCACAGCACCACCACAACACCACCACCTACGGCAAGGTAAACTAAAGGAGTCATTTGTCTGTCTGTCTATCTGTCTGTCTTCCATTTATATCTTTCTGTCTACTTAACTGTTTGTGTCTTTCAGTATATCTGTCAATATCTAACTCAGTCTGTTTTATTTACAGTATATCTCAGTTTATTTATTAATACAAGTATTGGTAAATTTACATTCACAACCAATATGGCTCTTGAGTTGAGCAATGTTATCGTAACTGTTAATCTAATATGTTGAACGGTGGAACGATGGAAATAATGTAAGAAATTTAGTTAGGGAGTTATAGATATGTTACGTTTAATTTAGGTTATATTTAGTTAAAGTAATATTTAATAGTTACCTGAAATAATAGTCTTGTGAGAGTCTACATGCCTTTGTCTGGGCACACATCCTACCAGCTACCGTTGAATGTCAAATTACCTGCCATCGTCAGTTCCTTAACGACCCTGACCAGAGACACACAGTATAAACCAGCGATCGTGGAGAGGCTCAAGGTCTACTACTGACCTCCATCCACATCACCAAGCCTTGAGTATCAGTTTATATTGGAGGATAACCTAACTTTATACTGTACGTACATTGATATCTCTGTTAGCCGGAACAATTGATGCAGAGCACTTCTGGAGATGAGACATTTCTGGGTCACGAGACGACTCTCTCAAACCCGGAAAAGGCTCCCCCATCCTTGGAATTTTCCGAGTATTGGGAAAATTTTCTCAGATTTTTCCGATAAAATTTCAATTCCGGCTATCGGAGAGTTCCGGGTTTGAGGGATTCCTGCTGACGGAGACATTGCTGTTGTTGATGTAATATAAACATTGCCACTTAAGGTAATCGCCTATTTTGAGTGTTTACTTAATGCGTATAACGTAATGTAAATATATCTTGTCGTGATATCGACCAATTCGGGACAAATATGTTTTTCCGATGGTTAAGACAATTTTAAGACACTTTTCTCGTATGACGTTTCCTTCACAATGACTTAAATATATGAGGGTGTAGCCCAGGGGAGTTAACCTGTTCACAGTAGCTAAAGACACTGGTAAGAGAAAGGTTCCCTCAAGTCACATTTCCTTTATTTCTACCTTAATGTAATCCCTGTTAAGTCACCCAGGAGTGAGTACTGCACCTACCAACAAATAGAACCGTCAATATATACAGTAGGGTCGGGATATATCGCCAGATGGGGTCCAAGGATGTTCGCTATATACTAAATCGCTATATATAATTACATGTAATCAATGGGAAAAATAGGGTTAGGTTCTAGAGGCCAATAACGGTGACTAAACTTGACTTAATGAGTTTATTTTCTTACCAACTAAAGCACCAGTGAACACCAGACTCGGCAGCAGACGCCACACTGTCACCCTCACTTGACAGTCCCACATCTACATAAACGAACAAACCAAAAATATTAGTTACAGTATTAAATCTTTTCCATTAAGTTTTACATTCTCCTCACTTCAACTTTCAGAAGTACAATAGGATAATAATAATAATAATGAACAAACTAAAGAAATACTATTTTGTTGTAATTACAGGAGTAACTAATATATGACTCTTTCACCTCACTACAAGGAGATTCAGGGGGGTGGAACCTCCGGATGGGAGGTTAGGTTAGGTAATTTTGGGTCATTTGCGAGGGAAA